AAAAGATATAGATCACTTTCAGTAATAAAAAACAAACTTATTGACGTCGGGGTTAAGTTCTAGTTAGTGGTGATTTGGTATAACACGAGATAGAAAAGTAAAAAAAATCATGTTAACTATTTAGACTCGTCTGGATCTTTCTTACTGACCCTCCATGGTTCTGTTGATGGTCAGTAACTGACAACTGAATATCTTTTTGTGTCGATAATGTGATGTCTTGTTTGTGTATTCCTCTAATATATAGCATTATCTCACTTTAGCAAATGTGAATTCATTTTGCTAAAAATCTGTTTCGGTGAAAGGTATCAATTTTAGATTTCTAAAATCCATATCAATATAGCATTCATATATGTTATATATATCATCATTATCCCATGACGCCATTTTTGTAATGTTTGTGGGATTTATTTTCATTTATCCGCTGACGAAATACTGAATTTTAATAGGCATTTATAGATTAAAGGAATGCGAGCGTGAAAAGCACTTTGATGCTTGATAAAAATGGTTTCGTATGAGCTTACCATATCACGGTCCAACAATGTATAACATTACCATAACACGGTCCAGCAATGTATAGCATTACCATCTCATGTAACATTACTCTATCACAGTTCCAGCAATGTAAAACATTACCCTATCACGGCCCAACTATATATATTTCACTTCCTACTCAAGTTGGACTCAATGCAACTACCAGCAGTAACCTGTTTCATTTGCCGATGAATTTAACATTGCCTGTGCGTATGATTTTGCGAAGGGAGATAACTATTGGCATGTTTTAACTAGGAACATACCACTTGATGAGATTATACATTAAAGCTACACAAGAAATTGTTCAAACAGCCTTATATCAATCAGCAAAATATAATCAGCTCACTGTTGCTTGCGATAGTGACAAGTCATGTACTGCCCTAGAAATTCTCGGTAGTGAATCGGACGTAAAACCTATCATTCAATCAATCAATCAATCAATCTGTCTAGCAATGTTTAACCTAACGGAATCACGATCCAGCAATGTAGTGCCCTATCGAATCATGGTCCAGTAATATATAATCTGGCCCGATTATGGTCTACCAACAAATAACCCTTACTGAATCACGGTCCAATAATTGGTTAGCCCTACCAAATCACGTCAATGTATCACATAACCCGTTTACGGTTACGCAACAAATTACTCTACCTAATCACGGTCCAGCAATGTATAGCACGGTCGACTAATATATAACCTTACCCGATTATGGTCAAGCAACATATAACTCTACTGAACCACGGTCCAGTTTTGTATAACCTGACCGGATCACGGTCCAACAATTTATAACCTGACCCAATCACTGTTTAGCGACAAATAACCCTACCGAATCACGGTCACGTAATGTATATATAAAATTTGACCCGATTTCGGTCTAGCTATAACCTTAGCCGATTACGGTCTAGCAACGCATGTATACAATTTCATGGAGAATTTGAAAATAATCTACTGGCGTACATACCGTTTTCCCGCAACAAAATATTTTAATCTTTTGATGAATAGAGTGTAACAGATTCCGCAGAAACTTGCTTGACTCCAAATAAAGGTGGTCCTATCTCGTTAAGAAATCTACGTTTCCGTTAAATCTGTATTTGTAGATCATATACAAATATACATATGTCGGCACTGAACTTCTGACGAGATGGTACCAAGTTTCACCTGGCAAACGGCCAAACTGAAAAAACAAGTCTGACTTCGTACATCCAGAATCTCTCAATCAATAACGCTCAGCGCAGCCAATCCTGATGTTTCACATGTTAGTGATGGAAAGCAAACAACCCGCTACTCTAATACATTAATGTTACGTTATTTACGCAAGCGTGTATACATAGAACGATCTGCATCTTGTCAGAGACGTACCTTAATTTACCTGGACGGTTTTGTTACTTATATATTGCTATATTCTGAGCTTACTGAAACAATGGGTATGTATACTAGTTTTATTTAGAGGACCTGCTAATAATCATTTAATATGTGAGGATAAGAAGCATCATATCATTTTTTAAACAACGTTAAGTTAGAGTAATAACGGCTCAGGCAGTATACATATTGCTACATAATGACGTCAGAAACGTTGATCGGTATGTCCGTATTTTAAAGTATTATAAATGTTAATAATCATTTTCAGTTTGGTCATATAAAAGAGCAATTTAGCGTAAATATTGTGTCATTAATTAATATAATGATTGTTTCATTTTTAAAACGAAAGTTAAGTTCAGAAATGAACTGTCGCCTTAAGCACAGATGTTGGATTGTCGTTGTTTGCATGAAGACATGTTCATAGGTCGTGTATTACTTTGCTGCTGTTAAAATAACGTGTATACCTCGCTATTTTGAACGTTTTTGACGCTTTTCATTATAAACGGGGCAAAAAAAGAAGGAAAAAGCTCGCTGTGAATTGTAGTAAAACATTTCCACATAATGACGAGTTAAAGACCCCCTGTGATGTTGTACATTTCGCGCGGACGTTTACCTACAAAACCTTATCCAACAAGAATAGTTGAAAATATTGCAACTATATGCCGTGAATATTGGATCCTACAAATAATATCACTCACACATTCGTATGTTATGTGGCATGCATTTCCAGGACGGTGCCTATCCTTTGTTCCCACACTGTCGGTAATGATGTGAAATGCGGAATTTTATAGTTTACTTAAAAAGTGTTTTATGTTTGTTAAATGACTTAAGTCTTTGATCGTGTCACATAAGATACTGAAAGATAATACGTTTCTTTACTGATTGCAATGTTCATTGTTAAAAAGGGGGTTGCATTGTAAATATGTAAAAAGATATTTTCATTGCAGTTAAAGTGCTTCATGTAGCCGCATTCGCGTAAATACCAGCCTTTATATTTTACAAAGATGATGATATAGACAATAATGTAAGTTTTTTTATGGTATATTTTCATCTTAAAAAATTCTTACATATAAATATATTCATTTTATTTATTTAATTATTTTTTGCCACATCAAAATGAATCATTTATATATTAGAACAGAAATCATCGTAATTTATCAGAAAATATGTTGTTTATGTTTTATTATACATTCGTTTGATAGATTCTTGATATTACTTAATACAAGATAAATAGGATTTTAGGTAGCAGGTTTAATAACTTAATGTTGTTGTCAGCCAAATAGACTTCGGCGCACGTTTTCTTATTGGTGTAACGGCTGGTTGGCCCTCAATCCACTTTGGCGCAATAGGTTTAGGGCTTTTTGAGGAGTGGGTGGGTACAAAAAGAGTGGGTCTTTACGCCTGTCAAAAAGAACGTAACCGGTAATGTGCTACCCGTTCCGTTGTCGCGCTTTGTCGACCACTGTAAGNCCCCGCCCCTAATTAACATACCTGGTCAACAATGTCTGGTGCCATGCTATGCATTTCTTTATGACTTTGCAAAAATCAAAGCAATGGTCTGTTCCCGTATAATTATGTTTCGAAAACCGACGAATATAACATAAGGAAACTGGTGGTATATGATTTGAACCTTTCCGCGTAAGTTGCATTCCTCTTGTGAAGGAAGCCCGCTTGTTCTACGAGTTGTCTCCTTCGCCTTTGATCCATGGAATACTTCTGAAAATGCTTTTTACATTACAAAATGTACCTGTGCAAATTAAATATGGATTTTGGGATATTAAGCAAGATACGCCACGATTTACCCCCGTGTGTTTCATTTTTGGCTCAATAAATAACGCTCCATTTAATATGCGAGGAGTCAATATTTGTATATCTAGATACTTTATAGTCCTTATCAGGGACAAAACCTTTATTGGTCCTTTTATTGATATATATCCCTTGTCGCAGAAAAAAGTTTGTGTGTTGCATATCTTTATATTTCTTTATCTCTTTTTAAAAAAACGGTGTTATCTATTTTATAAATCCTTTTATTTCTATACCACTTGTTACAAACAAAGTATCTGTGTTATATATATTTTTTATTTTTATATCCCTAAGCAATGTCGGGAGTTGTGTATAATAGCGTTTAAGTTGTTATAAAGTGTATACGGGTGTACCAATACGGTGTCAATAAGGTCTAACATTCCAATAAACTAATATGTTTCCCTGATAAAATAAATCTTTATTTGCCTCTATAAATAAATAAGTGTCTACGTAATCCACCACAGGGATCATAAATAACGTACTTGCCTGGATACCTCCGGAACATGAAGAATGCAATGCACGTATATGCACGTATAGATAACATAATCGTATAATGAAGTTAAAATTGAACAAAAAGGGGATTTTTTATTTGTTATTTCCAAAAAAAGCCGAGAGACACAAAAATACTCAATTTAATGTACACTTCATTTAATAAAATATTAGAACTAATGAGAACTTACTGTGTATGCTAACATACATGAAATCCTGTTAATACAAATGTCATGAAAATCAAAGAACAACATTGCAGACATATCTGCACCACAACTGGTGAATCCAGTAAGAGCTAGTTTTCGAATCACATGCTATATACGGTTCCATATCTCATTCCATCTGTGGCAGAACAAGAGGGTGTAGGCTAATTACCGAAGTAGCCAAGGCTTCTCCTTGGCTGGAACTCATCGGTTTTTATCCATTGATCAAACTGACAAATAGAAACAGAATGGATTCCGAACATTTAATCGCAATTTTACGCTATACTAACGACGCATCTTAATTCCGTCTTGGCGTCCTTATTGTCAGCTGTTGTGGTTCTATTCATGTTCTCTGGAAGCAAATTCAACGTTGATTTTGTGTACTTATGAGTAGTGTTTATGAATAAATAGAACAAGTACGGTAGTTGTTTATTGTGATCATCTGGCGTCTCTGATTGCATTCAGTCATTGCGCGAATGAATATATATTTCCTACGGACTGAAACTCTCTTGAAATATATTCATGCTCACATTACAATCGTGTTACGTAGAAATTAAGCTAAAAGATGACTATGCGTTGTTTTATTGCTTAATAAGTTATTTCTCTTTCTATTTTAGTTTCAACAACACCTGTTTCGGCTACCACTACTCTGACGACAAGCACTCCGGTCATGGCGTGCGGAGCGCCACCTAGTGTGGCGGCAGCCACAGTCGCATACAACGATACTGTTGCCACCTTCACATGTATTAGTGGGTACTCTTTGGCGGGTAGCAACCAGATTGTTTGTTCCGGCAGCACCTGGACCGGAAATAGCCCAACATGCACCTATCTCACACAGGCTGACGACATCGATACCAACGTCAATGTATATAACTCTGACAGTAAGTCTCTTCCAATACCAATTATCCGTAATTTTCAATAATTCTAATGTATGGTTTCTCTGCCTCTTATTCGAAAATTACTGATAAAAATGCTGTATTTTTCGTGNGGGTGGGGGGGAGGGTGCGAATGATACATCCGCGAAAAATGTATCAAAGAAACATATTTTTCATGTGTGAAAATAGAGTAACGGCTCGCTACCGTCGTCCTGTAACTTTTCAAACTTCGACTAACGTTAGAAAACAAAATCTACGGCTGGAACACCGACTTCGTTACGGAAAAATTAGTGATCTACGAAACAAACTGTGTCATGTTCTACCTCGATTATGTAGCACCGGAACTTTACATGAAGATGAAGCTTTAATGTCCTTGTACGTTATAACCTATCTTTCGTTTTTTTATTTTATATACAAAATCACAAAAATACGATAATTGCACCTCCTTGCTCATTTTCTAGAAAGACCATATTACAAACGTCACACTTACATTGGTATGCCTAACCTATACTTGGGCTTCATATGAGTTGTATGCATACACTTACAGAACAAAATTGCCCATTATAAAGATAATAATTCCTTTCAAAGCGGTTATTATCTATTCATATATATTGGCTCAATTTTTCAATGGAACGTCAAATACTTTAAAGATAGGGGGTATTCTTTCTTTCTTATTTACAACCTCTATTTAATAGTGTGGTTGATAGTGGAATGAGAAATGTTGAAAGTAATTAACGTATCCGAATATATTCTGGCGCGTACCATTCACATTACAATGTATTATATTCTACCACGTCAAAACATTTCAAGCATTGTATCCTCAAGGTTTAACAAAGACGTGCCTTGCTCAAAGACCTAATTTGGAACCTACTTGTAACATGGATTCAGTACAATATACATAGTGAAACAATTATCATGTGCAATAAGGCATGCAATGGAGTTCAACATCTCCTAACCCACACACGTCAAACAATTTACCTTATCTGACTCATACAAATTACATGTAAGGTAAGTGGACTGAAAGTATTCAAGTTCACATCTCAAAAATATTTTGTTGTAAAAACACAGGACACTCTATAACTGAAACATTTTGTCACTTAATTTTGGTATTTTATTTTATCTCAACACTGTACAACATAGGTAGTTCCGAATATACTTTATTTGTAACATTAACTCGACTTCTCAACCATGGTTTATTGCACTTTCCCCATTCAATCTGCCTCCGGCGATATTGAGCTGACATCCAATTTTCGTTATCTTCTTCATAGATCGCAAAATATGCAAATACCATTCTGAAACATTTTTACTATGCATAATTCGTCTAAAATAAACACATTTTAAAGCAATAGGAAAGGTGAAATCGTGGCTTTTGAAACTAGATAAAGACACCATAGAAATGTTGATGTCAACAGGTGTGATGGAAATTGACTGAACAACAGACATCGAAATGTATGCTTACAAATACCTACAGCTTAAACGACAACAGTCGGGTCATAAATCAGCTTTACTCCACACCAAAGAGCCTGGACATTTAACTTTAAACAGGAAATTGTTGAAACAGTGGAAAATGACGCTTTACAACTATGTGCCATTTTAGTGACCGTGTGTAATTTTCAGATGATAGACAAGAAAATTAAGCAAGGGAAACTGTCGTTACAACACCGGCGTTTTTAGAATCGTTTGAAATAGACACCCTGAAGGTATTTGTGATAAGCAATGACAACTTTAATAAAAGTGAAACCAAACAGATAACCACACATGTGTCTATTTACCGAACCTGTTATCAAACAAATTAACACACACACACACATTTGACCAAACATGTTACTACATATTATATTACATTTAGCACTATGAAACTGCTCATTTTAACACACAAATTACATAGTGTACCACACATATGATCTCACACGTTACTTTAAAAGCGGAAAAGTCCGCGTTGTGTCACTTTAAAGTGATCGCGGTATGGCAATTTTCATTTCATTTGCAGTGGTTCTAAAATCTTTATATTCTTTATATCAATAATTTAAATAAATTTAAATCTGATGTATGCCTGTGGATCTCATCGCGAATATTTACTTGACGCAAAAAATAAAACGCAAACATTTCCACGCCGCGAAAAAATTCCACTTTTGCAGTATTACAAAGGTTCCTTGCCGTCATGTTGTATGTTTTTAGGGTTGATGATGTGATTACAATTACAGATGGTACCTCTTCGACGTCACAAGGCTTTGCGGGTAAATGGTCCACAATGCTAACATAGTATAACTAATAAATAACACTAGGACGAGACGTCCTCGCTTCATCATATGACGTCATGGACCGAATGAGAAATTTGGTCAAATTGAAATGCATTATATTAAAGAATGTTTTAATGTAATAGTCAATTGTAGTGGTCATCGAAGAAATCAGCAGCGTTGCAGCAGACGTTGATAAAGGACATACATGTAACATAGATTTCTAAGTCATATCAATTAATACAACGCTCATTTGTTAACACTTGCTAGTCGTTAATGTAGTACGTGTATTGTATATTTAATGTCGGTTAACAATGCTAGTTGCAACGCTTGATACTAAGGATTATGACGTTATATATTGATCTAACTTGTATAGTTCAGTTAGGTGCCATCATATTTTAACAAAGGATGCACTTATTTTGTGATGGATAGTGACATTTTTGTATGAGCTGAAAGCTTATTAAATATAACATAGGTTACTAAAGAGGCAAGAAATATCAAACCGTTCTGCTTCTAATTATGACTATATATCAGCTGTTATATATGTCAAGGAATCGCGTTTTAAATACATGAACATGACCTAAAACTATTGTAATGGGTACGAAATTAGAGATTCGCTGTAGAATTCCTTTGTAAAAATATAAGCAAACTCCAAACACATTGCCTCCACCTTCAATTTGTGATGTAATGTTGTTTGTTTTGACGTCATAAGCAGTGATATCACAAATGTGGCATAAGTTTGTCTGGGTGTTTTGACGCTGCATAACTGAATATAGGACAAATCCTAGTTTAGCTGTTTTAACCTCAATCTAAATAAAATTATATCTTCACATCGCTCCCGTTTACTGATATGTCGCGTGACATATCAGCAAACGGGAGCGATGTGAAGATATAGTTTTAATGAGACTTGTTTAACCTATAAGTGATATATCAGTGCCTTCTGACGTCATACTCATTATTGTTGAATGACGTAGGAAATAATTTTATAGTTTTTGTTCTGATTGTAATTTTCATGTTGAGCAAACTAAAACCTTGAGTGTGACTAATCAATTTAATTCAATTATCAATATAGGACACTTGCGTTATATATCTTGTGTGTGACTGAGTCTAACAGCCGTGTACGATGTTGGTTTTTGTTGTCAGTGCCGGATTGGTTGCTCGGAGTACTGGCCGCCTTGGGGTGTGCTGTTGCCCTATTGATATTGACCTGTATCGTCTGCTGTTGTATGTACATGTGTGGGTATGTATCAAAGTCATTAAAAAGAATAACACTAGTATATCAATGTATTATTACCGTTTTATGTTTCTAAAACTTATCTTAATCTTTAACTATCCCTCTGATTTTTTTGACACAGATTTTTATCTTTAGAAATTCAAAGGATTTGATAGTATAAGTAAAAATTTCATTTATCATTGCATTCACCAGAAATTAATTCTCAAATCCCATTTTTATCGTTGAAACGAAAATAAAGCGATGCTATACCAGTAGAAATATTCTTACTATAAAGTACAGTGTTGTTTCACTGATATCTGTCTTAATTTGAATGAGCAAAGTAAGTTTTATGATATCATATAAAATGTAAGAACCGCAGCAGGTTTTATGTTTATTAGATTAAAGTACCGTTTAAACTATTTCGAATTTTCAGGTGTGTGTCGGGGCCCCTAGGTTCCGGTGCGAATGCCGTACACCCTTTGAACACCCGAGGATCGCCATGTTGTTGTTGTAACCAACGGCGACGGCGAAGAAGAAGAGGGGACGATTTCTATGACAGCAGATCTTCAAGTGTCGTGGACATGCGCAATGGACACAAAAATGATCAGGTTTGATAACATAATTAAAACGCACATATACATCAATTATCAAATAAAATTTCGGAAGAGTATGAAATTCATTTATGTTCCTTATGTAGAAGAAGGCTTCTGACAATATAAAGACAAATTGTAAAACAAAACCTGGTTAGTTAAGCGGCAATTAAAAATGCATTTCCTTCTACTGTCCAAGTCGTATTTTTCTATGAACATTTTACTGTCGATTTATCAATGATCAGTTCACGGAAATAAACACAAATCTACTGAAAATTGCAGTACATGCCAAGTCGTTCGGGATCAAATTACAAGCAAATCTAATGAAAAACGTATTTGAACAAAAACAAAAACAAAACTCGGTCCGACGTCTGCAATGATAAATACAAAATATAACGTTTGAACGAGTTATTTTATTACACTTGTTATTTTCCTGTAACGAAACGATTTATGAAAGTTGAAAGCATATTTCAAGGAGACCGTTATCAATAGCTAATTACTACTTAAAAGAATTCAAATTACGATCAACAGAACAGATACACTTTTGATACATTTCAAAAATGTGATGAAAATTTTACTCCGACTTCGAAAGTCTTGGCCCTGATCGCCGCAATTACTGTAAAAATTGATGTTTGAACGAATATCCTTATAGCCTAAATACATCTGTCAAATAGAATTAACCTCCTGGGCACTTCGTACGAAAACTTATTTATACAATAAGGCTGTCGTGTTTGTGAGAATGGTTTATGTATCATTCGATGTGATTACATCTATACAGGAAGTGCGGATAGCGGGTTTCAACTATTCAAAGTCAAAGAAGGGATACCCTAAGGTAGGTCGTTGTGAAAGACTTTTCCTTCTATATCTTTCTACAATTTGTATTCCGTTGCTCCAGAGAATATTGAAACAATGGACTCTACCGACATTGCATATAAAGGAATGTCTTCTTTACCTCCTACCCATCTCTTGTTGTATCCACTAACTTAACTATAGACTACTTGATGCTAATAACCTGAACTTAATTAACGTCCAATCTCATATCATAGAAGAAACTAAAACTTGCACTATGTATCTTTAATGGTGATGCTTGCTCATCTATATTTCTCATGTTACGATCTCATGGTGCTTTTCTAAAATGTATTGTAAGTCAATATTGTTTGTTATAGTACAAATGCACGTTATATTTAGCGATTACATATCTCTGTAGGATCTGAAGATGATAACTATTACGACAATGAAAGCCATCATATTCTATCAAGATATTTTTATTTAAAATAGAATTTCCTACTTGAGCATTTAACAAACAAATGGGGAAAAAACATTAAAAAAAATCCAACTCAGACGATTCTCAATTATAACATGCATTTAAGTCAGTTTCACTTCTTTTGGAAATGCAAACGACCAAATAAGTAATACATTGTGTGTCGTAAAAGAAAATCAGAAATATGTGTTCTAAATTGATTTCATTATATGTCACAATATCTTTATATTTTGGCAATCTTACGATTACATCATATCCAAATTTTGTTTGTTAATTGAAAATTTTGTTTTTAGATATTAACAGAACAGGTTTTTGTACATAGGTATACACTAAACTCAATATTTTTCACACTAATGTCATTGTGAATGTCACCCTCACTAACCATATATGGTTATTAGTGTACTTAATTATTTCAAAATAACAAGAAGATGTAACCCATACCGATGATAGATTGGCACCCAGTTGCGACCTCAGTGACGTCATGCCAAATGTGAGGCGTCCGATCGATTGTGTCCATTGCTTGTATATGTTTGATGTGTGGTGTGTACCGGATTGAATAACAACTGTGCACAAATAGTTTTTCTTGTTTCTTACTAATTAGGTTGCCAACAACAACAACAAAATGTTTCACCACGTGAAACATCAATACTGACCACTGACCAGCGTGGACATAACAACTGTGGGATATATATAGGTGTTGTGATGCATTACATACCATCCATACTGTTTTGACGGAAAAGCAGGAAGTGTTTTTTCTAGTATCAAGTGTGTGATTTGATTCTTAGTGGATAAATTCAATTTAAACTCCTACATCTCTGAAACTGATTATTTCGTTGTGGCTAACAACTTACAAGTGTTCTTATTTTCCGTTAAACTACTTGAAACCAATTAGGAGCGGTTACCATGTACACGAAGACTGTTACTCTCTCTCAGGATAGGAACATCCATGACTTTATTTCTTTTAAAGCGTTGGAGTACCTAATATGTGTTTACACTACTCTCACAGTGTTGGAACTAAATCTCAAAAAAATGCTTGGTAAAATTCTATGTCGATATTAAAGGAATTCAAATTCGCGATTAATTAATTATCTTCTTGCATCGATCATTGTGTTGAATTGATCATCTGAATAACTTCATTTGTAAACAGGGTGAGGCAAATATTCACAAAATTTTCTATTTTCTCACAACATGTACCTACATCTGCAACTGGTCAGATGGATAACGTGCTATTTCGGTGTAAATTCAAATGACATGGAACATCGTCATATTCGTTAAACTCTTCTCAACTTTAACAGCATAGTTGCAATTATTACATATGACTATATATCTATTCGTTATATTTTTTATTATGTTAATATTTTTTGTACCGATTGAGATATTCCTTTAGGTCTTTTTATAAGAATACATAACTTAATTGTTTTTGTTTGTATTTTTGCTGTTCTTGTGTTTGTTTTATTATGAAATTCGTTAACTGGCTAACAAAATCTATTAAACCTTATTGAACAGTTTATTATTGAGACAGTTGTTCTTATCTAATTACCTACGTTATTCTAATGCTAAATATTATATATATTAATCAGTTTAACATTTGTTAACCTTTAAATGTCTGGAATCAATTAGTTCATCATAATATACAACATATTAAACATTAATTTACAACGATCATCAAAAATAGCTTATTTCTTTTTTCATGTTTTGATGGTTGAAAGTAAAAACAATGTCTACTTTACATTCATCTTGGTCTTTTTGAAAATATTTTATATCAATAATAAAAATAGATCAGGATGATGAAGTTTTATTCAGATATAATGTAACTGTTCCGAACTTGAAATAATTTAAATATTTGAATATAATATATTTTGTGGATAAGATCTCACTATGCTAGTTTCTAATAAGAACCTACATTTTAAAGCAGCAATTGCACATCACATTGTACATATTCCGTCTTTGCATATTGCAGAGTTATCTTCTCTTGGGAGCAGGTATTGATTGTTACGTCACTTGTTTGTGAGAGTAACGTCATCAATTTTTGAGAAAACGACGTAAATTTCTTACACTAACCAATGACGTAACAATCAATACCTGCTCCCAAGAGAAGATAACTCTGCAATACGCAAAGACCGAATATAAGCTTTTTCAATTCCCGTGAAGCTAACAATACATATATAAAATTTAATACGCCTGGAAGGCAGAAAGGCCTAGCAGTAGATCTGACAGATTTATGATTTTATTCTATATTAAGTTTGATATTAATATACTTTTATCTATTATTTACAAAAATATGTGAAATGGTGATTTTTGTTTTATATATTTACGCTTAAAATACTCTACTTAATAAACATTTTTATAACCGTTATTCTTATAACTTACTTGTATTTCTTTCATTCCTTCCCAGAATTCCTTTATTGTTTATGTTTACCTTTGTTGTTTACAAATATATACCAAATATCTATCTGTGGTATATGTATATAATTTTCGGTTGTATTTGTACATGTTACCCCGGTGGTATGTGTAGACATTTTTTCAGTGGTAGATGCATATATAATAAGAGGTATGCGTATATGTTCAATATAGGAAAAAGTGTGTAATCATAGGTAAATATATATGATTATCTTTAATATATAGATATGTTTATTCATGGTAAATACATGTTTATCAATAATATATGTATATATATTAAAAATATATGTATGTATCTTGGTGTGGTATTTTAATGAATTTTTTTCAGTGGTACATGTATATATTGTTAGTGGTGTATGTTTAAATTTATCAGTGTTTACACATTTTTGTCATTAATAAATTTACATGTTTAACAGTGAAAATGAATATATTTATCAGAGGTTTAAGCATACCTTTCTCAGAGGTATAGGTCAATGTTCAATTTTTTCCAATGTCAATAGTCTCAATAAAAGGATTGATAAATCAAAGCCAACTGATCAGAAATGTGTTGACACTAGAACTTAAAAATATCCTGTTAAAGAATAAGATGAAATGGTAACGCCATAAGGTTTCAGAAGCTTATGATGAGAAATGAACTGTTTACTGTCGATTTCTTAATGAACAGTTCTCGAAAATACACACCAATCTATAAGGAACATTGCAGTACATGCCAAGTCGTTCGTGATCAAATTACAAGCAAATCTACTGAAAAAAACATGAATAGGAGTTAATGTGTCATACATGTTAGGGCAAACATATCAGCTGAAGTGTTGACCAATCAGGAAAAGTTAAGAAACATTTCAAAAACATTAAGCAGCAAACTGTATCGGTGAACTCAGACATACGTGAAGTCACCAGACTACATGTATACAGTATTCAGTATGTTGAGATTCATTTAACCCTGTCAGTTGAGCTGAGAAATAAGTGTCGTTATCCATTCCAGACGACGCACGTCAGCGAGGCAAACTCCACTCCGGATAGCGGGTTAGATTCCTCACGTCACGGAGAGTCGCCTGCTTTTGTCAACGGCCAGAACACGACAGTCACGACCATTCAAGAACTGGTTCTTAGGGACAAGCGGAACCAGCCAGCCCGGGAAGTGAAGCAGTGGATGCCGCACTCCCACACCATCCGCAACAACAACACGAGTACAAAGTAGTGTGACAATGGCCGTCACATCCCCAAAGCTTCAGCATAATTAACTCATTCACCCCTGAAGACACATTTGAATCCTTCCAAATCACAAGTTGGAATAGCTCATTACGAAATTTCAGAGGTGAATGAGTTAACTCGAGTTCAAAGTAGTGAGGTAGTTGATGCTACACTCTCGTAGCGTCTGCAACTTTAACTCGAATTACAAGTGGTACATATGTAGGGACACTGACATGAATTTGATTTTGAAAAAAAAACCTTATTTGTAAAATGGATCAAAATATAGCACAAAAATATGTCTACAGTTTCATAAAGTACAACCAGTGAATGTTTATGTGTAACGTTTTGATGATGAGCGGGTCAGGTATCCTGTCACCAAAATAAATTGAATTGAGGGAATATATTCTCAGAAATGCAGCATTCAAAATACGTTTTTTATTGTTTATATCATGGGATTAGTAACTTATAGAACAAACAAACGAATAACAAAAACAATCAAATGCAAGCAAAACAAGCGAATGGGGAAAATAGGGATTTTAATAGGAGATCGATTAAGTATAGCATTCGAATTTTTTGTATTTGATTTTTTTTTTACATGGCGTCTTTTTTTCAATTCGTTTCAAAATATTACCTTCTTTATCAGCTGACAACTAGAATGTAGTAACGATTATTCTGTATTTCTACAGAACATTTTGCTTCTTACGTATTAATTGTGAAAGAAAATATGTGCCAATAAATTCAGTAACCAGATATGCATGTGGCCTTTCTAACAAAGATGTCGTGTTTGTACTCATTCATGTTCCTCATTCCATTCTTGTAAATAATCTTTTATACTTGTACATTGTAAGACTGATGCTTGACAGTAGTGTCACGACAGTTTTGTCACGCGTATTATTTATTCATCATTGCCAAAATATAATGTATATGTTATTTATTAATCATTTTGTAAAAAAAAATACTGTAACCGCATGTTATTGTTATTTTGAAAATACTGTTTCTACTGTCTGATTTCTATATCATGTTCATTATACATCAGCAATATCACATTTTCATAATTTGTTTTTACTTAATTGTGTTGCTTTAAACCTCCATAGCAATAGAAATTCGTAAGTTAAGAAACATTTAATCTGAACGCGCCGGTTTCTAAACCGACATCTTATTTTGGGTGAATATTCAAAATTTCAAATCAGGTAATACTGTATTCTGTAGATGTGGTCATTAAACTGACAAAATATATGACGTGTTACACATCATAAACATGTGGAAATGGTTGCTGTTGTGTCATAATTATATCCACTCTTATTGATCGATTTTATATTATTTCAAGGACAACATTGTCTCAGTTGTAACTGCTGGCATTTTTGTACATATTTTGAAAATTTGATATCACAGATTTCCTTTTTGTAAAAATAGATATTCAACATTTTTGCGGATACCGTGTTTGGCGAGTCCGATGCGGGTATAACAGGATGCGTTCGTGGATGCTTCACTTCGCGGATTAATTGTTTTCGAGGTTTGCTGTTTTATGTCTTGTGTCCGATTATTTGAATCGATATTTGTGGTTTTACTGTAACCACGCAAACAGCAAAAATAAATTGAACAGTGTAAGTTTCGGGATATCCAGTATATTAGTAGATATTTATAGTAAATTGACGGAGCTTCTGTCTTGTTACATATCTACCATTTCATTTGTAAGTTTACTTGTAACATGCCCATTTGTTGTAAATGTACGTATCTTTATTGCTCATTATTATTATACATTTTTCATTGAAATGTTTCGATTCTCTGTTAATCTTGTTCGTAGTTATTGTTAAACATATATACGCAATCAACTCTGTGATTCTTTAGATTCTTTAAAAGCATGTTTTAATAAACTTGATTACGCATATATTGTACTTATTGCATTATTTCAAATCACGTGTGTATAATAATCACATGAAATATAAAGTCAAAAACAATCCGTTTAAAAATGTATTAAGCCGATGCAGCAGTCCAAACAAAGTTGTAATTATGCTAATTACGACAATGTACAGCAATAACACCCCATGGACAACTCCCAATGTACATGGTTATTATGTAGACAGTTGACATACCAGTCTCCTTTGTTTGAATTGAGATACTTTAACGGGTAGCATACATCAACATGCGATTTTTTCGTCTCCATGAGTATATACTTAACAAATTGTGAGCAAAGGGAAATAACTCCTGGCAGACGAGGACGTAAATACTACCACTGTTCTAGTTCTCTGTCTATATTATACAATAGGATAAACAACACGAATACAAAAACTGTATTTCCCAGTGACATAGGCACTGACCGATGTTTATTTACAATCAACATGATTAATAAACACAATTACACAATAATGTACATCTCACACACAAACATATAACTCCTAACCTATTAATCTCAATATAATAACCCCATTTAAAAATTAAACTAGAGTTATGTGACTGTGACATTAAAGCCGCTCACCACTTTAAATTTAATTGCTTCAGTTACACGTTGAGCATCAATATCTACTATAATACCTCAGATATGTGTTCTGTATTCTGCTAATTGAAAATCAGGTCATGTGATGGTGTTGCCTTTGGAATTTCCAAAATCAATCACCTCTTAAATGATGCCTTAAAAACATTTCTCCCTCTCCTCTTTTTTCAACCTCTTTTGTGACGCATTGTTGTATTTTTCATTAATTAGCATCCTCCAATGATGTGACATGAGCATTTACGTGTAGAATGGCAATCGGTGAATGGATAATAAAGAATAGGTCCAATTAACAGTAGTGGGGAAACATGCATGGAGAAAAGAGACATTGTACTCCTTTTATTTTTATTTATTTTTTATTCATATTAATAATAATGATTAGTATATGTAGTGACTTTATTTACTGTCATTGAATATTCAATTCATCACAAAATCTCACAAATATTTGAATTATATTTCTCAATACGACTTTACCAACATAAGAGTTATTTCCCTTGCACCGGATTGGATAATATTTTGACACAGCGCGAATTCTTGTCAAACAGCAGCGGCAGTTGTGTCATGGTCTTAAATTGTTACATTTTCATAAATAAATACAAGAGAAATAGCATGCTGTGTTTCAGAGATGTTTGATAAGCATGCATACACAGTTCACATATCGGCTCGTCTCAGAGCCACGTGGTACTGGTAGATTACCGTTATCAACCTAAGCACGATATGTTATAGTACGTTCCCGTTTGAAACAACAAAATAGAGGCTATATTTCATCACTCATACGTTTATAAGTATATGTATTTACTTCTTCCTTGTACTTACCAAATATTAAAAGCTAGACCGTACAGACAGTGGCAATGCTTGACAGTACTTTTTCGACACTTGAATCTTTACGCGTGTGTATTTAGTTTTCACCACCACAACACTCGTAGAATGCACCGGAGATAAACATTTTGTTTTCAGCAATTATTTAAAGTATGGATTATTATTTGGAGAAGACTTTATGTAACCCACAGGTGAGTGTCAGAGATTCTATTTACAATAACGAAACTATATAGCGGAAGCATGCAGGAACTGAATTACGCGCACGCACACCGAACGGAAGTAGGTCCGTCATTTCGTTCTCTGAACAGAATCAGAGCTAAAAATACACGTGTGCCTCTTGTTACCTGTGTCGCCTGAATGACACGTATTGGTAACAACCCAACCATTTGCACGTGCAAATACCACTAATAGCGCCACCTATTGGCGTTTCTCATACCAAAGAGAAAATAATTACATCCTAATTCCTACCGTCAACCGGTTAAAATTGTATGTATACATAACTAGTGTATAAGCATTGTGTCAATTTTAGAAGAAAAAAAACATAATTTGTTTAATTTGTTTGGGCAGTTTACAAGAAATAAATGTGATATGCAAAAATGTTTTCTCATTTACTTAAACAACTACTGTCATGGTACAAAGAGAATCTCAACCCAGCAGCTATTAAATGGGATTTTTTTTATGAAAAAGATATCAGGAGAGTTTCATAAATGTCAGAAATAAGGAAACAACTTAAACATTCTTTTTATCATTCACTAAACTAATGCTTGAACAGTTGCACTGATTGTTGAAACACCAAGAAGTCGGTCTGCCGTGAATTTGTAGTCAATTTCAACATGTTTTATTGACAAAAGAAGTCAACAGGATTGGAGATCAGGCATTGGCTATATAAGTCCTCTCCTTAAAGCTACAATTAGTGGTGAACACATTGTTTACAGATAGTAAAGACATTTACATTGTACAAAGGGGAAGTAACTCCTCCAAAGCAGATTGTAAACTTTTATGCAAACACGATTTATTTAACTTAGCTATAGCTACACTTATTTTTTTTATATATCTTATGGAAATATTCAAAACATACATATTCGGAAGATTTGGCTTTAAAATAGATACAGGCAGTACAAAGTCTATATGTGAATTTATATTTCCGAATTATTTCTTGTGACATCACAATAGACTTTTACCTGTTATATAACGAGTATTCTACATTGAATAGGAACTTTAGTTTTTGTTTCGCTACAAGGATTTCTGAATTTTTGAATGGGATTAAACTCGACCCTTTGCATCTGTTTATTCTCCTTGTTCGAACCTATCATTTTGATAATATCCCAGTGCTACAGGATGCGAAGATGAAAATTCTTAGTTTTCAATTCTCCCTACAACAACCGTCTTACTTTTGTGAGAACCTCACAGTGATGTCATTTTAGAAATGCACGGTAGTAAATTTTCTTGGTTTCGTATTATCATTCTTGTTTATATTTCTTATATCGACGCAGATGTTCAATCAATTGATCACGAATTTTTTTCATTGTTTAAAATGCGGATACATTTTCCTGTCCAGATCGTATCTCATAAGCCTAAATCATAGATTCATTGCCTAATTTCACATTTGTTTAAACGTAGGAGTGACCCCGTTAGTAAACATATCATTCTGAGTTTCAAGTTCAAGTTCAAGATTTGTATTACTTTGAGTATTTCAACTTGTGAGATTGAATTAACTATATGGAAATGGTTCAATCAGATAACGACATGTGCTCGATACAGAAGTTATAAATAGGAAAAACGCTTTGTTAGAATTGTATTCATAGACAGGTTGTGTCTATCATGACGTACGTAATAACTTAAACCAAAACATAGAGACCAACACAGACAGCATAGCAAAGGCCTATGACGTACGTATCCTAAGTTGATAAAGAAAGGCCAACATAACCGATAACCTATCAAATAATATGTTCGATCATGGACGACTAACCTACAGCATAAATAGTATGGGCTGTAAACGTGTTATAAAGAGCTTCATTCAAACTTTAATAGTGTATCTGTCGTGATCGCTATTGAGAGCCTAATATCGGTCAGGCTACGGGAGCTGTCAATACTAAACATATCTGTTTGCGATAAATATTTTAAGAATTCATGCATTGTATTCATAGCTTAAACTGTCAAAACGATTATCGATTGGAACACTACCAACTTTATGGAAATCACATATGCACATACCTGTATGATTGTGATAAGTCACAAGGTGAAAATTAGCCATGTAACCGCATTTTCATATGCAATGCCAAGGGCGAATTGTTGTGTTCCATACCATTAGCTATTCAATCATAAATTTGTGTAGTTCTGTATTATTATATCATTTAGCACATAAATTCACGATGTTCGGTACTCATTTTGGTAAATAGACAAAACAGTATTTTGTTTAAGAGTTTTCATATATGACTAAGCTGTTTGTAAAACAGACATTTGTTATGGATGTGACGGGATTGTCTCCCTTATCAAACATATACAATAAGGTTTCAACCGGATAATTAAAAATATTTGTTTACAAGAAACCTACTGGATAGTTTATAAAACCTTAATAAACAACAAGTGATTTCCAAAAGGGAAAAAAGGATGAAAATATAGAACAAATGTCACTCTTAGTCCAAATATTTCGGCCTCCTGGCTTTCTTCAGGGGCGAAAGTCAACGGTTGTTTCAACTAACGTCATACATTTGCACGTCATTTCCTGTGCCTCCGAATAATCGTTGACTTTCGCCCTTGACGTACATACATATAATAAAATATGCGCTTATATTGCTTGAAGTTTTTATTTCAATACTTTTTAGGTCAAATAATTGACACATACATATTTAAATGCAGAACATGATCAACACATGTGAGATTTAAAAATAAACAGAACTTGATCAAAACTTGATATTTAAAAAAACAGGTAGTCAAAAATAACGAAATAGAAGTGATTTTGGAATATCACTTTTATTATGAACTTACCGAAATTATAATAATTAACAATATGACTCAATAACCAAAATAATGTATAATTCAAATCATAATACACAATGCATCGAATATCAACAAGCGCATAAATAAACAAACTATACAAACGTTATCATCTGTGGTTTCTGATATTTACTCGGAGTGATTAATTTTAGAACATTCATTATGCTGATGTCAACAGTCAAGGCGACTCCAAGTACTCAATTCAGTTCTCTACGTAGACGGTATAGTACTCAAATACTGATAGTCCTCTGCAAAAAAACTAGGCGTTAGATCGACATAGGTAATGTTACACTGCAGAGTTTTAAGATAATATATATATATAACTACCTGGTATGGTGCAAGAGAGGGGTATCGGATAGCCCACAGAGGGCATTTTTCAATGTAACAAAAGTATCGTCTGCGGGATATACGCAAGACATTACGGTTTATGCATTAAAGAGTACTGGACAGTGTATATGATTTAAAAAGGATTCCGTCTTTGCGTATTGCAGAGTTATCCTCTCTTGTGAGCAGGTATTGATTGTTACGTCATTGGTTTGTGCGAGAAAAATTACGTCTCAAAAGTTGATGACAATTCGTCTCGGTAAATATACCCTTCACAGGTCCATATTCATGTAACCAAATATCCACATCAACGAAAGTCTGTAACTGATAAATAGAACCTCATATATAAGTTAGGGACTATAAACTGTGTATTAAAGATAGGATAAAATCACTTAATAATAATAATTATCATTATTCGAGGTTTAATATACCGCTTTATCACAACACATAATTCGCAGGTCGTCTCAAGGCGGTTCACAAATTAGTATCCGTGGTTATAGGGCCTTTGCAACCAGCCAATATCTTTCTAAACTCCCTAGGGAGCATACAGCCGGTGCTGCCATTTCGGCGCTCGCAGCTACCATCACGATTCTACAATTCTAACACTTCCCAACCACGTACTCATTTACAGCTGAGTAGACTGGAACAAGCGGAGTAAATTATATTGCTCAAGGATACAACACGGTGTAACACTTATAAGCTATCTATTGCAAAATTAGTTAAACACATACCATTTATAAAGGTTACATTACTAGAACTGATAAAAAGACACACGCACAGCCTTGTCCTTTATGTAGTTTACCATACATATAGATATATCAAGCCTACAAATCGGCTCATTTTATATCAGATCTGTTGACACGTGCGAATGGACTATCCAATATTGATTACACTATAGCAAAAAACACCATACAGATTCAAAACAAATTGATTCCAAAAGCCATATAGGTTGTCTTATTAAGTAAAGATATAAACCTGAGCTTGTGGTCTGTATTATCGGACTAAAAAGATCACTAATCATGTCTGGAGATAGCATGATTTATGATACACGGTCACTAATATATCAAGTTGTATGTAGTCACTAGGACGATTCCCTCAAACCCTTGCCTACATGAAACTATTTTTCTGTCGACAATTTGAGGCACATATTCATTCTACCAACTCACATTATAAGGAACTTTACAACAATATAAGTAAACTTATTATTTGAATCGAATTCCAACCGTTTTCAAATATATAGATAGATTAGATGCTAACACACGCAAACAGCTACATGTATATGACAGAGTACGTGTATTTTTGTGTTTATTGTACCGGTTAAGTATTGACGAGTATAGGACAGAGTATGTGTATTTTGTGTCTGGTGTACCTGTAAGGTATGCACGAGAAAAAAACAGAGCATGTGTATTTTTGTGTATATAGTTCCGGTTAAGTATTTAGGAGTATAGGATAGACTATATGTATAATAATGAAAATAAGTGAGTACAGATATTCACAGGTATTGTAGGATGCATCCTCTACAGGAAGAACAGTGATTCCATGTGACGTGAAAGCATATTCAAGATATTGCCATATATTAACAAGTGATTTTTTCTCACAGTTAAAAGTGTCGATAGTATTGCCCTCTTTTTATTCTACACCGGAGGCCTCAACTTCCGTTTCAACTTCCGCTTCAACTGCCGTTTCCGGATTTGACGAATCGTTCATTTCATTCATAGCTTCTTCATTTTGGGCAGAAATTTCATTTTGTCTAACAATAGCTTCAGCCGCTTTTCTTTCATTTTCTTGCATTATTTCTATTTCTATTTGTTCCTTATTAAATTCTGTTTCTTCGATAGTTAAAGACACCGTATCCTCTTCTTTCTTGTTCCTTTCTTCTAACATCATTTTCATCATTTTCTTTCTACTTGGAATCTGCAAGAAATAATATGGGATATGGATGCGTACGGTATGGGATATACCGAATATACTATTTGCATATCGCATAAATATGCAAGTACACACAGACATTTTTGGTATATAACGTATGGGATAATGTACGATATGGTATGATAGTATTATACCTCTACATTTCTAAGGAATAACCAGCATTATTTTGACGGTTTATACCGAATATAATGTTTCCAGTTTGCATAAATATGCAAAGCAGTTTATGAACTAAAGAACACAGATTTTTTCGAAATATAATGTATAACCTCAAGAATTAAACTTGGTTTTCCCTTTTTATTTCATATATAGATACAGACAATATGTTTTAGTTCACAACAGATGACTATTCATTGTTTCTGAGAGAAAAAAAATAAAATTATTTTGCATAAAACACAACATGCGAGGCGGTTTATGCACAAAAGTACACACAGATTTTTTTGGAACATGATGTATAACCTCAAAAAATAAACCTGGTTATCCCATATAATTTGATATGAAAAGATGCACAACATTTTTTAATTCATAACAGATGACTATTTGTAATTTCTGATAAAATCTAAAAAAAAAAGTGCACAAAACTTGACATTGCGTAGTAATTACATCGCCGAGTAATTTCAACCTATTAGAAGTTTGAATAATAAATACCGCGACAAAACATTGTTATGCATGTACGAAATTACCTGAAAAAAGTTAAGCATTGGAGGAATAGCCAAAATTAAATCATAAATCGAACGTGGGAACATACATTTTGAATACCACTGACACAAAATATATTCCGTCTTTGCGCATTGCAGAGTTATCTTCTCTTGTGATCAGGTATTCATTGTTACGTCATCGGTTTGTGTGAGAAAATTACGTCGTTTTCTCAAAAACTGATGACGTTACTCTCACAAACAAATGACGTAACAATCAATACCTACTCACAAGAGAAGATAACTCTGCAATACACAAAGACGGAATATATTAGACAATTACATACGATGTCTAGTACAAATGCCCCGTTTTCAAAAAACCTTATGGCTGTATAAAAGTAACAATTTTCTGTTTGTTAGAATTTATCAGACTGGATAGATATTTATATATATCATCAAATCAATTATGTATTTAAGATCGATTATTACATACCGGCTTGTATTCACACTTGCAGCAATAAAATATATTTCTTGATATCCATGTCTGGTTATACCGAAATGTACCCCCAAACGCCACGGCTTTTCCTCTGCAACACCTATATATAACAATAAGGTCTTAATTAGGTCATTTTTTTTTTCTTCTTTTTCAAAATTGTCAATGTAAGGAATTCATTACTACTATACAAGTACCAAAATGTAGCACTAATACAAATTACTTTAAAGGTGTAAGGGGCGTTATAAACAAAATGTTCAAAAGGGGCGAACATCCATAATAACCGTTTCCTAGGATAAACCTCGACTATAAATTAGAGTGTTCATACTTGGAAAACAATACGGCTGAATCTTTTCTCGATAAAGAAGATGTTACAAATGAGCAGCTTTTAAGGACAAAACATCAGCGTCTGTTTCTTTTGTCTTTTTGCCATACTTTGTTTTCGTTTGTTTTGCTTTTCTCTCTCCTTAATTATTTATTTGCGTCATTGGTTGTCAATCTCAGTAACAGTCGAAGGAATATAAGAGTAATTATCTAAATAACTGAAAACGTGTTTACCAACAAAGTCGTACGCAGAGTAAGACGAAACATAAGGCGAAGGATAAGAAAACAGTCGCAGCAAATATTCCCCAGAGTGTCAAAAGCCAGGTAGGAACTGCAAAATATACATAAAACCAAATTTACTTGTGCATGTAAGTCTTGGTTAGAAAATGCATTAGAACCTGATAATATCAGACACATATTAGTTATCGATTATTGATTAGTTACATATTGATATATAAGAATAAGAAACAAAAAATGGAAATAATACAAGTGGTCAGTGTGAACTAGTAACATTTAATTACCACAAATTAGAGAATAATATAACACTCTTAAATTAACCAAAATGTTTCATTCCTATCCAAAGGATCTAATGTCTCACTACAGGCAAAACAATCGGGGATTGTAAATTGACGTCAATATCAAGAAATATAATGACCTCAAAGCGAGAACTAGGGAAGGGCATAAAAAGGTAAAGTAATGACCATCATCAAAGACGTAAACCCTTTTATCACATAATGTGCTGTGTTATCCAGTAAATATACCCATGTCATATTCTTTTAGCGTATTAGCCCATGTAATATGACCAATCAGCCCTGTTATTGGTTGTAAGTTTTAATTGTTTCAATTGTGACGTCACGCCTAGGACAAGTACATGACGTCACAGACTTATGCGCTGGAGTCAAAATTTCAAGGTTGCATGAAAATAGTCGCTTTAAACGAATGAATGCCACAAATCTTGATTATGCGAAAAAAATCTTACAATCGTTTTCATTTCATATGAAATTTATGAAACTCGTCACGAATGTTTCATTTTAGCTCGCCTCAAAATTCCAAGACTCGTTTCATAAATCTTATATGAAATGGAAACTCATGTAAGATCCTATATTTATTACACAAAAAAATCGCAATGATCATGATGGCGACAAGACAACGTGTTCATGGTCTTCAATAAACTTCATCTCTGGAAACGTTCGTCAATCATGATCTTTCGAGCAGGCTCTTGAATAAAAAAAAACAACTGCCACATGTAAATACCATAGAATGGGGAAGTGAATCGAAGCCAGGCATCCGAGGAAGATACATCGTATTTAGCGTCCGTCATGATATCTCAGTGAATTCCAAGAAAGAATTTAGATCAACAACGATCTACGAAATGTTAAGTAAAAAATAATTGTATTACTATGTTTAAATGTAATAATAAAGTCACTAAAAAGTCAATGTTTAAACATACCTTCAGGTCTGTGAAAAGAACTGGTATAATTCGATTCTCCAGACAATGCCTCAGTCCGCCAGTTAATCATACAAGCTGGGAAATCTTGACTCCATTTTCCATACTCACAGAGTACCACCTCGTAACCCTGGATTTTGGTTCCCCAGACACACTTATATTCAACAGCGGTAACATTAATGGCATGCACGGTCGCACCAAGGATGGACGGTGGGTCTCCACATTCTGTAGTCATCTTGATTCTACGGATGGTACCTGTTGAATTCTGGTTTGGTAGTCGTTCTCCTGGAGAAATGCAATAGAAAAATGTGTTGCTATAATTTAAATGATTTTTTAAAAATTGCGTCATTCAAATGCTTAAGCCTGAGATTACGATAAGGCGGATAAGTATACATGTATACACTTCCCTAATTACGTCCGAATGTTGTGCTTTAGTGATATGTCTACTTGCACTTTCTATCCGAATGAGAATGCTCAGACGCAATAATGATATCAGTGATCAGATCTTTGAATGTGTAAAAAGGATAATATTTTCATCTTTTATGTTTTTTAGACAACGTATTACATATACCTGGTACTGTAAAAAGGCTAGCACATCTGACGCTTTGCATTTGCCAATTCCGTCTTTGCGTATTGCAGAGTGATCTTCTCTTGTGAGCAGGTATTGATTTTTACGCCATTGGTTTTGGGTGAGAAAATTACGTCGTTTTCTCAAAAATTGATGACGTTACTCACAAGCAAATGACGTAACAATCAATAACTGCTAACAAGAGCAGATAACTCTGCAATGCGAAAAGACGGAATATATATTTGGAATTGAAATATCATCTAGTTTGCATTTATATAATTTAGGATTTACATTGGAATTAATTTGAACTGGTTGTTTGGGAGGAGAAATACTCTTCAGGAAATGGATAGACAACGTGTTGGACAAGGAGGTCTAGTTAAGTCTATTCTGCCTCGCCTGGTTTGAGAATTCTTTGTTAGTGTATTACTAATTATAGGACTTGTGGCATATCAGTATGACATTAAGTCTGTAAATCAAGAGAAAAGGTGAATAAAGGTATCATAGACCCCAATTATAATGAGCTTTGTGTGTGGTTTTATTATCAGCCAAATTCTCATATTATTATGCTTATAATGAATTATGTACGGAGAACAAACAGACAGTGTTGACACAATTGGATGCAAGATTTGTATATAATTTTAAACACAAATGGGAAAATGCAAAGTTCTGAGTGGTTTTAATATGACAGCACCGGCTGTATGCCCACACAGGGAGTTGAGAAAGATATTGGATGTTTGCAATGGCCCTATAACCACGGATACTAATTTGTGAACCGCTTTGAGACAACCTACGAACTAGGTTGTGATATAGCGGTATATAAGAACCTCAAATTTTATTATTATTATTATCATTATTATGGATGTGAACATTTACATATGACCGACCTGTCAGTCCGAACTAAAGCAGAGTATATTTCTGTTTATCTTGGGTTGAAATATTATGTTGATGTCAAAGTTAATATTGGAAATAGTTGCCATTGAAAATGAACGTTCACCAAATGTATGGTTCAAAACGTTAGGCATTACTACTTCATAAATAGATTTTTTTGGGGTATTCTCTAAACACACTTAAACATATGTATTTACATGACAAACCTTTATAGATATCAATAAACTTTTGTTATACTTACTTTGATAGCTGCATGAATGATTCGTCTTCCTGACTGGTTTAACTTCTACTTTTTATATTAATTAGGCTTCAAGTAAATCCTCCAAATCTTGTACAGTTGCACAGCCTTATAATTATGAATTCTAACGGAACAGCATAATTGAATCAGTCACTGGAAAGATACGGGTGAGAAGTTCCGCTCTAGCCGAGGTTTACCGGCCAGACTTCTTTTTGACTCGCGATATACGTCGTATAAAACTGTTGAGCTGTGTACTGGGCGAACAACGCAAACCCAGTATGTAAGATAAAGGAATATATAATAAACTTATGAATATGTTTAAAGTTAATCTTATAAAGTATTTGTGAAATATAAAGATTTTCCCTCTCCATCAATTTGTAGTAAACTTTAAAATCTTAGAGTGCAGTTTATTAAAAGATATTATTGGAAGAATCTTTTTGTTTTAAGGTTATTCAGTTGTTAAGTTTAAAAAATAATAAACAGCTATATACATTAAGGATTTTTTTCTTTGAGACTTACAAGTAAGAAACCATTTTATTGATTAATCATCATGAATTTGAACGTACATCATTCTCAATACATTGTATTCTGTATCATATAATGAAGGGCTTGTGGCATGAAAATTGAATAAATCTTTAATCTTGACACAAGTATTTTCATTTGGAGGGGAGACGTATTGTTTTACGATCTTGTTGATACGTCGTATATTTTGACTCTATGAGATAGAGAAATACGTTTAAGACCTTTAAACAATACAATCATATCGTGCCAACACTGGTTACGATGAGCGATATAATAGCTTGGCTCAGGTGTATCAAATAATTTATAGGACGTGTGTGTATATGTTATGATAGAACCCTATTGATAGACAAATGCATCGTTAAATTACATGTACAATTTATCTCTTCGCACTGTATATTTCTCTTTATAGCCTGCAGTGGAATTGGTTGTCCAAAATGGCTGTTGAATCGGTTTAATAACAATATACCGATTCAAAATGGCTGTTTAAAGGACCGTAGCAGACGGAAACGTATGTATCACTCTTCTATACAATACTTTCATATCGAGAAGTCATTTGTGAATATTTGCTTGAATAGCAACGAAGGGAGCAAAATTTGATAGATTAATATATTAACATATTGCTTCATATTATATATTTCTAATCTTGGCTTACTTAAATCACATGGAAGCTTTAATTCAAACTGACATCACATTCTCAACGTACATAACAGTACAATTTTAATGAACACTATCGTAAAACATGTTGACATATATTTATTGCTATTTCAAAGGCTACTAAATAAGCACAACGTCTCGGCGCATAATCTGTTTTATATTCTTGCAGAAGTGAGATAAGCTAATTGACGATCCTTTGTTTTCGCATTCTAGAACCAATGCAGAAATCTTTACATCATATTTCTTTCACAAAAAATAAATAAATCTTTAGACTTTACGTATTCTTCGTCATCTATGCCATATCAAGAAGTTCACCTGTAGTGTGATGAAACATTTGGTTGCACTTATAAAAGTTAGTCATGGATAGAGTACGCCATAGGTGAGTTACACTGCACAAAACAGGGGTTTCGTCCTTCTGGGAGTCATCGATGGTTCTAGGGACCGTAGAGGTGGACGTCCTAATTGGTTTATATTACTTATAAAACAGAAGGTAAGGTCCGTCAAACCCCTATATATGAATTTCATGAATTAGAGGAATACTGTTGATTTTAAATAAATTATAATAAAATGAGTATTGTATAAACCATGTACGTGCCTATACTCCAGAGTGATAGTTCAGATAGTCTCTGTTACAGCAAACGTTGGCAACAAAGAAATCCACATGTAGCGTCTACCATCTTGTATTTTGAAAGATGAAAGGTATACACACTCATTTGATTGCACACATATACGCTACAAGAGGCTTCAACGAACGTAGCAGTACCTCTAAGCCTCCACCACAGGGTCGCGGGTTCGAGACCTACGTGGGGCAGTCGCCAGGTACTGGCCGTAGGTCGGAGGTGTTTCTCCGGGAACTCCGACTTTCCTCCGCCACCAAAACCTGGCACGTCCTTAAATGGCCATAGCTGTTAACAAGACGTAAAACAAAAACAAGAAAACAAACAAAATCAATGCACGTTTGATGTATGCTATTGTGGCCTTCATGACATGTTTTCCAATACAGCACTCCAATGTCTGGTATAATTTAAGACCTCTTCAGGTGACCTTTCTGTATTTGACATGAGCATTCAAGGAAGATGAGGGCCACGTATAGTAAACGGAACGATTGCCCTGTCAAATTTACAAATCCTTTGTTCCCTTTTTATTTTGATGTCTTCTCTTTTTCTGATTACTTCGTGTGTTGACTGTATGGGAAATCGCTTTTCATTTTAATTTTCAGTTGTCAGAGTGTAGGCTGATTCTTCATCGTCCCTATGACCTGTCCTGACCCCCCGAGCGTTGCCAATGGTTACATCTCGTCAAATACTAGTACCTCCGTGACCTACGCCTGCAATGACGGGTTTGGACTGTCGGGGTATGCCCAGGTTCTCTGCAGTGGTGGGGCCTGGGGTACCCTTCCTTATTGTTACACAAGCTGGAACAGGAACAACAACAACTTTATAGCTACGGGAAATGTGTCTTCTACGCTCGAGGAACCAGAAGGTGTGAAACTGATGAGGAAACCTGTCACATTCAGGTTCACTGACTTATACAAATAAGTTTAATTACAACTTCGTGTAAATTGTAAAGCAACTGCGGTATTAACCGTAGAAATAACATAGATTCTATACATGATTATAATTATCACTTATTTCCTATGAGAGAAATATCAATTAATGTGGATACAATAAATAAGACTGGATATAAGTAGTAGAAATATTATCAAATGTAGGTACTAGAATTATGAATTAATGAATAAAATTAATTGAAAATATCTCGGAATGTTATTACTAGAAATATCACAGAATGTAGATAGTAGATGCAACTTGAATAAAGATGCTAAGAATAAACTCCGAATTGATATAAGAGATATTACTGGATGTTATTACTTAATATGAACAGGATGTGTCAGTAGCCTATCGTGATATCTAAAAACATAGTGCAACACAATATGTCCATTACGAATATTCCCATTGCTTTTGTGTCTCTCACTCAATGTTCTATACTCTACTGAATATAAACACTAACATCACCATAAGTGCACAAATGACACTTTATGTGATCAAATCAAATAACAGTATTCCGTACCACTTTACAGCGACTCCGGACTACATAATCTACGGGGTGTATGGGGCTGTTGGATCGTGTATCCTCGCTCTACTGGCTGGATGCCTGCTGTGCTGGCTCCATCAATGCGGGTCAGTTGTGAAATGAATATAAGATGCAGTATTGTTTAAGAAATAATTAATTCAATACCTATGTGTTTTATATTTAGCACAATGTAAAACCAGAAAAAAACTACGTTTGTTCTAACCTTGAAATATATTTTGCGATTATGCACCAACAACAGACAGCTAGTGTCTTAGTCCATGTTTTACAGATTTTGATGAATGAGAATATGCAGTTTGTAATGAACTTTAGAAGAACACATTTACGATTCACCATCATATGTTCCCTGATATCTTAAATGAAACGTTATTGTATGCGTTCATTGTTTGACACTCATAAAATGTATCAAATCAAATATTTTCTTTCTTTCACATATTGTTCATTAACCCACTAACGTACAACAGTCCAGCTGGTGACAACGCTAATGAACTCTATTACTCCCGTGTGGTGTTTGACGGGGAAGTATTTAAGATGTTTGTGTATAGTATACATGTAGGTTTGACCTAGCTATTACTCAAAATCAGGAAAAATCAGCCGATACTTTCTTTTAAATTTCAAATACAATGTATCAGTAAAATAAGTTTTTCTCTTTGACTCTTTTTCCAAATCTGGTGAAAAAGTCCTGACTGACACTGAGTAAAAACACGTTTGGCAATTGGCATAACTAATGACATAAATATTCCAATTCGAACATAAGCGTTATGCTTCAATCAACCGAGCGTGATATCACATATTTTTTGGTTTTGATGTGATGCACGTGCAAACTTTTTAGACCAAATGATCAGGTAAAATGGCAAAAAAAGTAAAAAATTGTAGATATCCCTTTTAGCCGGAAAAAAGATTGTCTCTGACTTGCATTCGAACTGCAGTTGGACAGTTGGATTATAACTTGCGTACATGTAGTGATATTGGAATGAGAGGTGCTGGAGAGGAGCTACAACACTGTAACTTTTTTTTTTTTTTTTAATTTCCTTTATACTTCATGTACTGAACGTTTCATTCCTACCTTATCCAGGTGTTACGACGGTCCTGCGGTGGGGTTCGGCGGGAGCTACGTATATAGTGACCGTCGTTGCTGCTACTGGGGGGATCTCAACGTAAATTGCTGTAATTTTCAGTGTAGCTGCTGCAAACGGCGATGTTGTCGATACGTTAGAAAGGTACTTTTATACTTTGTTCAAATTAGAAAAACGTTATTTGATCAAATATGTCTTACTTTTTTGTTGTTGTTGTTGTTGTTGTTGTTGTATTTTAGTTTTTAAATCTTACAATGGATTCTTTATTTCTATTTTACATTATCATCTATTAATTATAGTCAGGAATGCATCGAATCATATTTATCGCAATACATATTTTGTCTTTAACAGAAATCACACGGAAAGGTACACTTCCAAACAACACCCACACCAGAACACGTTGCATTACAAAAGTTTCTGATGAAAAAGAAAAGAAAGCGAAGGTTCGGACCAATCCCTTGCTGCTTGCGCGCAGGAAGATGCCTTTTGGGTTGTTTACTCTGCTGCTGTAGGTGGAAGCGACGCAAAGCTAAGCTTGCCAAACAGCTGGAGAAAGCTGAGGAGGTATATATTTTAACAGAATATTTCCATATGGTGCTATTGTGGAGGTACGGTAGCCCAGTAGTAGGATGCCGGGCTCGTAACGACAGGGTTGCGGGTTTGAGTCACGTCAAGGCACTGTGTTGTATCTTTGAACAAAATACTTTACTCCGCTAGTTCTTATCAGCTGTAAATAGGTACGTGGTTGGACAGTGCTAGAATTGTTGAATGCTAGCTGTGAGCGCCAAAATGGAAACACCGGCTGTATGCTCCCAGAGAGTTGAGAAAGATATTGGCTTGTTGCAAAGGCCCTATAACCACGAATATTAATTTGTGAGACGACCTACAAACAAGGTTTTGGCAAAAACATTCGGCAACATGTTTATCGTATTTAATATAACAATAAAATATACGACATCTTAAATGGATTTCCAACTTTCTTGAAAATATTTGTCATCATGATTCAATGTCTAATATAGTTTAGAAGACATCTAGAGAGTGATATCTAACGAGTAATAATAAAGATTAATGTCTAAACAGACGATATATTATGTTTAAAAACTAAACTTTATGTTTATAAAGAGTATATCTAACGAGTGATAATTAAGATTTATGTTTATAAAGAGGATATCTAACGAGTGATAATTAAGATTAATGTCTAAACAGACGATATATCATGTTTAAAAACTAAACTTTATGTTTATAAAGGGGATATCTGACGAGTTATAATATAAGATCTATGTCTGTATAGAGCATATATCATGTGTAAAAACTCAACTTTATGTTTATAAAGAGGATATCTAACGAGTGATAATTAAGATGATTTATGTTTATAAAGAGGATATCTAACGAGTGATAATTAAGATGATTTATGTTTATAAAGAGGATATCTAACGAGAGATAATTAAGATTAATGTCTAAACAGACGATATATCATGTTTAAAAACTAAACTTTATGTTTATAAAGAGGATATCTGACGAGTGATAATATAAGATCTATGTCTGTATAGAGCATATACCATGTGTAAAAACTAAACTTTATGTCTATTAAGAGGATATCTAACGAGTGATAATTAAGATTTCTGTCTGTATAGAGGATATCTAACGAGTGATATTTAAGATTTATGTCTGTATAGAGGATATCTAACGTGGGAAAATCAAGTTTGTGTCTATATATAGAGCATATCTTACGATTTATGTCCAAATAGAGGATATATTTTGAGTAATATTTAAGATTTATGTATTTTTAGGAATTATCTAAGAGTGATACATATACCTAAGACTGATGTCTAAATAGAGGATATCCAACGAGGGAAAATTCTTCATGATTTGTATATGGATAATCAACGAGAAACAATTCATCTGACATATTTAAATAGATTATATACAACGAACAATGATGGATACTTATTAAGATTCTTGGGTTTATAGACATTCATCTTTATATGTTATAGAGAAGAACGTACATGTACGTAGAATTTATTATAGAAACAACGCACACAAATCATTATTATTTTCAAACTCTGTATACCTGTTCGATCCTAAAATAGCCTGCGCACTGAATAAAATACTAACCTTTCTCTATATTAAAAGCGTTATTTAACTTTTCTTTTCCGGAGAAAACTCTGCGTAAAATTTTATTTCATTATGCAAGTTTGATATTGTAAAGTAGCGTGACGTCATGGCTCACATAATGAAATTATGAAAATAAACAATACATATGAACAAGAAGTAACAAATCATAAAACAGTCACGCCATAATCTGTTCGTTAACTTGTTTCCAGAGTTGTGTACTCACGATAAGTCAATAGAAAACAACGTAAACTTTTATTGTATTATACCAAAAAGGAACCTTATTTACATTTCAGGAAAAACTGCTGAACGTTATTGTAGTCCAAGAGACAAAGGTAATTTATTTGTTGACATACTTTGAACTAACTCTAGTGACACTGATAACTCGTTTGTTTCACATATTCATTGTTTAAATATTTCAATCATTTTTAGTAGTTAATATGTTCTATACATAGAATAATTCATTTTAATGCGTACCTAGTGAATTGTTAAGAAATGTAGCGCCGAAATGGAAACACCGGCTTCTTTATGCTCCCAGAGAGTTGAGAAATATAGTGGCTTGCTGCAAAGGCCCTATAACCACGAATATTACTTTGTGAGACGACCTACAAACTAGGTTTTCAAAAAAGAGGTTTATATGAACCTCGAATTATTATCAGTATCATTATTCGGCAACATGTTTATCGTATTTAATATAACATTAAAAGATACGACATTTAAAATGGATTTCTAACTTTCTTGACAATATTTGTCATCATGATTCAATGTCTAATATAGTTAAGATGACATCTAGAGAGTGATATCTAACGAGTAATAAAAAAGATTAATGTCTAAACAGACGATATATTATGTTTAAAAAAAACAAAAGGCTATTAAGAGGATATCTGACGAGTGATAATTAAGATTTATGTCTGTATAGAGCATATATCATGTGTAAAAACTAAACTTTATGTTTATAAAGAGGATTCTAACGAGTGATAACTAAACTTTATGTCTGTATAGAGGACTTCTAACGTGGGAAAGTCAAGTTTGTGTCTATATAGAGAGAGGATATCTTACGATTTATGTCCAAATAGAGGATATATATTGAGTAATATTTAAGATTTATGTCTATTTAGGAATTATCTAATGAGTGATACATGTACCTAAGACTTATGTCTATATAGAGGATATCCAACAAGGGAAAATTCTTCATGATTTGTATATGGATAATCAACGAGAAACAATTCATCTGACATATTTAAATAGATTATATACAACGAACAATGATGGATACTTATTAAGATTCTTGGGTTTATAGACATTCATCTTTATATGTTATAGAGAAGAACGTACATGTACGTAGAATTTATTATAGAAACAACGCACACAAATCATTATTATTTTCAAACTCTGTATACCTGTTCGATCCTAAAATAGCCTGCGCACTGAATAAAGTAGCGTGACGTCATGGCGCACATAATGAAATTATGAAAATAAACAATACATATGAACAAGAAGTAACAAATCATAAAACAGTCACACCATAATCTGTTCGTTAACTTGTTTCCAGAGTTGTGTACTCACGATAAGTCAACAGAAAACAACGTAAACTTTTATTGTATTATACCAAAATGGAACCTTATTTACATTTCAGGAAAAACTGCTGAGCGTAATTGTAGTCCAAGAGACAAAGGTAATTTATTTGTTGACATACTTTGAACTAACTCTAGTGACACTGATAACTCGTTTGTTTCAAATATTCATTGTTTAAATATTTCAATCTTTTTAGTTGTTAATATGTTCTATGCATAGAATAATTCATTTTAATGCGTACCTAGTGAATTGTTAAGAAATGTCCTGTGTTTCACGTTGTGGAAATACAAGATGCTGTATTACTACAGTATAGTATACATGACTCCGTTTGAATGGAAGTCATCGGCTGGTATCCACTAATCAAATCGGCGTACAAAAAAACCCAATAATTGCTTAATAATTTAGAGCCTAAGGATTTGGTAGGCATAGAGAACACAAACATGACGTAATTGTGAGTTTTTAAAGAACAATAATAGTTATTTGTTAATACCAATACCAAACAAATGTTTTCATCTGACGTCTTTGATTTCACTCGTTTCACTTTCATGAAGGGATATGTTTACTTGGGATAAAGCTCTCGTGGAATATATTCATACACGGAATGAACTGATGAAAAGTATGTTATTCAATGTTTTAAACAATCAAAGCAAATGCTAATAATAAACTTTTGTTTTGCAATCTTGATCAGGACGAAGAAAGTAATATAATAAATGTTCAACCAATGGAGGGAAATCAAGATGGTGATCGGGTATGTTTTTGTCCTCCGTATGGTGTTACCTCTATAATCCCGTGTTTCAATGCTTGCTGACAGCTCGGGTATTTCATAGTCAATATAATAACTATGTACCTCCGTACTTCAAATGCAAATTAATAGACGTACAAATATCACAATATCCTCTTCTAGCTCGATATATCAACCTTTAAATAGATAATTGTTGTAAACATTAAGGAGTAGTATCTTTAGCTTTTACTGACATTTTGTATGGAATGTCTGGCGTTTAGCTGGTCAGAGTCTAGGTAAAGTCTAGGTAAAGTCTAGGGTAAAGTCTAGGTAAAGTCTAGGTAAAGTAGGTATATCATGGGGTTCACAATCAACGTATTTATTCTCATTTTATTTAATATATCTATGTATTATCTGGTTACTGAAACAAGTTCTTTATGGTAAATAAACACGAAGTCTACTAATAATCAGCACATCAAATAAACAACAAAAGTTCTAGCCCTTTAATGACTTTTTATATCTCTTGTGTATATTTTCTTATAAGGCTTTATGAAAGATTGATGTGAATATATTCACGTCTTTAAATAAAGTTATCATTTCTTTTCGGGGTTTTTAACTGTTTGAAGGAAAAAGTCGCAGAGAAGACATTATGGGCCACTCCAAAACCGGAAGAGGTAACTTTTATATGGAGAATATTCTTGTGGTTGTGTGGTTTCTTCACTTTCTCGGACTATTTCTTTTTCAAGTTCCTGTTCTTGGTTTTTACATTTATTTAAAGTGTACAATATAAGGTCACATACATTTGTACTTGGAATATGAAGTTCAAGTGAAGCGTTTCAATAAATTGTTAATGCTCATTGCTGTTGTCATTGTTAAAAAAGGGTTTGACAAACCATGATTTTTATTAATACGTAATCCAATAAATGTAATTAAAAATGAGAAACTACAAAAGATATGTATTTTGACAATTATACTTTTCTTATCCTGGTATAAGCGTTTATTTTCATTGATTATGACATTAATGTCTTGAATTCAACAAAAAAGGTTTGATTGTTTTGAATGAAACCAAGTAGATGTTCTGCTAACCGTTTAATAATGTTAAATTATTCAATCCATTTTTTACGATTAGAAAGGAAGACAGCTCTTACGCCAAGTACTTCATGCATAAGATGCAAGAGAAGTGGTTTCAGCATTTTTGTTATTGTCAATATCTGTTATGGTGTGTTTTCTTGTAGTTATTATACGATACAAAATCATATTTATCTGATCCCGACGTGGTAATTGCATAAGTCAAGAAGTATATATGATCAGTTATATTTAATCGAATCAACTGCAGAAAAAGCTTGAAACGAATAAGTTGTTCGACTGCAAGGTAGTTATTTGACAAACTCCTACGTGTGACCTATGGCAAGTCCAAACCTGTAAATCTTTGAGTCAATTCTGTATCTTTTTTGTTTGATTGCATTGTGTTTTTAAGGAATATTATTTGATATAATACATATATATCAATCTCTGTATGTTTCTACTATTGAAATATTGTTTATAATCAGCAAGAGCCCATCTTTAAGTAAACACAATCCCTTAAAGGAGGGTAAATCCTAAACCGATCATCACGTAATACGAACGTTTATACCGAAAGTAAAATGATAATGCTTATCGTTTAATGAAGGATGAAAAGAAAAAGGTTCCTGAAAAGAAGGCTGAACCCATCGGGCCACCATTAATGGCCATACGCGAAGCACCAACCAAACCTAGAGAGACAAAGCCCGAACCGGAAAAGGTAGGTTTCATATGGAGTAAATTGTGGTCTTTGATGCAGGTCTGTTATCCAGTGGTCCTTTCAATACTTATTTTGTTTGTTCTTTCTTCATGTTTATATACAATGTAACATATAATCACCTTATTAATTATTGATGTAGTAAATGTAAACATGAATATTTGAAAGAGATAAAGTTTTTGCTAAATTAAACTAAATATGTCAAGGGAAAAGAACAAGAAAAGAAAGTTGAGTCTGCCGTGCCTCCATTGATGGCAATACCCGAACCACCACCTAAATCTAAATTATCAAATCCTATTTTATGTGATCTCTTCATATTCTTTACTTTTTTCTTTCATTTCCTCTGATTTTCTTTCCATCCACATTAAGTTTGCATAAAACCTTACCTACCGGATAATTAAATTATGTTTATTGTACAAATGAAATGTTAGCATGAATACTTTTTTTTAATAAATTTAACTTATTTCTTATTAAATATATCAAGGAAAAAGTAAAGAAGGCTGAGCCTGTTGGACCTCCATTGATGGTCATACGTGCACCACCACCAAAACCTAAAAAGAAGAAACGCAAAGAGGAAAAGGTTAGTTGTAGATTGACTGCACTTAAGTGCTTTATGTATTTTAAGTAATGTGTATATGTCATCAATCATATTATTCCTAGCATTAGATTAATTATTATTTTAATTGATATTTTCTGAAACAACAATGTATTCAATTCCTCGGTGAGAGCAATGGAGATTCGGGAGGCGTATTGAATGTTTGTCACGGAGAATCAAAATCATGTTTCGTAGAGACTTTCATATGTCTATAAAGGTTAAATGTAGATTTGTAGTTGAATTGAACATAGGATTAAGGTCGCCTTCTAGCTTCAAGCTAGAGGGAATTTCCCTTTAGCTCAGTGATAAAGTGCCGGACTAGGAAACTGGAGATCGAGGATTCGATCCCCGGTGAAAGCACACTAGTCTCTTTCCTGTTACAGTAGCAAATACAATCCTACAGGAGTTTTGATCTACCGTCGCATATAGCACTGTTCTATAGTGCGAATGAATACTCCGATATATCTGTAGCAGCCATAAATTGCAATCTGTAACGTTAAAAGGGTTTCAAAATGCTATTTACTCTTTCGCTGCATTACTGCATATGTTTCGCAACACTATAATTGTGTACTTTAATTCTTTGTGATCTTTAGTGACACTCATGAACACTAAATGGACAACATAGCAATATGGTGCAGTGGAATGTTTGTTTCGTTTGGCTTCTGATTAATAGCCACTTCCTGAATTGGTATGCCTAGTAATAATTTTTCGTACAACAAGCACGTACACATACTTCAAATAAAGACAAGTGTGCAGTAAAGGTTTTGTATAATTGGAGTGTAATGCATTACGTATGTCGAAACAATGCAGATAAATACATGTATTTGTATTAATATTTAATTGTGTCCAATACCTAACCTAGTGTGAGCGTAAGCTTTCATCAAAAGTTCTTTTGTGTAAAAACGTTTCTGATATCTGTAGAGCAAATAAATTATTGTATAGTATTAAACTCTACAATTAATTAGTTATTACACTTTTGGTGTCTCATGATCAATTATTTCCACAGAAAGGAGGCTTCGAAAGTACTCCTGCCCCAGATTTTGCGATTGTGGTCGCATCTACCAAAAATCCATTTGGAAACGTTGACGTAAAGCCATCAAAACGCGCAGGAATATCCCAGACCGAAGCAAACGGTGGCCAATTAGAGAGAAGCTTTCCAGTGGGAAAAGGAAATAAAGTATCGTCATCTCCATCTGCAAATGTCATCGAAACCAACCTGACATTTGACAAAAACATAAATAAGAAAGTATCAAAGGTGTGTACTAGTAACAATGATGGCAGCGCAATGAAGGTATTTATGTCGGGAGAAACGGGATTATCCAAAGCAAAATATACGGCAACGCATGCCATTTATAGAATCTTTAACACCTGTGTGATCAAAAAAGATAATCTCAACCCAAGCAGAGAAGGGGATTCATAAATTGCCACAAGATTACCGAGAGATTGATAAATTAACCGTCTTTCCCCGAGAGTCCCCAATCTCACCCCAAGAAGAATGGGGGATCCTTTTCTCGTACACTGTAATATATGCAATATTATTGTCGTTACGTTATTGTATAATGGACATAATATAATATGAAGGTTAAAAAAACGCCACTTGTGAAGACCTATTCAAGCAGTGAGATTTACCTGTTCAAAGTAGAAGACACACATATCCAGGGTAAAACAAATATATCTGTATGCATGGTGTGAGACACATTTGTTCAAGGTAATTGCTACACCTGGCATGGTTAAGAGATGCAATTATTCAGGGTAATTGATACACATGTCCAGGGTAAGTGATACTCCTGTCCTTGGTAAGGTTAACAAAAGGGATTACGTTCGTTCCTATATCATGTCTTGCATATGAAAGTCGATTCAGTGGATTGGGACTTCATTTGATGCATATTGTCAACAGTGAACAGTTTACGACGAAGAAATGATCGTATACAAATCTTTTGAATAAAAAAAATAAAATAAAATAAACAAAAAAAAAATATTTAAAATAAAGTACAGAATCATGGTAAATAAGAAAATAACAGTGACAGGAATTGAAGAAACACCAATATTAGTGGAATTATATTCATTGTTAATAACCATGTTTTACAGTGGACTGATATGAACGATGAAGAGTTATGGAGGATGCAGCCCCAACAAAACTTGTTTTCTCCGGAAGCGCCAATAAAAACGGTACGTACGGGAGAAAAAAACAAATATGGGCATAAAATACATACTTACTTTCGATGAGAAATATATCTGATGCGCAATTGTGGATATATGTGACAAACAGTAGCGCTTTTCACGAACCTCCCTCTTACTGTTTGAGATGTTCTCCCTTTTAAACGTGATTTGCTTGGTATAACAAAGAGTTATACGTAGACAGATGTCTTTTAAAGCGGACAATTGGGTTTTTTCTTTTCTCTTATCAATAGATACTCGACTGAAAATAGAATACTTTTATGAAATAAATCTGTATATAAAAAAGGAGTGGTAAGCAGCACACACCAAAACGATTTACCAGACATACATTCCTTTATCGTTTCAGATAATTGTATCTTGAAACCTTTATTGAATATGTAAAAGCATGTTCTGTTTTATTTATGAAGCCAATATTAGCAATACGATACTGATGATTTGGTAGATATAAATATAGAGGAGATCAAATTATGAAATTATTTCAATTTCTTGATTAAATTATTACATAAAATTCAATGACATGTTATATGTATCCTGCAGTCCATTTAGTTTTACAAAATGAATATATTTATTTAACTACAGTAAGGAAACAATTATTAACTGATATTAATATATAATCATATCCTGTCCTTACTTAATCGATTTCGAGTTCGAATAATGGTTTTGTTCAGACATCATCATTCTCTACGTAATTTAGTAGTATGTTGTCCCTATTTTAATTGGCTGATTTAGAAGTGTCTATATATACATCCTTCCGTATCATTGTTGTCTTATGGTTACAGAGAAAAACAGCAGGGGAGATGATTCCACTTGCAAGCCTTTTTAAAATAAGCGGAGCACCAAAGCCAGTGAGAAACCAAAAGAAACCAGAAAAGAAGAGGAAGGAAGACGAAGGCGACAATTTTGGCTTGCCCAGTGTCGGATCCAAAAGAACTGTTATTCCTCGACTGTTTTAAACATAGAAAGATATAACGGTCAAATCAGTCTCAAAATAGACACTCATGTATTGTAGTTACTCTATCCCATCTCTTACATAAACATGATGTACGTGATAATGAAAACATGAACAGTGTACTATGATGGAATGAATCCAAAGATGAGGAAACGGATGAAATCAATGACGACGGCTTATGAGTTATCTTATTTTTATATATTTTATTACGTAATTACAATTCATAAGCATATCGGAATTTCCTTTTAGATCTTACCTTCGTCAAATAGTTGTATTCGGCTTTCCATCTAAAATGCTTAATCTAACAAACTTAGAGCTGTTCCAAATACATTTGTTAATACATATAAATGACATTAAAGAAGTACAATATATGCAGAGTACAATAAAGTTTCACATACATTCTTAGCGCCTTTTATATTTCCCACACAAACAATCTACAATCTAACAACTTGTTTAAGGTAGTGTATACAAGATTCGATTAACAACTATTGCTAAGCATTCGATATTATTAATGATTCATGCGTCATTAACAAAAACAATCGATAATGCAACATGAATCCTACAAAATAGACCGAATTATTCGACGTTTTATCGACTTTTTTATATCGATCTGGCGTCGATTAACGCCAGAACTCCGGCCCTCTATAACATGCGGGAACAAAGCTACCCGCGCCAGGGTCGCTCTTCAAACTGATATTTTAGAAACAAATCGTCACTTTCACACACATGTCGCACATGGATCGAAAGATCTATTCTTTATGCACTAGGTGGTATCAATAACATGTTTCAAAGATCATTACGAACAGTATTTTCCGACGTTTTCTATACCAACCCATGTTTTTAATGGAAATTAGGGCATGAGCCATGTCATATGACTTGACGAGATCTCGCGTTACCGAAGGTATTTCCCAAAATTATGACGAGATTTTAGTCACGTGGCATTATAAAGCAGGCCTATCAAAAACGTAAAGTAAAACAGAGTAAGTTTGAAAAAATATGTTTTTAGTGATTGTATTGGTTGTTTGAGGCATGCTATGCATGGTCATCTTATGCATAATGAATAGATCTTTCGATCCATGTGCGACATGTGTGTGAAAGTGACGATCTGTTTCTAAAATATCAGTTTGAAGAGCGACCCTGGCGCGGGTCGCTTATTTCCCGCATGTTATAGAGAGCCGGAGTTAACGACGCCAGACCGATATAAAAAAGTCGATAAAACGTCAGAATAATACGGACTACATACATAACTACGGAGATAAAACCGGAGTTTGAATATTGTATGGCAATTATGTAATGAAAACAAATACATATGTAATGTGATAAACTTACAACACACATATGCAAAAGATACAGCAAGGCAAAAATGAATAACACTGCATCGTACAGCTGTTTCATTCTTAAAAGTTGGAAACACAGAAGGAGGTAGGTAAAACCCCTGGATTGTGTGTATATTATGAATCGTGCAACTTCTCAAAAGAGATAACTGTGACTTTCAAGGTTACGTAATGTTAGACTTTGCACATTCCTTACAGATGTGTCATTCTAACCAGGACGTAATTATGAAACCCCTCAGAAAGAATTAAAAGAGTTCACCGAAGCGCATATTAAAACTACATTGAAAAATGAGAAGTTACAGCGTCTTCACTTGACCATGTGTGATATTTACAGCGGTCAAACAATTTTAGAAACGGTAGACACGAAACCAAAAAGTCAATGTTACCGTGGCCCCTATTTTAGAAATGCAAAGAAGATTGCATAGGTACTAAATCTTAATGTCGGATAAATTATACTGAGCTTACGTAAAGGGAAACAGTGAGACTAGGTTAACAGTACTAACATTAGCCAGGTGTATATTCCGAAAACCATCTTGCATCAACACCTCTGAGGAAACTAACATAACTCGAAATTGAGAAATGATTTGTTTACAATGTGTACATACCATTTGCAGACAGGGAGTTAACCCTTAAACGCTATTCATATACTATAAAAATAAGACAAAAAAAACTAGACCTTGCTTGAATTTATATCAACTTAGAATCATTCCTCGTTCAGTATGTCGTTATTCTACATCCCCATACAACTATAATCCAGCTGGACACTTAGTAACTGGCGATCTCAACAAAATCCACAATACAAAGCTACGCGAGCTATTTACGCAGAATCCAAAATATTGAAACACTCCTATTTTAAATCATTGGAGTGCTAAATTAAGGTACTGATACGTTATGTGGAAGATTTCGCGAGACAACGGGCAAAACGAAAGTTAGCAGAATTGGATTCACTTGCAGAGAACCATCATTCAAAAACACAAGCCTGTATTGATGAACCCGATCTGCATGATAAGTACGTTGTTGTGGCGTCAGCGGACACAGTACGCTATGTAGTAATAGTTAAGTCGTCTCTGCAGACATCGTAACATATCCTGATTGCAAACATATCTAGGCTTGCTTATTACCAAGGAAACCTTGCCGATACATTTTCATGTTTGAAAGACGGAAAATGCTTGCTGATCATGCTTCTGCATATCAATCTTTCTGAATATCCACTTATGATAAGGATACGGACCTGCCTCGTTTGTATTGGATTTCAAAAACTTCACAGAAAGTCCTTACAAAACCTACCTTATAAACGACGGTTCTGCTAGTTGCGCAACCAAGCCATTATCCGAACTTCTCGCTACCATTCTTAGAATATTTAATCAGGATCCCAGTAGTATTTTGACACTACTATAGTACTATAGTATAGTGTCAAAATACTACTGGGATTACACATTGCTGATATATCTGAAAGACATTGAAGGATTTGGCTAGGTTTCTTTGTTAATTTTCCTGATAAACTTTTGACTATCTATATGATTCATCATCAAAACAGTTAATGATGCTGTCTATTTCTTCATCAATATTGGTGTTGTGGATTACTTCATCACTGTTGATGTGTATTGCATCATCGCTATTGGTGTTGATTATTACATCATCGCTAACGATGCTGTTTATTACGTCATCGCTATTGATGTTGTGAATTATGTCATTACTAATGATGTTTTGTAATTTATCATCAATACTAATTACTTCAAAAGGTGCATAAGGTAATTTATACAATAATAGCTTCATATTTATAATCGCCGATATTTAAACCAGATAGTAACCAGTCCTGTTAGGTTCATAAATCACAGCTTGTACGTTCATTGTGTTAAATCATGAAGCGATATGTATACATTACATTGAACCTCTTTGTCCTGTACATGGGCAGGGTAAACTGTGCTAGAATGGGTTGTTGGTTATTCAACTTTAACGAATTCGTTAGTTATACAATTATAATATATTCTTAATGCAATAAATTTCATTTATAAGTGGGGAACAAAATATAGCGTCATACAATTGACTTAAAAACATGCTTAAGATTTAATTTATTTTCAAGATGTGGCTTCGTAATGTTTTCGCAAAGCTAACAAAGCTTCCAACAACGAAATAGCTCACATAAACTGCGTCAAAACACACAATGTTCGGGTATACACTCGATATATTAAATCATACTAGTTTGTCAGGATACAACTGTATTACAAACGACTGAGTAAAATCTTCGTAATGTTTATTAATGTTCACCGGATGTTTCTAGTTAAAACATAACGGTGATACGCTGTGACAGATTCATCAAGGTAAGACTGCAATACAAGTGTGATCTTAATTATTGAAATTAATGATAAAGTGTCCATTTATAAATCTCTTAATTGAAATTCTTGATTATTAAAGCTTTTCATATAAATCGTTTTGAAGGACACTGCAAACTTATTATTTCGAACTAACACTTATGTAAAATGTAAAATAGTTTCATAAGACTAGTAATAATTATGAGTTAAGAACATTGTGTAATTTATCGTCATCTACAGTTTCTATGTAAACTATAGTAAATACTGTCTGTCTGTCATTGGTGTTTCTTGCCGTTGGGACTCTTCAGATTAATCTTTTCGGGGCGTGATTGGATTTTTTGTGTATCCCTTAAATTGCAATCATCGTAAACATCTACCTAATTTATTAAATAACTTTTACATAATTTACATATCACAATGAAATAAATAAATAACACATAATGTTTAAAGTCACTATGCTGGATACGCTGTGCCCAATATTATACAACTGCTAAAGCAGTATTAGGTAACAGCAAAGATAAGCATCCCTCGGTCGTATTGAATTATTTTTTCAATTATTAGAAAATCAAACAGCTAAAATAAACCATTTAAATTATTTTACAAAAATATCGTAGAACTTTTGTATTGCTGTTATAGTTATGGGTTCGAAATAAGTCCCAAAAGAATGCTAAAAGACTTATTTCACTTCGCGTGCATATCTTTGCTTTGTGACTTCCTCTGAGTAATAATGTTATTCAGCAGTATATGGCAGGCACCAGTCTCACGATCGGTCCTTAACTTAATAATGATCCTAAATTAAGTTTTAATTTTTCAAGAAAAACTTTATTTCATGATAGTTGCTTTAACTCTTGAAATGCGTTAAAATGACAAAACTTAGATAAATGAATGTTAAATTATAATGGTTTATAAACGCTTAATTCAATGTGAGAAAAATATGTACCTATAGTATCGCTAGAATATTTAAATAACAAATACAAAGCATAATGAGAACTGTACGTATATATATATATATTTATTTAACAGATGACGTGCTCATCAGCCCCTAAACTGGCTTATGGCTCGGCAGAACAATCATCATCTACGTTTGTGAACTACACGTGTAATGCAGGTTACGCCATGCAAGGGAGTCCCTACATCGAGTGCTTGAATGGAGTATGGGATATGACTGACTATCCAATTTGTCTTCCTTCCTTGGAACAGTACTCAAACGCATCTATGTCATATCACGCAGACTCAAACACAACGACCGATACGTCAGCAGAATGTGAGAAAATATCATACTGTATCTTCGTTATGAAATAACCAATTTCGTAGTAAAACTCACTTTTCGTCATTACAAAGACTAAAACTTCATATACCTTCGCAGTCATATACCACTATAGAGATGTAGGTGGAACAGCAAGACTCTTATTGTTTATTTCAATATTATGATTTCACGTTTACAGTCAAATAAGTTGTTTTCGTGGGTATTGTAAACACTGTCTAGATCAATCTATAATAATAAGAATGCACTTATTCGTTTTCAGTCTCTACGTGGTTTGTGTATGGAATAATGGGTTCTGGTGGTTGTCTAGCCCTGGCCCTAGCGGCCTTTTGTCTGTTGGCGTGCTGCCATATATGTGGGTAAGAAGCTCAATGTTTTATTTGTTTTAATATATGGACAATTTCGAGGACAGATATATAAGCTATGTTTGCATTTCAAGATAAAAAGGTGACATAAAAACAAATTTGTGTGTAGGTCAATCTGACAACCGGGAAAACGAATTCATCACGCCTATTTTCATATCAGTCATTATTGCTGCAACGACGAAAGGAAAAGGGTAACAAAAGTTTTTGAATTTTTTCTAAAATATCTTATGATAAATTATAATCGTCCTTAATTTCATCATGTTGGGAGTTTCCTCATGAAGGTTTAGGTTAGGATTTTTTACGACTTTGTGACGTCACGTATAATTGTTGTCCAGTTGTGACGTCACGCACTTGAAATAGGGTTTAAGGTAAACAATTTCCTGAATATCTTTCTTCTCGTAAACCGTTATATTATAAATGAACATGAGTTAGTAATTTTGTGATATATATTTATTTACAGATGTTGCCCTGGTCCTGTCGTTGCTATTGGTGGTAGATACCAGTACTCCGACAGGAGATGGTACTCAGTGTTTTCCTGGTGTGACTTCCTAGTGAAAGGCAAAGTCTGCAGAAAATTACGCAACGTATGAAATTACTACAACGATTTTCATATGATTTTGCAATTGTTGTAATTAATTGGTTAAAACCAAATTTGTATGGCAGTTTGTAACCTTGGCCGTTTCTATATTGTGTAATTTGTTACGCAATTATGCTTGATTTTTACTAAAACATCCTTTTGATTTTATTATTATATTTCTTTTTTCAGATGAATAAAAGTAAAACGATAGGACCTGCATCTGACATTCTGGATGTTGAAGACGAAACGAATGAACTTGAAAAAGAAAAGGATGATCAGCCTCAAGGTGACGCAGATTCAGACAGTTATGCAGAAAAGGAAAGAGACGTTTCTTCTTCAACATCGGGATATGCATCATCATCACCGTCATGTTCACCACTTCCAGACGATACAGTTGTTATCAACATTGAAGACGACGTCGACGACTCCAAAACAACTAATGGCAAAACTAAACAATCACAAAGGGACAGTGAGCCCTTACTTGCAGCTAAAAAACGTGTGGCTACGGAGGCTCAACGTGCTAAACCCAAAACTAAACAATCTCCTACCAATGACAATGCAGAACTCCCTAACAATGAGGAACCTGACTCCAAAGCAGCGTCAACTGATAAACCCAGCACGAATAAAACTGTGAAGCCAAAAACAAAACAAATCAAAAAATCAAAAAAGTGACGTAATTACGGAGGCCAAATTTCATGTCTCTGTCAATGATAGCAAACATAATAGCAATAACTTATTTTAATCATATTAAAATATGATCAGATCGAACCCTTTATCAATGGGATCTCAACTTTCGGTAACACATTTCCGGGACGAAATGGTAAAAGATATCTAAAGTTACTGTAAGAAGATGAGAGTGCATACCAAATGTTACGTTATTATTTTGTGAACCGTCGTAGTGTATTGATTTTCACATACCATGTACTGCTTCACATTGCTTTCACATTAAAACTTCAAAATCAATCAGATTTTTTCATTACTGTAATAACAAGGCCTATATTTGGTTATATAGCAGATCGCATTTGAAATAGAAAATTGCATGTTTATATATATATAATGTATATACATACGATTACACACGAGATTAATAAAGCGAGTATTGTAGTGTTAGTTTTAGAGAAGATCTCCTGCGCTTTAAACGACAGGGACGAGTTTCATATATCTAAACTATTATAACAACGACTTTGAATAATTTAAAAAAAAAAAAAAAAAAAAAAAAAAAAAAACTATCGTGTCTGTAACGTCGCCATCTTGACGTCATCATTATGTGTTCGTTGCAATTCCCTTTTTTAAAATAGTTAATGCCATTATATTGATTTGTCTTGATACTAATGGCATAAAAGCGAAATCAAATGTATGGCATGGATATATATAATGTGTAAACACGCTAGTTATATGATAAAAACGATCAGATCACAATGCAAGTGAAAACACTATTAGAACACATACCAACAAAATTACTGTACCGTATGTTACCTATATAATTTTACTATAAGTCAACCCTGTTCGTGGGACAAACTCTATTTTGAAAACACCTGAGTACACAATGAGACAGTTTTTAATGTTTCCCCTTGTAGAAGATTTGTTCATGAATTGATTCTGTATCTTAAAAAGAACATCAGTGTAAATAGCACATGTTACGAGTGGTCAGGTGGTGCAGTAGATAGCGCACTTACCTTTCACCAAGGCGACATTTTGATCGTACGTGAAAAAGTTTGGGTCACCTGCCCGACCACGTGGGTTTTCTCCGAGTATTCTGTTATTTCTAAACATTTTCTTCAGGTTGGTAGGTATTGATTATGAGAAGTTCTTTTTACACTACCAATACAATTTTCTATGTGACGTTTCGATGACTAGTACGATATGTACACTGTCACCTTCATCAGACAAATGGCCTGTGAAGCGTATGCACACAAAGGAGTAAAATGTGTACGAGTTGTCCATACAATCGATGTCGATTTCGGCTTTGTGTGCATACGCTTCATTGGTCATTTGTATGATGAAGGTGACAGTGAAAATATCGTACTAGTCATCGAAACGTCACATGGAACATGTTATTGGTGTGTAAAAAAAACTTCTCATCATCCGAATATTCTGGTTTCCTCCCATACTAAGACCCCCAGCGCGCTAACATCCGGGTCAACAAGAGTGATTAATATAGGTTGAAATAACTTGTTTCATAATTGTTGTAAAATAAATAAAGTGTATATATAAGAGAACATATTTGGACTTCCCATGAGTGGTGTCTGCATGCAGGTTTTGACTGTAGGATATATGATCTCATAAAAACATGAAATTAAAAAACAAATATCTCCAAAAACATATTCTATGTCTATTGCATCCAAAAATAATATTTGTTTACTTGCATCTAAATCAGGTAAAATTAAGTCCTTCAAAAAATCAGTCTGTCTGACAATGAAATTCAACACTTGTGGCTAAGGCCATAATAAACAATTTAACAATTCCACAGCGTATAGTATAGCCTCTCTGGTAGGAAACCGTGACTACATAGCTAATTGATCCAGAGCGGAATAGATGAAGAAAAATGTTAACACTTATAAAAGTTTCACATGTAGCGAATGTAATTTGGCGTATAAGCAGGGAATGCTGGTTTATTCCTTCGACCATTGAAACATTTAGAAGACGCATCAAATATCACTGTATAGCTGACATACATTCTTATCAAAACACAGAGAAGTTTTTCTTACATGAAAAGTGCAAACCTTATAGTGTTAGAGAGGAAGATTAATGTAACAGTCTTAACTATAATCAGTCCCCCTTCACTTGTGGGGTAAATGTGGTTATGTTATTTTAGCTGTATCTTGTCTATGAATATAGACTTTTTGGTAAAATATGATTATGTTAATTATTTTAGCTGTATCTTGTGTATGAATATAGACTTTGTGGGGTAAATGTTGTTATGTTATTGACCTTGTGGGGTAAATGTTGTTATGTTATTTTAATTGGACCTTGTGTATGAATATAGACTTTGTGGGGAAATATGACTATTTTAATTATTTAAGCTGTATCTTGTGTATGAATATAGACCTTGTGGGGTAAATGTTGTTATGTTATTGACCTTGTGGGGTAAATGTTGTTATGTTATTTTAATTGGACCTTGTGTATGAATATAGACTTTGTGGGGAAATATGACTATTTTAATTATTTAAGCTGTATCTTGTGTATGAATATAGACCTTGTGGGGTAAATGTTGTTATGTTATTGACCTTGTGGGGTAAATGTTGTTATGTTATTTTAATTGGACCTTGTGTATGAATATAGACTTTGTGGGGAAATATGACTATTTTAATTATTTAAGCTGTATCTTGTGTATGAATATAGACCTTGTGGGGTAAATGTTGTTATGTTATTGACCTTGTGGGGTAAATGTTGTTATGTTATTTTAATTGGACCTTGTGTATGAATATAGACTTTGTGGGGAAATATGACTATTTTAATTATTTAAGCTGTATCTTGTGTATGAATATAGACCTTGTGGGGTAAATGTTGTTATGTTATTGACCTTGTGGGGTAAATGTTGTTATGTTATTTTAATTGGACCTTGTGTATGAATATAGACTTTGTGGGGAAATATGACTATTTTAATTATTTAAGCTGTATCTTGTGTATGAATATAGACCTTGTGGGGTAAATGTTGTTATGATATTTTAACTGTACCTTGTGTATGAATATAGACTTTGTGGGGAAATATGATTATGTTAATTATTTTAGCTGTTTCTTGTGTATGAATATAGACTTTGTGGGGTAAATGTTGTTATGTTATTTTAACTGTATATTGTGTATGAGTAAAGACCTTGTGGGGTAAATGTGGTTATGTAATTTTAACTGTATATTGTGTATGAGTATAGACTTTGTGGGGTAAATGTGGTTATGTTATTTTAACTGTTTATTGTGTATGAGTATAGACTTTGTGGGGTAAATGTGGTTATGTTATTTTAATTGTATCTTGTGTATGAGTATAGACTTTGTGGGGTAATTTTTACTGTGTAGGGTCAGTGTAGTTGAAGTATTTTACTGTATTAGGTGACGTCAGACTACAGCGCTTAAAGGTTGACGTGACATAAATGATGACCCTACTTGATACAAAATACATGTATTCTGCCGAACGTATTTCTGTATCCATGTTAGATATCAATTGTTCCATTTGTTGGAAGTTGACACGGGGAATAATAGTCGCGTCGTATAGTTTGGTATAAGCTTTTGCAAGCGATCGAATATACACGGTCTAGCTTCTCGTCTTAATTGTTTTATTAAAACAATTAGATTATGTCAATAATACAAAACATTTTTTTTTTACCAACTCTGCGTTTAAATATAACTCGAAAGACATCACGTGAATGATCTAGTAATATGGGGTTAAACTTTTACTTTTGTTATAATGTGGTGTTTATCGTCTCTACAAATCACTTTATCATCACTAAACACCCCGTAACACTGGAATTAAAAACATAAAATGGACTCGTATTATGTAATATCATACCGTTTATACTTATAATAACAGGATTTATATCCTTATATTCTGGATGAATGTTTTGATTTTTGCTTATTAAAAAAACACATATTGGCGACACAACAGGACCGTAATTGATATTTAATAACCACAAGCGAAGGCCGTAGAAGGATGAACCTTACACACACAGAAGATTACTATATATCAAAACTGTTTATAAATAGCATCATTGTTCATTTGGAACGTTTATAACATTATGAAGAAGATTCCAGATGTATTTTTCGAAGCTTTCCTTCGAGGTACAATCCTGCGTAATGTGCTATACTCTCATTGACGATATAAATAGCTCTTTCTATGAAATGAACATTACCTAAATATAAATATATATGTGTTATATATACAATAATTACGGTACGGTATCACCAGGGTACATTCGCGTCAGGGTATTCTTATTCATTATTTCGGAACACGGTATTTATCATTTATAAATATCTATCTAACGATGCAAGAACATTTTAATAGGCTAGTAGCTCCGACATCTTGCCATATATTTTTGAGTTGTCGGGTGGCGCAGTGAATTACGCACTCGATTTTCACCAAGGCATACCACCACCACCACCCCATCCATCCACCCCCGCACGCTAACAACCGGGCCAACGAGAGTGATTCATTATATAACTTGTTTGATAATTGTTGCAAAATGAATAAAGTTGATATTTATTGATTTTGTAATTTTTAGACTATGCAGCAATAGTTAGGGATAACGAACTATCAAGTTATTAAAGTACCCAAATTTTAGAAGAAAGTTTTAAGAATAATACTTAAAACAGACAGACCAGTACTCACATAAAGTTTATCACTATCTAAAGAAGTTTGTGTATTATCTTTGAATACAATTATTACACTTTTATATAAGTTTACAAATCCTTGAATAATATGGCACTCGATTATATGAAATCTCGGATAGACACATGTAAAGATACATATAAATACAGCTTACAATCCAATCCAATTGCACCCTGTAAATGATTTTAAGAAAGTGAATGCCATTGTAAAATAAGCATAATTTCGTTAATCAATAATTAAAACACTGTTTTTATTAATCACTTCAGCGATCGTTCTAGAACAACGAGACTATGGCGTACGTAATGTGTAAACATGCGACAGATATATTTGCATTGTCTATAATTATAGATCATATACCTCTATATTACTCGGTCGAAATGTCGACAGCTTGACCTACTGAGAGTATTGTTATGAATGTTTAATTATTCAGGTCTTACACATTTTACAACCTAAACCACACAATCAGGTCTGATATGAATACTTCCTATCTGCACTTAACTGAATTCAATAAATGGTTGCTTACGTAATAAATATGAATATTCCTAAGATAATTACAAAAAAGAAATATAAATCAACTTGTATTTTCAAGTTGACTAGACTTTTCGTGAGGAGTGGAAACGAACATATCGCGTCACGGTGCTTGACTATCTAAAGTCTGGTGTCGGAATCGTTAGAGCTACATGTACGATTGTCATACAGTACACTCTGGTTAAATTCATGACGATATGGATGAGACCTCTCGTTACAACGTGGTACAAACATAATGGTCTGTAATGGATTTACCCTAATTCGGAAATGAAAGCGTATTTAAATGCTGAATTTAAAAGAGGATAAAGCAAATAGATTAGTAAGTATGATATGTTTAAGAAGAAGGTAGATCTTTTGGTGCTAGCCAATTCTGTACTGTTCCTATTGCAAACTGATGTTGACATTATATCTTTAAAATATGTATGACAGTTCATGATATCTGTTATTTTGCTTTGATATTTCCTCAGTTGCTGATTTTTTCATTTTATACAGGATTAGTATGCCGATTTAATCCTCTGTGTTGATTCAATGGTATTTTTCTATGTTACCAAATAAAATTTAAGCATGGAGATATATCTTATAACGTAATACACATGCTATCCCGAATGTAATATGATAAAAATATTTTTTCTACGTCATTTCTGTTTTTCCTTTTAGGATTAGATTATCCCTCATGTTTTAAACGTTGCTTAAACTTTCACAATAAAATCTCTTTTCAGGATGCACTATTTTCAATGGTCAATTCTCCAAACTCAATTATTGGTGGGGATTTTGGTTGTCTCTTTCTACATGTTCCTGTATAGATCAACTGCAGGCATTTTATCACCTCTTCTTCCGCGGATGCTCTTCAACATTTTTTCATTTTAAACGCATATTTTAAACCTACATTTTATCGCATAGTGCACGCCGATCCCTCTGCCGGTAAAATACAGAGTATCTGTGTCAATTGATGGCCTTGTTATACTGATTTGTTTTAGGACAAATCAGTAGGAAGATATCTATTTGTAACTAAGAATGTAACTTCGGGAATATTTTCAGATTTTATGAATTCATTTGTATCCGTTGGTCAAAAATATTCCTTCTGCCGACCACATATAAGAGAATCGAACGCACAGTGATGGTAGATCTATGGTAAACACTTCACAGTTGAATGACTGATATCTAAAAAATTTTCAAATTGATAGAAAATAAATTAGCTTATTGTTCATACTTGGAACAAACAATTAGCGACATTTAACTGTAACATACAATTTTGGGGAAGAACTTACTTTTCCAGAGCAACTAATTAGGCGTCCGGTTATAATTTGCGTTCACGATATGTATTTCCTTTTGTTTTGATGTTTTCTCGACTCCTGATTTCGTGTCGATTTCGATTTGTTTTTTAGCCTTTTATGTTTATACGAAGGCATGTTTTTCTTTGTTACTAAGTGGTTTCCGTTGTCACTACTCGCTGAGAAAGAAATATAACTCGGAATTAAGTTAGGGTCAGTGTTTCGTATTGTCGAAAAAAACCCATCAAACGCAGAAGGCGTTAGCCTTTTTCCGAACTGCTGATAACATTGTCCTAGAATTCTTTTCAATGATATTTTTGCAAGTCGTTAATTTGCTAAAGTTTCGTTGAGTTCAAATACATCGAGTACAATCTTCGTTTTTCTTATTCCTTTTTCTTCAAAGAAATTTCATATTGAATGGCAAACAAACGCAACACTTCTTAGAACTAAGAAATTTGGCTATTAAGAATGAAGGTTCATTAAGTATAGATATATTTTCCTACAAATAAAGATATCGTTTCAAACTGCAAATACTTAATAAACTTTAAGAGATTTTAACTAAACTCTATATAAGATATTTCAGACAATATTAGATATTTTGTAGACTTTATAACATGTGTTAGATGATCAATGAGATACGTATGTCTCGTGAAGTTTATGGAATATTTTGTACTATATATTTCATTTAGCGTTGTAGTATCAAGACGTTCCCCAAATAAATGGAAAGGTGTTATGACATACAAACCTGTGCTATCTATTTCAGGTATTTTTCTACCACTTTTATTGTTTGGTCCGTTATTTGATATCTTTGGTGTAACTTGCTCTTGTGTTTCAGATTTGTTACTTAGCGTTTCTTGTAGACTGGCCCCTGTCTCTAGAATATTGAATTATTTAGAAGAAGAAAATAACACTAATGATTTTGATCACTTGGATGTCTGATTAAAAAGGGGGAGATAAGCTAGTGGAAAATGCAGTTGAGAAATTCTTCATAAAAACTTAGGGGCTGGTAGTCAGTCTACGTTTCTTGGTCTTCAGCTATGTTCATCAATGCTTTGTTCTATAATTCATATTAACAGTTGCTTGGTCCTGTGCCCTGTGATTCTTAGTTTAAAACCTTCAGTTATTTTCTATTTTAATTTTAGATACTTTGAGAAGATAAAGCGTGTTACCTATCTAGTGTCAGTTGACCATGGCTTGTCCGGCGTATCCCAGTGTGGCAGCAGCGACTGCGACTTTGGTAAATTCGACCACTGTCAAATACGCGTGTATATCCGGGTACTCCATGCAGGGGGATACAGCCGTGCACTGTACAGGAGGTGTGTGGCAAAGCACGCTACCACAGTGTCTGATTGTGTACGAAAACCATGAGGTCAGCAATACGATAAACGTCTACGAAACTATAGAACCGTCAGAGAGTAAGTGAACACTTATTTAACTACTGGTCAGTCTGAATATAAAGTTGACTATAAACTCAATGACTAAAATAGTACGCCGTCAGAAAGTAAATTAACAGTGATTAAACAATGGAGCTATTGGAAAACAATTACTAGAAATTAAAAGTGGGAAAATATGCATATACAACTTTAGATTATCGGTACAGAGAGCAACCAATTGCAAATTAAACATCATATGAACATTTCGTCCACAAAATTAGTCAAAATCAATTAAGCCATTTAGCTATCAAAATGTTAGTTAAAGCTTACTTAAGTAGTCAAGCCACTAGAAAGTTTGTGAACGCTAACCTTCACTATTGAGCCACTAGAAAGTTTGTTAACGCTAACAAAACTATTGAGCCACTAGAAAGTTTGTTAACGCTAACTAAAGTATTGAGCCGTCAGACATTAAATAACGCTTACTAAACTATTGAGACACTAGAAATTAAATAACGCTTACTAAACTATTGAGCCACTAGAAAGTTTGGTAACGGTAACTAAACTATTGAGCAACTAGAAAGTTTGTTAACGCTAACTAAATTATTGAGCCATCAGACATTAAATAACGCTTACTAAACTATTGAGCCACTAGAAAGTTTGGTAACGGTAACTAAACTATTGAGCAACTAGAAAGTTTGTTAACGCTAACTAAATTATTGAGCCATCAGACATTAAATAACGCTTACTAAACTATTGAGCCACTAGAAAGTTTGGTAACGGTAACTAAACTATTGAGCAACTAGAAAGTTTGTTAACGCTAACTAAATTATTGAGCCATCAGACATTAAATAACGCTTACTAAACTATTGAGCCACTAGAAAGTTTGGTAACGGTAACTAAACTATTGAGCAACTAGAAAGTTTGTTAACGCTAACTAAATTATTGAGCCATCAGACATTAAATAACGCTTACTAAACTATTGTGCCACTAGAAATTAAATAACGCTTACTAAACTATTGAGGCTCTAGAAAGTTTGGTAACGGTAACTAAACTATTGAGCCACTACAAACTAAATAACGCTTACTAAAGTATTGAGCCACTAGAAAGTTTGTTAACGCTAACTAAATTATTGAGCCATCAGACATTAAATAACGCTAACTAAACTATTGAGGCTCTAGAAATTAGATAATGCTTACTAAATTATTGAGCCACTAGAAATTAAATAACGCTAACTAAATTATTGAGCCATCAGACATTTAATAACGCTTACTAAACTATTGTGCCACCAGACATTAAATAACGCTAACTACACTATTGTGCTACTAGAAAATAAATAACGCTAACTACACTATTGTGCCACTAGAAATTAAAGTTACGCCAGCTAAACTATTGAGACACTAGAAATTAAATAACGCTAACTAAACTATTGAGTCACCAGAAACTAAATTACGCTTACTAAACTATTGAGTCACTAGAAATGAAATAACGCTTACTAAACTATTGAGACATTAGAAATTAAATAAAGCTAACTAAATTATTTAGCCACTAGAAATTAAATTTCGCTAACTAAACTATTGAGCCATCAGACATTAAATAACGCTAACAACACTATTGAGCCACTAGAAATTAAATAACGCTTACTAAACTATTGAGTCACCAGAAACTAAATAACACTTACTAAACTATTGAGTCACTAGAAATGAAATAACGCTTACTAAACTATTGAGATACTAGAAATTCAATAACGCTTACTAAACTATTGAAACATTAGAAATTAAATAACGCTTACTAAACTATTGAGTCACCAGAAACTAAATAACGCTTGCTAAACTACTGAGACACTAGAAACTAAATAACGCTTACTAAACTATTGAGATACTAGAAATTAAATAACGCTAACTAAACTATTGAGATACTAGACATTAAATAACGCTTACTAAACTATTGCGCCACTAGGAATTAAATAACGCTAACAAAACTATTGCGCCACTAGAAATTAAATAACGCAAACTAAACAATGGAGACACTAGAAATTAAATAACGCTTACTAAAGTATTGAGACATTAGAAATTAAATAACGCTTACTAAATTATTGAGTAACTAGAAATTAAATAACGCTTACTAAACTATTGAGCCACTAGAAATTAAATAACGCTTACTAAACTATTGAGACATTAGAACTTAAATAACGCTTACTAAATTATTGAGTAACTAGAAATTAGATAACGCTTACTAAACTATTGAGACACTAGAAATTAAAAAACGCTTACTAAACAATGGAGACACTAGAAATTAAATAACGCTTACTAAATTATTGAGCCATCAGACATTAAATAACGCTAACAACATTATTGAGCCACTAGAAATTAAATAACGCTTACTAAACTATTGAGACACTAGAAATTAAATAACGCTTACTAAACTATTGAGACACTAGAAATTAAATAACGCTTACTAAACTATTGAGCCACTAGAAATTAAAAACCGCTTACTAAACAATGGAGACACTAGAAATTAAATAACGCTTACTAAACTATTGAGACACTAGAAATTAAAAAACGCTTACTAAACAATGGAGAAACTAGACATTAAATAACGTAACTAAATCATTCTGCCACCAGGAAGTTAATTAACGCTATATAAATCATAAGCGATCAGAACGCTAACTAAATTACTGAGTTACCACATATGAAATTAATAATAAGTAAACTTTTGAGCCAACAGAAAGTAAGTTAGCGCTAAGTATACTATTTACCATCGGAAAGCGACTTACACACAAGCTAAATATAGAAAGTCGAAGATACGTTGATGTAGCTACAGCAGATAGGGTGTGTACATTGTGTGATAATGGAGATGTTGAAGACGAATTTCATTTCATCTTAAAGTGTCCTTTTTATTCCATCTTACGAGTCAGTTACTTGAAGTCTTACTATTTCCATCGTTCAAACTTGTCCAGTTACTAAGTGTTAACAATGTAAATGAGTTATCTAATCTTGGTAAATTTATTAGACTAGCATTTAAGTAACACTCTCTGTCGTTATAGTTCTACACATATGTATATTGTGTGTGTGTGTTCGCGCATGTTTCCATAGTGTGTTAATGTATCAATTTACAATTGTCACTCTCCTAAACAACTGCATGAACTTTGTACAAATTGAAACTACATATGTATCATATTATATGTCATGCATCTCATAATCCGTAAGGCTTTACAGAGTAAATTAATTGAATTGATTTATCACTATATTAAGATAGTTACCTATAATATAGTAATTAAACACTTACTATTGCGCTATCAGTGGCGGATCCAGAGGGTTTTTTTGGGCTTCAGGAACCCCCCACCCTGAGAATTTTCTTTAAAAATCATATATTTTCACCATTTTCCTCAATTTTTTCCAACATGGAACCCCCCCCCAGGTAATTTGGAAATCCCCCAGGTCTCTAAATGATATCTTGAGATGTATATAGGATCTTACATGACTTTCCATTTCATATGAGATTTATGAAACGAGTCTAAGAATTTTTCAATTTAGCGAACCTCTGGTGAGCTAAAATGAAAAATTCTTGACGAGTTTCATAAATTTCTTATGAAATGAAAACGAGTGTAAGATAATTTGTATCACATAATCAAAATTTGTTTCGTGTAAAACGACAATTTGCGTGACGTCACAATTGAAACAATTGAAACTTTCAACCAATCACAGGGTTGATTGGTCATATTACATGGGTTCATACGCAAAAAAAATAGGACATGTGTATATTCACTGTGTAACACAGTACATTATGTGAAAAAAATATAATTAAGGGTATTGCTGTTTCGGAAATAAAGTTTGTATTTACTTTACCTTAGCCACGCCATGAAAGAAACATTTTCAAAGTCTTAAGTTGCAATTTTATATATCAACGATTTATATAATTATCATATAGCTGCGAATGTATGTAATGATGAGCGAGTTTCTCATTACAGTTCCCCAGTGGCTGCTGTACATCATGGCCGGGTCTGCCGGTATGGCTGGTTTGTCCTTCCTCGTCGGTCTGTTGTTATGCTGCCTCCATCTTCTTGGGTAATTATCGAATCACCAAAATAATAATCAATTATATTGCGTGTGAGTAGTTCACGTGTTTATGCATTGATTAAAATAAGTCCATGGAACATTAGAAATAGGGAATACGTTCATCCCAATCAGCAATGCTGGTGGCTTGTAACAGAATCCAGCTTTACTATATTTGTTTTGTAAAGTATGTGCGAAATGAGAGAAAATGGTCCTCTAACTCGCGATGACAGATAAGCATGCTTATGTTTGAAATTTTAAAAAACCAAACAGATTTAAACGTGATATCCGACCATCACTCGTTTTTTTTGACTCGTACATCTTCCATGAAAAGTAACCAGAGAAATAGGAACAGTTTAACAGGCTATGTTTTATATTATACACGTGCTATTTCATAAACCTAGAACTGACCAATATATTAGTAGCATAGGTACAATGTCAAAAAAATACACCACATTCATCCATATAATAGGATTATATAATTGTCAAATATCCCGTGTGTTTCATGCCTATGCTATTTCTACGGAGACTTGTTTGTATAAAACGGTATATTCATGATAACTTCTAACTCCCATTTCAAAAGTAAACCAGTTCTTTATAACTAGAGAAAGGGTACACGATGAATTGGTATATTCAGCTGGTTCATGTATGTGGAAAGAATAAATGTCCATATTTGAGAAAAAGTGGACTGAATCATGTTCCATTGTCCATGTGTCTTTATCCCCATGAATATAACGAATGATTTCTCATGCAATCATGTCTTCTCCTCCATTAGATGTTACTCTGGGCCTATCGTGGGTTTTGGCGGGAACCACGTGTATCCTAAAAAGCAGTGTTGTAACTGTGCTTACTGTTGCTGCTGCTGCTGCAGATGTTGCAAAAAATGCTGTACTGGGCCTGATGTAAGTAAATCATTGTCATTGCTTTCTTCTTATTCATCATCATCATCATCATCATCATCGTCGTCATCGTCGAACAGCCTTTATCTCTATTTTCGTTTGATAATTGTTTACTGATAAATCTGTCTTTGTGTTAAAGGATGACGACGATGAAGAGGACGATGAGGAACAAATAGGTTTACCTATGTTAGAAAAGAAAGACCTCCCTACTAAAGGCGAAAAGGATCCCAATGATCAACCTCCTGAGGACGAGAATACAGTCAATGATGGAGCTAAGGGTGGGGCCAAAGGTAGATCGAAAGGTCGCGCCAAGGCTGGGGCGGATGACGGGCCGGTAGTGGACAAGAAAAATTCCTTCCCCCCTGGGAATAACAAGAACGCTGACATGTGATTGGTGTTATTATATTACTTTTTATTTCATTCTAGTCTCGGAAATGGTTTCAGGATTGGATATGGATGTTCGTTATCCTAACCTATTTTAAAATAATATTGAGCGTTCGTGCTGTCTTGATTGCTCTGCAACTGATTTGACAAATAATTTATTCTACATTCCAATGTGTTACTTACATACTCCATATAGCTATGTTTTCAGTACACACAGATGTAAATGAATTTGTATGACATAATCTTACATTCACTTCTGTACCAGTACGTAATTTATTTATGATGAATGCGTAAGTGGCTTTCATATTCACTATAAAAATTCATTTGTGTGTGAATTAACCATTTTTAATATTCTTATAAAGCAAATATTGTTCATTCATAAAATGTCTGTGTTTTGTTTACATTTTATATACTTAATGGTGAATGTTTGGTCAAAAGCAAACCTCAAAACGGGCTTGCCGCATTTAACGTACAATTATGATATTATAATAATAATGACGTCAGCAACCGGCTATTGCTTTCGTATTAGTCCTGGATAAATTTGGTAGGGTTGTATAGTTATATAATTGTAAATACATCTATGTTACTTTTCTGTTAGCACTCACAAGGTGTGACTGTATAAGGGGGAAAACTAAGAGTGTATTCCATGTCACATTAAACGTTACTTTTAAGAATAAACGTAAATCTTGAAATTGATTTCAGTGTTCGTGAATGTTTTTCATTGTCGTAAACATGAGACGTCCACCTGCGTAGCTATATCCGTGACCATCTTATTGACACACCATCCATATCTGACATTTATCCCATTAACTATATCAGCAAGACGAATGCCATCAAGCACAATCATGTTGCCTGTAAATTTTTAACCGATAGATGTTTTACAGGATAAAGTAGAACCTCTTTCAGGCTAAATAGAAAATATACACACCAAAGCGTCAACACACAATGCCAAAATCTTATAATAAATTACAACACCAGGAACTGAGGACAGGCAGAAAGAGGAGGGAACGTCATAAAACCCTACACAAAGAGGATGATCCAAGTGATATGGGAGATTGACTGTTTTCTACATCACGTGTCATAACCTTATGTAGTATACATGCCATCAAGGATCTAACACATAGTTTGGATAGTCTTTAATCCTGAAAGTGAAACGGTAGGTTTAAAAATCAATCATGCATGACGACTTCTTTTGTCAACGTAGATTATAGCTTTCCAGGTAGAAAACCCTGGCTAAGCTGTTTATATTGATCAGCAGGACGTTTTTATCAAGGAAATCGTTAACTAAGAAAAGGCAACGGGGGCAAAGAATCCACTGTGACAGAACGTTATTAGTGGAGGCTGGTATGTATGTTACTACTGAGGAAAGGGAAATTATTATAAGGGTATGGGGCCGACGTGTAGGAGTCTGTGGTTTCTTTAATTTCAATTTTCTGGATAATAAATGGGGATGCAAGTTTAATTCGGTTTTCAAAGACAAAACATCATGAACCTTTCTTAATCATATGTAAATTAAAGGATCAGGCAGGTATAGTATCCCTTTTCTTTAACAGTAATTGCTATATAGTAAAAATTAAGGTACGTAAAAATACACAGAGATCGATTAAAAGAGGTTCACAATAAGTTCCTATTACAATACCGATAGTCTGTTGAGATATTTTTCCGCCAATGTCAACAAAAGTTATGTCGATCAAGAAACGTAATACAGATAGTTTCATTCTATATATATATATATATACATATATATATATATATATATATATATATTACTAGACAGCAAGTGTATCTTTCATCAAATAAGTCTCATTTTTATTGACAGGGTATTGGTATCAAGACAGATGTACTAAAGCTTTTGATGCATGATCCATGTTTAAGGAAGTTAAATCGTCATTAGAGCTCTTATTTGATATAAAAATTTTATCGGAGTACATATCCATGATTGGCAAATATATTCTCCAGAAAGTGTCGATCGGGTACATAAAGAGTATACTAACCTTGTCTAACAAACCCAGCATCTCCACACGTATAACAGTAGTTAGACTTACGGAAGCAAACGGCATTGTCATAAACTTTGTTCACTGGTATGATTGCATACATGTACTAGTGATGGGGGGTAGATATATATTATTTGACAGCAGGGGTAAGAAAATCTTAATTATAATATAGTTGTAGTCTAGCTAAAAAAAACAATGCTAATTTGTAAACAAGACTGTGATTCAAAACAAAATCGATTAAGGGTGGTCGGGTGGTGCAGTGGATAGCGCACTTGCTTTTCACCAAGGCGAATGGGGTTCGATTCCTCGATCAGACATGAAAGGGTATAGGGTCACCTGCACAACCAAGTCGGTTTTCTCCGGGTACTCCGGTTTCCTCCCACAACAAGACCCCCGCGCGCTTACATCCGGGCCAACAAGAGTGATTAATATCAGTTTCAATAACTTGTTTCATAATTGTTGTACAAGAAATAAAGTTTATATATAAAACAAATTCGATAAAACTAGAGCAAAATATGAAAAGGACATATTTAAATGGATACCCTTGAAAAACCGGGAGGATTAACCCAGATGTTCCGGAAAGATAAGTGTACTCTGCTTCACAGATGACACCCATAGTGTAAATCTAGGTTAAATCCAAGTAATGTTACGTTCTGAAAATGAGAACCGGGGCAGTGACAACAAAACTTAAACCCCATTTATGAGCATAAATAACCAGGACCTATTACAGGAACAAAAGAATTCTGCCCACAAAGCAATTTAACCATAACTGGGTTATATAGTTGTAGCTCACTAAGACATGACACATGAGATACTATTTCTAAATTAAAAAGGTCCCCGGGGCCTGTGCTATGACCAATTTAGTGCCACCCTCCAAAGGTGTACGACAGGGTTCACTTTTTTGTCCAAATAACTATCAAAACAATATTTTACACTATCAAATAATATTACATTGTTTAAAGTAGGATCTACTGCAAATTATGAACTCAAATATGTAACAAAACATTGCATAATAAAAAAGTTCTGCTATCTTAAAGTCTAAAAATGTTGGTATTTTCATTCACTTTTTTGCTGTGTCAATTTTTTACGGAAGTGACACACCAATTTCTGGTTCTTGTACACCAAACATCTTTTTATATTATTTGGTGCATTATGTTGAGATACGATGGTGAAAATTTGAAAAAATTGAAGCAACGTCTATTTCCAAATAAAATCCAATAACCTTATGACCTTAGTCATGATTGATTATTTAACAATACATCGCACCAATTTATTATCACAACTGATAGAATTGTCATCAGTAAAGTCTGCTTCTCATGATGAGCTCAACTATAAAGCTAGATGTTGCAAAATAAAAAAGTTATGCAGTCTCACACACATAAAAGTTTAGTATATTATGTACATATTTAATTGTGTCGCATCTTTACGGAAGTGAGAGGCACATATCCTGTTTTTGTACACCAACATACTTTGGATATTAATTGGCACATTATGTTGACTGACGATAGTAGAAATTTCGAAAAAATCGGTTTTCGGTAAATGTGTCATTTAAAGGGTCACCCAACAAGAGTTGCTGTAGCGCCCGTATTTCCTTTAAGAAATAACTACAATGCTTTATTTGAATCAATTCATAAATATGGCGAAATATTTTTGCCGGGACGGCTTCAAAACGTTTAATATTACTATGCTGATATGATTGCGCTTAGTTTTTCAACAGCAAACTTGAGCTGGAACATCACAACACTCTGGCCTCGGTCCACAGTTGTAGACGCCAATGATAAACCTTATAGCTTCTTAGGACGAGTTTATAATATACGTGTTGTTTAACCAAACGTGAAGTACATGTGCTTTATTTTGGACAGCCGTATGAACGTGACTATGGTAGGACGAACGTGACTATGGTAGGCATACTGCCCAGATAGCCGAACACGTCACCAACATAACATGCTGTCCTTAACCTATCTAACCCTAGTGTGTTAATTAATCTGACGTAAATATCCGCAATGGGTATATGTGTATAGAACATTTAATGGAAAGACAATTGCTGACAAGTTCCGGGTAGATGCACACTACTGCATTTAATATGAATAGTGACCAGTGACTTTATACTAGGTCAGTGTAATTTTGATAGCCAGCCAAAACATTCAACCTCTAAAAAGAAGACGTGTGTTTAAGAATGTGTCGTCCCCTATCAAAATATTCAATCAAAGTCATAGTGGTTTAAATTGGATTATTGTACATTATTAGGTACATAGAGGGCGTCAAATGTCGTACAGCTTGAAAACGTTTGTTATATATATATATATATATACAAATGTACATATATATGCTGCTGTTCCCAAATTTGGACAGCTTTTTGGAGAAATTTGTTCTATTTCATTTTTTAGGGTTTTTTTAACACCACATTTTTACTAATGTGAAACAAAAGATGTCTTTAGTTTTCATTTTATGTATTTCTTGGGTATCACAAGCGCCTGTGTCTATTATTAGAGCTCATTTAGTTGAGTAAGGTTCTCTTGGATGCTTTAGCTTGCCGGTACCCAAAATGGAACACCTAATCATACAAACCTGCTTATGAAAATAAGTGACAATATTAAAAATATCTGTCTTCATTTCATAAAAGTTTTGATACTTTCTAAAATGATTTAGCCATTTATTCATTAACGATTAACAGTTCAACGTATTTTTTCAGTTTAGAAATGTTATAGGATGCTGATGTTGTCGCACCGCACCGTACAATTTCCCGGGATTTTTTGATTTTTTTTTTGAGCTAATGAGCTTCCTACAAGATGTAATAAATATATATATATATTTAGAATATATATAGAAATAAATAAATACTGTACCATAAATATGAAAAGTGATCCAACATCCCGTCCATGTTGGATACTCTCCTGTTTGAAATGGAGGAAAGTTTAAGTAAATTCAAAGAAAAAATCCGAAGTGTAAGCATAATCGGAAATTTAATTCGAAAGAGATAACAAAAATATGGCAAAATATAATGAAAGTAACGATTTTCATAGAGTCCATTGAAAAGTGATTAGACAATAAGACCAGGTATTTCGGAAGGTTAAGTGTCATCTGCTTCAGCGGCGACGCCCCATTATGTAACATTAATCTAGTTTGAGGACTGTTGGACTTCTAGTATCTAGTAATGCAGCTAATATGAAGTCTATAACTATAGATATAACAATGCATACCCCACAAAATAAATTGGATATGGTTGCCCTCTGGTCAGAGACGTATAAAGCCCATATGTAGTATATACATGTAGGTCTCTGCTCTGGTCAGTTAAAAAAAGTGAATATTATTGAGGATGTTTGAATGGTACAAAAAATATTATCAACTATGGGTTTTTGTACCAATTAAAAGTCTGCTCACTAACAAACTATCTAGACTATTCTGTTATGTTTAAATGATTTCAAACCTGTGTAAATGATTTCGAAATTCTGATTGATCCTTGACCTTACAAACAAGATAACACATGTTAAATAGATTACATCTTATTTTATTATCAACAAATCAGAACGATTTCATGAAACATAACATTACAGAGTATTGTTAACTCTATATAATATAAAATGTGCCAATCGTATTGAACAGGAAGATATATCCATTCTGTTTACACACTATCACTCAACAATTCATTATTCTTTCAATCTTTGTACAGAAATTAAAATAATTTAGAAATCTTCATTATGACAGCTCTTGTTCCCCATCCTTTTCCTTAAAACATATTCTATTACCTTAGTCATCTTCACTCTTTATCAACCCTTTCACCACTGTAGACCATAATGGACTCACCCAGATCAACGCAAGGTAGAGTCTACTAAAGTTACATAGGGCTGAAAGGGTTTAAATCAAACTCACAGCAAGCATTTCTTATTTAAACACACTGAATTAAGTTTATATTTATTCACGATTTTCATGAATATTTCATATAAAGAAATTTGAAAATTTACACAAAGACTAGACACTGTGACAGGAAAAGGAGAAAAAAGAAAATTTGTTAAAAGATAACATGGCTTGATGTCTTACATTATCAATATGTAAAAAATTATGTGCTCCATTCAGGAAGGATACAGCTTGCATATAAGTTCTGTACAAAATAGTATGACCAGGTATGCGTTATTTATGAAAACAAGAAAACAACTAAGCTTTTATATTCTGTTTGTAGCTCATAAAAATTGTTCAGCTATGTTGATTGCATTTAAATTCATCAGCTGGACTTATAAGGTTTTATTTATCAAAAGTATTAAGCAAATTTTAAACTGCCTTTTTTCGATGTCTTTCGGAAAATTAGAATACTTCTACATATTTTTTGTATATTTATTTCATCTCTTCAGAGAGTGATTATGAATCCCTATACTCCAATACGGGATAATTATTTTTGAATTTTATGACATTTATTGATTTCATATTGTACTAATTGGAGCAAATGCAGTATTTTATCATCAAGCAAATCCATTTTTGAACTCGGACCATTTACCTTGTAAGGTACAGTAAATAGAACTAAAACATCTAGCTATGATGTCAGTGTTCAGTAATCTTCTACCCTTTAAATCTATCACAGACAGTAAATGTTAATTACTAAACAAACGGATTTAACAATACATTTACATTGTATTTTGAAAGCTGCATATGTAATAACATGAACATGTATTTCTATGTAGTGTAACTGATAACTTTGTGTATGTTTTACTTAAAGGAAAATATTGTGATATTTCTTAAAACCTAAATCATCAGCAGATCAAGTATAACATTTTGTTTCGCTAAATCCTTCAGTAGCATGTTGCATAATGAACGAAAGGTGCATAGGGCCTATGATTGCCACCTGATACCTGTTAGCATCTTAATACTCTTAATAACCCATTTATACTCCAGCATCCTTACACCCTTAGCAACCCTTTTATACTCTTGTCAGTATCCTTACACCCTTAGCAACCCTGTTATACTCTGTCAGCATCCTTACACCATTAGCAACCCGTTTACTCTGTCAGCATCCTTACACCCTTAGCAACCCTTTTATACTCTTGTCAATATCCTTACACCCTTAGCAACCCATTCATATTCTTTCAGCATTCTTACACCCTTAGCAACCCATTCATACTCTTTCAGCTTCCTTACACCCTTAGCAACCAATTGATATTCTGTCAGTATCCTTACACCCTTAGCAACCCATTCATATTCTTTCAGCATTCTTACACCCTTAGCAACCCATTCATACTCTGTCAGCATCCTTACACCCTTAGCGACCCGTTTTATACTCTGTCAGCATCCTTACACCCTTAGCAACCCATTTATACTCTGTCAGCATCCTTACACCCTTAGCAACCCATTCATACTCTTTCAGCATCCTTACACCCTTAGCAACCCTTTTATACTCTGTCAGTATCCTTACACCCTTAGCAACCCATTCATACTCTTTCAGTATCCTTACACCCTTAGCAACCCATTCATACTCTTTCAGCATCCTCACACCCTTAGCAACCCTTTCCATCATATCATTTCATAGGGAAAGATAAGCAGTTCAATCAGGCGAGCAAAAATATCTAAATAGTTACAAAATAAAAGAATTTCATGTCATGATTTCAGCTCAATTGATTTTGAGCAATTCAAATAATTTAACAACATAACTCTTTATTTAAAAATATGCTTTCTGTATATATAACATTACTCCATGTTTACAAAATATAGGAATCTAAACAAAACAGGACTTCATATAAAAAAAATATGGTTATACACAATCAAAACATATCCCTGCTACAGTGAAACCTACCAAGCCTGCACACTTAGTCCTGAAACTTAGTGTTATGGACTAATTGAGTTCAGAATGACTAAGTATCACTGTAAGTATCACTGTATCTAACTCATAAAAATTTGAACAAAATATTACTATATAATTCATATATTACAATACTTCTATCATTCTACACAAGCTTTCTATAATTCTACTTCAGCTAGCTTCCCTTGCTAGCTCCCTTGCTATTCTATACACAAGCTTTCTATAATTCTATTTCAGCTAGCTTCCCTTGCTAGCTCCTTGCTAGTTCCCTTGCTAGCTCCTTGCTAGTTCCCTTGCTAGCTCCCTTGCTTGCTCCCTTGGAAGTTTTTGGGATTTCATTGAAATTGGGGACTAAAGTAGGAATCTGATTCTAATTCTAATGTTAAATCACTTTATATTTGTCAGCAGGGACAGTTGAACATTAATTTTGTAGAAAATCAGAAAAACACTTTTTACAGTTTAAAAGCATAATAATCAATTATAATAAAATCGTTATTAATGTTTATAACGATATTATATTTGTTTAATAATGACCAACTTAGTTCAGTTTCTCTCTCGTACTGGGATAGCACGAATACATTTAAAATCTTTTGAAAATATCTTTTTTTTAAATTCTGCTATATTTTTGAGAAATGAAGTCACTAAAGCCGTGGTATCAGTGACCTTGGTACCCTGAAACATGGTTTCATCCAAAGTATTCTCATGACAAACGGTTTTTTTAACTTTAAACAAAATCAACTAGATTATTTTATCAAACTATACATTTGTATTCCCTAAAACATCTCATTGCTTAAACAATTTTTCTATCAATAGTATCTGTGACCTTGGCCTTGACCTTTGAACCCTGAGGGTAAGTCTAGACTGTGCTGCCTAGAAACTTTACAATGATATGTACAGCAGATATATACTGCTCCCAGATCATCTGATAGAGCCACTCCTCTATATGGATGTAGGAGTTGTCTCCCATGTAATTTGAAGAGTCAATTTTACATTTGGTTTTCCACAAACCAACAAAATACATTAATTAACATAAGAGTGAAAATAAAGTAGAAACTCCCACAACCTTTCCACTGCAAACAAACCTTTGAAAGATATTTTCCTGTACATTTTATGTAATTTCCTCCAGATTCAAAGACAGTATAAGGTTAAAGATCTTTTAGAAAGTTACGACATTTTGAAGTTATACCCAGCAAAACTGCAGAAAAGCATTAACCTAAAGCTAATTCACATTTTGACTGGTAGTGCAGTGGAAAAGCTAATATGTTTTTGTTAAACATGAACTATAATTAATATGTTTCTCCCATATATGACTCTAATCTTTACTACAGAGTGCTTGGACTCTCTACCTTAAATGTGTGTAAGCCACCTGAGATATCCCCGACATAAATAATAGGTTTTGAACAACCTAAAAATTCTAATCATTACTACATATGTCATCCACTCTTAAACAATATTTCCTGGTCAACAACCCAATATTTTAACTGTATCCCTTAGAACAGGATATAATTACATTTGTTACACCTCAGGCGAATTTCTAGCTATTTGATTGGTTGGGAGAAAATTAAACAAAAATCTCTGTCACCCTCCGAAAATACATTGGTTTTAAGGGGCGCGGGTGATATTGCCATGAGACAGTGAAAAATATCACATGCGCGAAAAATGTGCGTGCATCGCTTAGTTTCCTCACCGTGATGGTCACAAGAACGTTTGACGGCTATAGCCAATTTTATCAAGAGCTGGTGCGATAGCGATTGTAAACAGCAGACTATCAACAAACAAGATGTCATTATCGAGGTTTGCTGCCGTTTCTGAGCTACAAAGACTCTGAAAAAAAAAAAAAAAAACATTGTCACCGTCGGCTTCGCCTCGGGTGACAATGGTTTTCTCGGGTTGACAATATTCACTGTCACCTGCTAATGAATGTCATATTTATATATTGTTGCCACATAAGAAAAATATGGCACTGTTAAGATTCTAGTTAGTATCATCACCCAATATAATTACATATTAAAAATGAAATATTAATAAAATACTAATATCTATACTGCTTATAAAACTATTTCACTGGTTTATTAGTGTGCAAATCTTTATGAAAGGAGATAGAGACCAGTAAGGAACATACACCATTAACATAAGCCAGAGTTACTGAACAGTGTTGATGGTCTTGAAGGAGACCTAGTCTTGAACACACGATCTGAGAATATCGGGACAGGCAAGGAATATGGTAGCGAGATCAATCCCCTCTTCTACAACCACAAGCAGGTCAATAGTGGGCTGGTACGGTCTGCAGCGCTTCGTCTCTACTCCTCTGTGTTAGTGTGCACTGGAAATAAACAAAAAGGTGTGACTGGGACATCAACCATATATACCTGCATTCACTACGATAAAACAGACAAATATAACAGAGAAAAAAATACTTAAAAAAAGGAATACAAGTATGTGGTGGTAAATACATAATGGTCTGTCCCTCAGCCTCCACGAAGGTCAGTCTATTCATTAAGTAATATTATTTTCATGGCCTATAGATGCTTTACCTAGTTTGTTTTAAACCTGCCAAGAAGCTCAGAATTTGTCATTCACATATATTTACATTCCACTGCAAGTTCCTCTATAAACATTACCAGAAGAAATGGCTGTCATAGTCAGCATCATTTTGAAGCTTCTCCTTCCACCTCAAATAACATGAGACAACCATTTGACGCAAACATTTTGGTGATGTTAGGCTGTTTCAGGAATCTGGTTTGCACTAATGACACAGACATTCAATATATTATATTTAGGTCAATATTAACTAGAGATATTTCCAAATGCTTTCAAATGTCAAACTTTTTCATTTTTATCATTTTTAATTCAAACAAACCAGCTGCTTAAGCACCCTACGGACACAATATTGTTGTTCTGCTTTTTCGTGGATCTTTTCCTGAAGGTTTATAAAAATATTTTATAAAATTAACTGCCATTAATCCCAGCATGGTACAGGCCAAATATCAGGATTGTAGGTGTTTTAACCGATTTGATCCTTGACCGCAAAGATGAGTCAGTGTGTTTTGTTTGTATGTTTTTTCTTGCTATTTGTAGCACTTAAATTAGCAAGATACTGGCCAAATATGACTGGAGGACTTTCTTTTCTTAAGAAAAACTTGTTTGCAAGGCTTAAAAGATTTGACCACTGTGATCTTAAGTTTTGGTCAAGGATTTATTTTGGAAGAAATCTATACCAGCAATATCTGGCCAAATATTTGTCTTTGCTTATCTTCAAATCATGTGAGTGTTTCAACAAATTTAACCCTTGTTACTTTGAATATTGATCAACTTCAAGGTTACAAATAGACAGCAGATAATGGTCAGCAACCCATTGTGATAAGTCACTTGGTGCTGTACAGACGTCAGACGCCAGGAAATGTTCCTCTTTAATAGCATAATCAAGAATTTATGAAAACCAGGTTTTCTCTGGCCACCGTCAAGTCTTAAACTCCACCATGTCCACTTCCTGCCCAGGTCTGTTGTCTTCATTGTGATATCAGAGTCAGTGACAACACATTAAGGATCCCTGCCCCACTGCACTGCCATTTTTCCTGTACACAGTAACCTCCCATTAACTTCCGTTTGGATATAACTGCAACACATTTGGGCTAGTACACTTCCTTTGTTTTTTTACACTCAGAACACTCTTGTTGATTCCACTTAGTTAGTTTCATCTCTGTTATTTTTCTTCAGTCCTGCAAGGTATGGTTTTCTTTTCAAAAATTATTTATCAAGGTTATAGTTCCGCTGGAAGTTTCCAATGATTATTTACAGTTTTGGGCAGTTGTACGGGGATCCTTAAGAATTCCACTAGATTTTCATACACATAGTAATCTCCCCTTAATTTTGTTTTAGACATAACTGTAGTGGGACAAGACCAGGGAACTTTCCCTGATCCCGTAGCTCAGATGGTTAGGGCAACTGTTATATTTCATCTTTATTATTATTTTCAAAAATAAGTTTCCGATTTATCGTTTAAGTTTTTGGCAGTGGTACAGGGATCCTTAAGTCATACATAAAAATATGACAAAGATCTGGAGTACTCAATACGTAATACAGTAGTCGTGTGACAACATATAAACAACATCGCACATATTTATATCAAAAACACTTTATTACATACAATCTTTGGTCCGTAATACTAGATATGGGAACACATAAAATAAATCTTCAACTGAACCTGTTACACAACATAAAATACCTGAAAACTAAACGAAGGTAGAAATAACAAAGATCTCTCATCATCTTACACAGGTCCCACTGGACTACATGTACTAAAATACCTTGTGTAGATCTGGTACATTTGTTTAAATAAATAAGAACCAATTTGACTAAATGCTGATCTTTGGACAAAATGTAATAAAAATTTACATAATCTACAAATAGAAATGTAGATACATGTTATAGACATCAGGATAATATTTAAAAGTGGTAAATGGTACTTTGTTCTGAGTAATCTTTTATGTTAGATACCATCGTGGATTACCTGGTATGTAGAACAACAACGACCGTTCTGACAGGTGAAGCACTTTGAATGACAGGTGTAATCAATCAATCAATCAATCAATCAATTACAGGTGAAGCACTATGTTATATGTATTACCAGAGTTTAGACGAACAAAGTTCCATGGTCCTGTGTCTAGAACAACAGGTAACTACAAACCACTGGGTATAAGTAATGACATGGTCAATGATAAATAAAATCCAGTGCTGGACAAAGCCTTGCTCAAAATGTTCATATGCGGGAATAAAATCTAATCTTCTGGCCAAAATTACACTGTACTGACTGATATGTTAAAATGCTCAAAGAAAAACGTATCCAGTAAATACCCTAGATATAAATGAAAGCTGTGAAAATTCCTACTTCTGTGGAGTTGGTGGTTTTCAGCCATGTAGCATATTTTTTTTGCAAATTTCAGTTGTCCAGTAGAGTTTAAGGTTACTACTGGCCTGTGGACCAGAACACCTATCCAGCACTGGAGTCCTAACAGAGGATGAACATTTTAAAGTTGATTGTTCAGATTCTATTATTTATATAATTGAGCTTTTGAGTATGTAAATATTGAGTGCATCAGTAAGTTCAATTTAATTTAAAAGATATAGATGAGAAACAGAAAACATTTCCCTCTATTGAGATTTCAATCATGCTGAAGAGGATACCATAATCATCCTGAAGGCTAAAGGAATCAAAGCCTCAACACATTATCTCTGACTCAAAAGTTAGGAGGCTTATTACAGGACACTTATGTAATAGCATTTGTTACCCTTTCTACTCAGCTGTACATGTATATGGGTGCAGGGCTATAACAAGGCAGGGATTTATTGACTGACAAATATGGGTACATACACTGTACAACAGTGTCAGATCCAGGGAGTATTTCAAGTAGTTTCTGGGAATCTCCAACCCTATGCTAATTTACCCACTGTCAGTTTTCAACCCTTACCCTATGATAATTTACCCACTGTCAGTTTTCAACCCTTACCCTATGCTAATTTACCCACTCTCAGTTTTCAACCCTAACCCTATGATAATTTACCCACTCTCAGTTTTCAACCCTAACCCTGATGTATATAAGTATGCCTGACCCTACCCCTTAGGATCAAATGCCTTGGTCCTACATGCACTGACTAGCCTTCAAACATTTGGGGTTGTTTGTATACAATATCATTTTGTGAGACAAATACTGTGTTAGAAGGTATATAAACATCATTATCTGTTTCGAATATATGCCAGTGTTCTCACAAAAGTTTCAAATAGGTGGCTGACTTGAAAGGAATACCTGGTTGAATGTTCACTTGCTACAGAGTGCAAAGTTGAGAAGTAACAGGCTACTTTTGCCAGCGACCAGCTTTTAATGAGAACACTGGTAATACCTTGATGTAGGCGACAACATGCATGCATGACTTTTACAAAACCAGCGAATAAATCTCCTTACAGTAAATAATTAACGATAATAAGTAAGACATGCATGAAATATGCTATTAGTTTAAAAACAACTGGTGCATGACTATCTGTCAGCGGGTGTATGAAGCTTTATAAAGAGCCTCGATTTTGTTCTCAGTCAGGCCACCACTATAAACTTATCTGTTTGGCATAACCCGACCAAGGATTTTAGGTTTGGGTAGATAGGTCAAAAGGATTTCTTATCTGACAAAGAAAGTCATTAACTTAAATCGACTCTAGTCAATAGAACAAGTCAACAGAAGCAATGCATCCATTTTGATTTCACCACCTAGACACAAGTCACATAAGCACTTCATAAAACACTTAACAGATCTTGCACCTGAATTAACATAAAAATAATTTCAGTAGAAAATATCCATGATTATTTTTAGCAGTTGGTCTGTTTTTCCTGGGTCGGGTGCTTTACACCAAACATAGCTTTCATTAACCCTTTCACCCCTATGTAACTTTGGTCAACTCTACCATTCATTGATCTGGATGAGTCCATTATGGTCCACAGTGGTGAAAGGGTTAAGCACAATTTCAGCAGTCTCAGATACACAGCAAGAGGACAGTCTTTGCGTACATATGTTGTAAACTTTTTCTTTTTAATGTCAAGGTCAATGATTCAGGAAGTCAGGAACCATGCATGCTTTGTTAAACTTCAACTACAGAACTTAATTCTTACTTAATAACATTGACAACACAGACAATCACAGGTCAAAGGTTAATATCTTTTTGGTGTCACCAGTTTTATGTTCGTGATTCCCATTTTCGACAAATTTGTGAAAAAACACACAAAAGGATGAAGTACTCACAACTGAAAGACATTTGTTTAAACTGTTCTTTTGTAATCGAAACTAAGCTTCCTGCTACACATATCACCATGACAACCATTGGTTGGACACGAATTCCTGCACTATTGTCATGTCAACAAATTGCACAATGGCTTTAATTTGTTGCTGTTCACTGCCATTGTCATGACTTGATTGTTACAACACAAAGTCAAGAGCTTTAGGGATATCCTGATGATCGTTGCCATAGCAACATGCGGCCAAGGACTACCATTGGTTAGGGAGTCTAACTCATGCACCAATCACAGGCTAGCTGACTAAGTACCAACATGGGAGGAACACTTAGTGCAGGAAGGAAACATCGCATTTGCGATGGGCCCATTCTTTGTGCCAGAGACGTGCTGGAAAAGTTAAAGAAATCAGTTTGTAAGAGAAGGAAAAACAGAGACCTGCTGGTCACACAGGTTTTCAAGTCACACAAAGTTAGATCAACACAACACACACATCCCTCACACACCCGCATGTTATTTATCACAAACATCGTAAAGAAAAGGGAAAGGAAGGCATAGCTTGAGAAGAATACCGCCAACCACAGAAAATGATCTCTATACAGGGTATTGGAACTCATAGATTTCATGGAAAGTCATGTGTCCAGAGGTCAAAGTTCATAAAAGCAAGGGCTCATTGGATATTTACATATATTTGATATTTATGTCTAGTGACATCATCAAAAATGTTATTATATGAATATATAAATTAACCATTAACCTTAAGTTAAACTGCAACATGCTATATATAAGTATATTATTATACGTAAAGCAGCATTTTACAGGTAGAAGTATTTGTTTTGTCTAAGGTGAATATATTCATAAATTGGATCTCTGTGCCGGATAATTGTGTTGGTTTAGCAACATTTTTATTCCACTTTTTAAAAAATAATCATTAAAATGAGAATATATTATAAAAGAATTATTTTGTCACCTACTAATTGTCTATTATCATTAATAAGACACCAAAAACAACCATTGTTGCAAACATTTTACCAATTGTTCATCATAATTAACAAAACATTTTAAGAGCCTTAAATTATGACATTTGTTTCCTAGGGAAACTGGGACATTTTGGCATTGATTCACTAATAAACATTTATGAGAAAAAAAAAGGATATAAGATTTAGGGATCAAGTCAGCAAATAAATTATAAAAATATTGCATATTATTTGTTAAGAAGAAAGCAAAAGGAGCGATTGGTATGTGTTTGCAGTGAGCAAAGTGGCAAAAGAAAATGGGGGAGGATTTATGGAGGGTTCGCCGTGTTGGATTAGTGATAGGATGTGACATTAGATAAAACGTGTGTACTACCCACCTGAGGGCGCTCTCTGTGGGTGTTGACTGCATCTACGCTGAGGGCAACAAACTCAATCTTACAGCCATAAGCCACCGGTGTTAGTTTGATGACTGTGTGGAGTGGGACCTTTAGATACGCGAGGTCGGCTGTAATGAACATAAACATCAAGTATTAAGTAATGTGAAGCTGGTAAGGGTAGATAACTCTTAAATAATATTTAAGATAATAATTTAATGCAACATTTAGATATAGCAAGTTCACTGTTATGTTTAAAACCACAACAAAACACACAAATAAAGTAAAGGAAAAAGCTCAGCACAAACTTGGAATTGTACTTTCAGCTGTAATTCGTAAAATATCAATTGTTCATAGATAGCAAGGGGCAGATAACTTTAACAACCTATTTATGATAAGATATGAATGGTAACGTTGAATACCATATTTAAATGAAATCAAGACATATTGATCACAGCCCTAGCTTCTATCAATCAGACATGAAAATCATCTTGCCCCTGTGGCTGACCTATAAATAGCAACAGTAACTTAAGTGTTGACCCTGGGACCCTGAAACACAAATTTATCTTAGGTTTTCAAATACTTGACGCTGTATAAGTTTTAATGAAAAACTCCTAAAAAATGGAGTCAGTACAGTCATGACAATGATCTGTGATGAGACAGGATCGGGATGGGACTGGGCGGGATGAAATGGGGCAGACAAGGGTAAATTTGTGGGGGCAAAAAAATGAAAAATGAAAATGTGGACTTTTGTACCGTTTAACATTTGAATTACACCTGAATTAATTGCCACTACAACAAAACCCAAATATATAGAAATCGTTGACATAAAATGTTTCCTTCGTAATAGTAATTGTCAGACTATTTTCGTTTCTGTTATGTTGGACATGTTGGTTAACTTTTACACTATACAACAAGTAGTACAATTACCGCAGTACATAAAATTCTCAGTTCTAAAGTGTTGCAACATTAGCAGATGCCTTTTCACATTCTCATATTTTTCTCAACACTGACCTAAAGCGCCAAGAGTAACATTTGGTACAAATTGGCTTTCCAGAAGGTGATATCTGATGGTATTTTTATTAATTCATTAATTAAATACTGATGGAAACTTTATTTTTTCTTTAAAATGGTATTACAAAGCCTTTCTTTAGGATGTACCTTTTTTTATAAACACTACAATGTTCCAATGTTCAGTGTGATGACAGAAATATTTGTGCTAATGTGGGTCAATATACTATAGACAACAATTAGTTCACCCAAGAAAGCTACCAGTTCACCCAAGAAAGCGACCAGTCACATCTCATGACCTTACCCATCAAAGTTCACTAAAAGAAGCTGTTTAAAGAGTTTTACACAACTGACCCATGAAGTCTCAAGGGCTTCAGGGTCACTCTGTTTAAGAAACTTGTTAGACATTCAGCAAACAAGCAATTGGCCGAATAGTATTGGTGTCAGTGTCAAGATTTATTAAAAGATGTATTTGAGCCATGACCTGGAATGTGATTTAAAACATTTTCTTTTTAAATACTGATAGCACTTAAACCCTAGCAAGATATTTTGTACATGATATATCATAACTACAGGCTTTCTGATTTTTGAGAATAAGTTGTTGAATGATTTCAACACATATGATCCCTGTGACCTTGAATGTGGGTCAAGGTAATTTATGTACACAACAAACTTAATGGCACTTCAACCCAGCAAGTTACATAATAAATAGCATGACCCTTTACCTTATTATAGTGAGATGAACTTGTTCAAAGTATGGTGTTGACATTAGACATTAGATGATGGACACAGCACCATAACATAAACTCACAAGTACTTTGTGTCAGAACAGCTGACAGACTTACAGATGCATGACAATAACAATCAATAGTGACAGAACTCTGGATTATAATAATAATATACAGCATTTGATATTGCACCCTATCTAGCTAACATAAGCCACTCTAAAGCGCTTTACACATTTATAGATGTAAAATTAACACAATTAGCATATACATTAATCAATGCAATTTTGAGGAATTCGCAGGAGATGCCTTATTAGGCGCTAACTAGTCCTATGCCACCTGGCTAATATCTCCCTATGTGTGTATGCCTGCGTGTGTGCTGAAGATGTAATGTGTTCTGTTTGTAGTGGGACAATGCTTCCAATGGCATCATTTATAGTGCAACCTCACTTGAATGCTTTAATTAGCACAGATACCGCAACATCCACCCCAGACAACCAAATCGTCGTCACCCTAAGGGGTTGGAGATATCTGTTAAACCATCAAGGTAAAGGATGGTAATTTTTTTTCCCATCATTCCAATACTATGTTTAAAAACAATAGTTTTCAGCATTCGAATGTGTTTATTATCTTGTTTTGTACATAACACCTCCTGTCAGTAGCTGATTATGATGTGATATCTTATTGTTTTAGTGACATTGTAGTATGGTATCTTCAGTTGTGCAATCTGGTTGACATAGAAATCATGAACAGGTAAAACGAGAGACTATTCAGTAAAAGGTGGGAGAATAATTATCAATAGTGGTGAATTGTGACCATCAAATATCAGTAGTGGAAGACGTCTGAAGTGTGACGATCAATAAATAAAATCCTCGCTATTGGATTGTGGATAACAACTGCATGAGATCTTTGGATTTTTTTAATCATAGTACGTAATATTTTGTTGGTGTTTTTGCTATAGATTGACAACTTCAGTCATAGAAATATTCAACAGATGAAAAAACTCTTACCAATTGGAATATGTCGATGATATATGCCTGAACTTATAAGGTAACAGTTTGACAACAGACTGCCTGATGCACAATGACATATAGTCATTTTAGACTCGGTGGACAGGTGAGGTCAAACAGTACAAGATGTGTGTAGCATTTTGACTCACTTTAGAGAGTACAAGATACATGTAACAACTAGAACACTGACATGAGTGAGGGCCCAGCCATGTGCCTGACTGTAACCCCACCCCCCCTCTCATTTATTTTTAGTTACAGTGACCTTGACCTTAGAAACTTTTAATTCCCCTGTAGCACATCTGCATATCAGTGTATCACTATGTCAAATTTAAAAGGATTAATCTTATGGATTTTGTGATAATTTCTGAAAACAAAGATGATGGCCAGACAGATGCATAACATGATTACCAAATGGCACCCAAATCTCTGATGTGGGCCCGCTTCAAATATGTGGAAGAAACTTAAGGAGGAAGAGCCAACTTTAAACCAGGAAATATAACAAGAGGCCCATGGGCCTAAACGGTCACCTGAGTCTACAGTATTTATTTTTGTTGTTGAAATATGTACCAATTTGAGTAAAAAATAGTATAATGTTAACTTAACTTTGTCAGGACCATGAGCTGATCATTCCTAGACCAATTTTAAGTGAGATCGGCCTATTAGAACTTAGTAGCAAAATAGCGGCCATGGCAGCCAAATTGTATTTCTGATTGACCCGAAAAATAACAACACTTTGTCAGGACCATGATTCGATCATTCCTACAAAGTTTCAGTTCAATCGGCCAAGTAGATCTTTACTTTAAGTTTGAAATAGTTTTTCAAAATGGCAGCCGTGGTGGCCATATTGGATTTCTGATCGACCCGAAAAATAACAACACTTTGTCAGGACCATGAGTCAATCATTCCTACAAAGTTTCAGTTCAATCGGCCTAGCAGAACTTGACTTTAAGTTTGAAATAGTTTTTCAAAATGGCGGCCGTGGCGGCCATATTGGATTTCTGATCGACCCGAAAAATAACAACACTTTGTCAGGACCATGAGTCGATCATTCCTACAAACTTTCAGTTCAATCGGCCCAGCAGAACTTGACTTTAAGTTTGAAATAGGTTTTCAAAATGGCGGCCGTGGCGGCCATATTGGATTTCTGATCGACCCGAAAAATAACAACACTTTGTCAGGACCATGAGGCGATCATTCCTACCAACTTTCAGTTCAATCGGTCCAGCAGAACTTGACTTTAAGTTTGAAATAGGTTTTCAAAATGGCGGCCGTGGCGGCCATATTGGATTTCTGATCGACCCGAAAAATAACAACACTTTGTCAGGACCATGAGGCGATCATTCCTACCAACTTTCAGTTCAATCGGTCCAGCAGAACTTGACTTTAAGTTTGAAATAGGTTTTCAAAATGGCGGCCGTGGCGGCCATATTGGATTTCTGATCGACCCGAAAAATAACAACACTTTGTCAGGACCATGAGGCGATCATTCCTACCAACTTTCAGTTCAATCGGCCCAGCAGAACTTGACTTTAAGTTTGAAATGTAAAATGTTAACGGACGAAGGACGACGGACGACGGACGACGACGGACGAAAACGGATAGCAATAGGTCACTTGAGCTAAAGCTCAGGTGACCTAAAAAAGTACAAGGTGTTCTTTGTAAAAATAACTCACTTCAGGCTAGTTCAGGTAAAACAGCACAAGGTGTGTGTAAGAATTATGTAATAGGACGAGGAATAGTGATAAAGATAGTGCCGTCGCTTCGGCTCAAACCGGCGACTCTTGGCTTTCCAGCCCGATGCTCTTCCGCTGAGCTAAAGGGGAATTCCCTACAGCTGACGCGTGTAAGGCGACCTAATGAATCCACATCTTTTACACTATTCCCCCCTATTTTCAATCACCAACCCAGGTTGTTTGACTCCCTGCCAAGGGTTCTCCTACCTTGAACGGGGAGGGTCAACGGCACCAATTTGTAGTAGGTAAGAGGATAATGTGCTTCAATCGGGGATTGAACCCACGATCTCCAGGTTCCTAGTCAGACGCTCTACCATTGAGCTAAAGGGAAATTCCCTACAGCTGACGCTTTACAGCTGACGCTTGTAAGGCAACCTAATTAATCCACATCTTTTACAATTATTCACTTACCAGGTTAGGTAAAACAGCACGAGGTGTGTGTAAGAATAACTCACTTTAGACCAGCTGGGGTCAAACAGCACACAGTGTGTGTAACAATGATTATTATTAGACCAGGGAATGTATTATAAGGTATGGTGTAACAAAAACTTACTACAGACTAGGTGAGGTAAAACAGTTTTGGGTGTGTGCAAATTTTCTGATTGTCCAAACTCTGTGGAAATAATTCTTTTGAATAATATGGAATTTTAAACTACTTTGGAGCAAAAAGAGGTATAAATTGTATTAATTCTTTGTAATGTTCACTGTGTCAAAACCAGAGAAACCAGACTCGTTGAAAGAAGCTGCAAAAACACATAGCCCTAATGATCTGATATAGCTCCATTGCCAGTTTCTGTTCAATTTAACAAAGATCAAATATAATCTGCTGATCAGCTGATTGTTTCAAACCAGTATTGGTGAATAACCAATCAGTTTTGTCATCATATAACGAGCAAAAAAAACCTGAATTCCAATTAAAGACAGACAGCAAAACTCAAAAAAGGGGTTAGGTTAGGAGATCGGTGTGTACTTAGCAAAAAAATACCTTAGCAGCAGATTATTTTCACATTCACAGCCATGTCCGGTCATGTGCATTTTGACGACAGCCTCTTGGGGGACCGGAACATAGGGGATTTCCTCTACAAAGGCCCAAGGAAAGAAAATGCCTAGTTTATACAGCAAACCATGACATCATCAATGTATGATCACATGAACAATGACATCACCAATAAACAAACACAAAAGCTGTGACATCATCAATGTATGACCACATAAATTGTGACATCATCTTTTTTAGGTCACAGCAAATCACAACCAACAAAAAACAAAAGAATTAATTTCTTGAGTGACTGTGAACAAATTATGAAGATTAAATATGAACCAAAACGGATCATCTAACGGAATAAACAAAATAAACAATCAGGTAAAGAGAAGATCATAACTAGAGGAAAATTTAAAAGTTGTGCCTTTATATTTGTTAGTGTTTCAGGTAGAACTAGACAACTGAAGGCAGTTTGTTGTATTACTGTTTGTAATTTTGTTCGAAATTAATTTGAACTTTTAATTAATTTTATTCACTATGCTCCGATTGTTCAATCAATGGCCCAATTTTGATTTTTTGTTTTTTTGTTTGTTAAATTTTGATACAAAAATGATACCTTGGATAAATGGAACCCTGTTATACTTTGAAAGTCATCCATAAAACGTCTAAGCTCATGAAAAAAGGACAAAAATATATATTCAAATATATTTTTTTTAATAATTACGCCCCTAAATATAGTGATGTCACCAATAGATAGACAAAATCTATAGTGTCACACAAACCAGTAACGTTGCAATGCCTGAAGTGCTAAAAGGTACAGTTTAAATGTAACACAATCTTCTGTCAATTTTTACGTAATTAATTTGCACTTGGTCAATTTAAACATTATATCACTGCCCGACCATTTACCGTTCCTATTAATCAACTGAGCTGCATAATTAACACAGCATGTATGGTAGTAGTGGTTCAACTACATGAAGCTTCATATTATGAGCCAAAACTATGTCTGGAACTATAATAATTATTAATTATTGTTCTTGTATGTTTTGTTTTTATAATTGGTAGCATGTATATTGGAATGTTCAAAACCTTCATTTTGTGAGTAAAATAAATGTATATTGCCTAAAGTCTACAAGAACCACCTGTAAAAGTGGTAGTGGTAGACAGGGGGAAACTATAGACAGGGACTAGTAATGACAGGTGCTAGCGACAGACAGGCAGTAGCTTCAGATAGTGGTAGCAGTACACACTCTCTATGACAGATTTGACTGTATAATCATTTACGTTAGATTTGTCAATGAAGAAGGTGTTTTTTTAAGAAGCTATATGTAGGCTTTAAGCCACATCAGATTTGACTGATCATCAGCAACTTAAGACATGTTAATAAAGTAGCATGTCTTTCTCAAACATTTCTTAATCAACAACTATAAATGATGTCACACGAACACATCTAGCTACACACATTCAAACAAATCCAAACCAATTCACACATGATACTGGCCCCAAACCACTACATCAGTAATGTATACAGCTAACAGTCAGACGCAAAACATACTGACCTCACAATGAACTTATAATAACAAGCAAAGTACAGCATAACATTTAGATGCCGCTGTACACAAACATGATACACCTACAATACTGGCCTCCACAAAAGCAAGGTACAGAAATACATTCAGAACTTCACACTTGGGACTTTAATACTAACCCAATACCGACTGCTAAACAAACAAGCTGACATAACTCAATGTTTAATAGCCAACACACATGCTCATGATGCTAGCCCCATACAGACCCCAACAAAATTAATTTTCAATAAATTAAGCAACACAAAGGATAAAGGTTTTATGTCTATTTTGTTATATCAAATATTTCATTTGCATTGGTATGCTGAAGCAAAACACTGCCAGACAGCCAGACAGAGCTGTCAGCACATAATGGACATATTCTTTTCAATTTTTTTCCTCATACTAAACACTAAGTTAAATGTCACTGATGCAGAAAGCCAGTAAAATCTGTGGGTAAATTTGAATACGGGAACATCATGATATAATGCCATTATTGCCTTCACGCCTACCGCCAACAAATTTGAAGCCCCTGCCCCCTTCATCCTTTTTTTTTTAACAATTCCTAATGACAATACAAATCTCCATCGAAATAACAACTAAACCCCTCATGACGCAAGCAACTCCCGCGATATATCTATGAAAAGAAACCCCTTCATATCCAAAACAGAGAAGATCAAGGGAATTGTCCGTTGATAAAATTGAAATGATTAAATATTGAAGTTATAAACAAGGCAAAGGTCAACTGTTGCAAAATCTGATGGCTGGCAGCAGAATGTAGTTCAGATGGAAAAAAAAGGGATGACATTTATTGTGTTGATAGGGAACCGATGATTAATAATTTTCCGTACCAACAATTTTACAATGGTAACCATCCAAGTGAGGATCAAAATACATGCTTTAGAATGCTACCATTGTCACGTTGTATAAGGGTATACCCTACTCTGACATGAATCTCAATTCCAAGAGAGTTCGACACTGTGAAACCTACCAATATCTTTAAGGAACTGAACAAGTTTAATAACCTGATGACACATATGAAAAGTACACAAGAACTGATGACACATGAAAGGTACACAAGAACTGATGACACATATGAAAGGTACACAAGAGCTTTTCATTCCCCAAAACAATAGGGTTACATCAAACCTTGTGTGGTTTTATCATTTTTAAGTCACAAAGTACTATGTGGAAAGACTGTTTATAGTGTTTAGAATCAATTTCATACAATGGGTCCCGATGACCTTGACCCTAGATTTTTTTGACCCCATAATCAATAAGGATTTTCCTTTACCAGGGGTTGTCATCTTCTTGCGTTTGAAGATGTAGCCATACTATGGAGTATTTACCTTCTTTGATCAGTATTTGATTTGGTTTACCAATTAAGTACTTTGATTTGATTATTTTCAATCAGATTATTTTAGCCAATTTTATTTATTTTTTATCACATACCTGTTGAATCTTGTTATAGTAATACAAGCAATTTTCAGACCATGAAATACAACATTATGTATTGCACATGTGCAATATGGAACGTTGTATTTACCTACTAGCCAGAACTACTTTTTATGGGAATCCCCTTGTCATGGCGAACTGAAAAGTTCCCGGTATTTGTAAAAAATATCAAAGTTTATAAAACCTTTGTATCAATCGCTACCAAATACAGAAGGTATGTGATAAAAGCAAGACCTCACATCCGTGCACTCGTGAATATATTTGTCCTCGCAATAAATGAGTGCTTTCTGATTCGTTAGAAAAACACAAGTGTGTGGTCTTGCATATTTATCACATGGAAATACATGGAAGAAAGAAAAAATTAAAATCATTCTTTAATGTCATTGAAATGTTAACTGGGCTTTTTAAATTATTATTGTTGTTATGCTTCAACGAATTGTTGTTATGCTCCATACGAAACAAAAATAAAAGCAACAGAATGCCAAACATTACTATTGGTACTGTATCTAACTCTAAAGACAGGTATATAGTACATACCAAATCAAACTTATCTCCAAATTACAAATTGAAAACTGAATCAAATCAATTGTGAGTAACTCAACTGCAATGAATTGTCACACCACTTCCACAGACCAGACGTCAGGGAAACCCAACCTAATACTTCCATCAAACTTTGAGGGAAAATATCAAGAAACTATGGTTACTATTGAATACGAAAAAGAATCTATTTACAACTACTAAAGTAAACCTACAACAAATGTCATCTCCATTTATTGTTATTGTTGTAGACATTTTATACATATTGTACTGGTCTTGGATAGACTTTTTTCACATGTGTTGACGTTTTCCTTGGACATCTTGTCAAGTGTAGTAATAGAAGATCAGAATTGTACTAAATTGTCAGAAACTTTATCTACAATCACAAAAGCTGAGGAATGCCATTAAGCTGGACAGACTGCATGTGATATGATAGATTTAAGAAGAGCTAAGCATATAGGACAGTGTTGAAATATGTTACAAAATCAAATCAGAATTTCCACACTCAAAATAGTTCTGTTTACAGTAAAACAGAGAACGTTTTATACCAATATTAAAAAACATTTCCAAAAGTCTGCTTTGCCTTCATATTCAGTCAATATAAAGTGGGGCAAGTACTTCCAGCAAATTAATAGTCCCCCAGCGCTGGACAACTTCAGTGTTAAAAATGAACAAAAGACCGTAATGCTGAATAAAGGGGGACAAGAGACCCCACTTCAGTATGTAACACTCCACCAACCAAAGAGGTACTGATAAATTATAGAAATAGTTGGTTACAGATAATATTGTAGGACATGACTAAATAAAGTCAGGGCCATATTTCTCTATATATAGTTGGGCACAAGATCACCACCTGCACCCCTGGAATATGTCAAAGCAAAAATGATGGCATGCAACTAGCTATTTGATTGGTCTCGGGTAGAAACAGCTTACCAATCGCTAGGCTGAGACCTTTCCTTTAAAGATTACAGAGGAGCGATACCCGACTTAAAAGTCCGTCAAATTTGACCGCTATGTGACCGCCAGATACTTTTGATGTACACAAAAAGGGTCAAACTAGTCTTCTTGTCTTGTCCACAAGGAAGAGCGCACAGGGCCTTTGATTTTGTCCTGACATATTGCAGGGGCACAGAGAGCGTAAGTGAGCATAACCCCTGTGATATCGAGGATGACCCAATTTCAGAATGTACAACTCTCCCATACCAAAGGGTACCTGCATACAAAATTTGGCAAAGTGTCAAGCAGGCAGGCAAAGTACAAATGTAAAAAGTAAAAAACAGTAAAACCCTGCTAACTCGAACTCGTGGGGTTCAGATCAATGGTTCGAGGAATACATGGCATTCAATGAATTTGAGGTTTGACTGACATCATCATTTTTTTTAATCAGTTGGAAACCAGACAGTACAAAAACTGCAAATATCGCAGATAGTAGTTGATAATATTTTTTTTTTTTTAAATATAAAACAGCTGAACAATGAAAACATGCATATGTAGCCATTGGTATTAAGAAAGGAAATTAAAGAGTTTGTGAATAATGTACTTGTCGTTTAGACTGAGTCTGCCATACTGTAATCGGCTAGGGTAATTTTACAAAATATCAAACAAGAGGAACTCTTCGATCATTTTAAAACTAAGAAAATTTTGAATCCCTGTAATCATGATGTTGTTTGATAAGGAAATTAACAATCACGACGTATTCAAGTTTGAAAATCTAAAGATGGCTGAGAACCTGCAATGTGATTTCTGCTTAATATTGCCATGCTGAAATATAGTTTTACACACCCAGTGAATTAACACTTCCGCCAAATCATAGATGTCAAAACATTGTCTAGAAATAATAAATATGCAAACAAAATGATAATGCAGCTACAAGAGAGTAACGGTACAGTTACTTAATTAAACTGCTGTTAATCCTTTAATTATCTGACATCCGACCGACACCTGTATAAGCACAATGAGTGTGAACTGCAGCCTGTGCCTCGAGGCATATCGATGACATGCGGCTTTACATACAGGTGTGTCTACCTGTTCGACGAATGGATAGGTAAAATACTAAGGTTTTGAGTGGTCTGGGATAAATCCGAGTTCGAGGAATACCGGGTATTCAAGCAATGGCTGTTTGAGAAATCCGAGTTCGAGGTTAATTTACAAAGAATATATAAGAACAAAGTCGGGACCAAGCAAACTATTCGAGGAATAGGGAGTATTCGAGTTATGCGAGTTTGAGAAAGTGGGGTTTCACTGTACCTAACTATTGTTTATGATGTCAACTATTGCATTTATAAATCATTAATATACAAGTTAGATAAAGCATGCAAGATGCAGCCAATTGGAAATTAAAGGTGGCATTCAACCTCGTGGATGCTGTTTTGAATATGAGGAAAACTACAGGACTGGCAGGATGGCAATTTATTCCTTTATTTAGTAATGTTATGAGGTCATTAGGGAGGGGTAGGATATAGGGTTAATTATGTTGTTGGAATAATCAGTAATTTCAGTATGGAGGTAAAATGTTGTGATAACAAATACGTTTAGTACATGTCTATGATATGGCAGGGATCAATCTTTTCCTTTTTTGGCAGAATTTACGTTTTTTTGTGACTTAGAAGAAATTTTGCAGATTTGACATGAGGATTTTCACCTCAAGAAATTTAAAATTTTAATACAATAAGTTACATTTTCTCAATTTCACTGATGATCTATGCAGCTAGCTCTTAATTGCATAGAATAAGAAAATTCTGGAAAAATAGTGGAAGTACTTAATTTACAAAACTCAAGAAGTTTTCCAGCTCAGAGGAGGATTTAAAGACATGAAATGATGAATTAACTCATTCACCCATCAGCTTTTATAATGAACTATTCCAACCTTTGAATTGGGAGAGTTCAAATGTGTCTTCAGGGGTGAACGAACTAAGATAAAAAAAAATGATCTCAAGGATCATGCATTTACCTATGAATAGTTATGAAGTTGGCCTAGATTGGTCCCTGAATGGAACATTGTTATTCTCTAATATTTTCGTAAAAGAATTAGTAAATATCAAATGAATGCTTTCTGGATAACATGGCTCATCATTACTGTTCGTAAAATGTGTATTCTGTAAAATCACATGCTTGAATTACAGCTGTTGTATTATTGATTGATATATACTGATTATACAGTGTTAATGAAATGGATACCGACGTCTACTAATCATCAAGATTCCAATTTATGAGTCAATTTCTTCGAAAGATGGTTGAACATTTTACCATTTCGGTTACCATGATACATTATAATTATATAATATTCATAAGCTGCTTAATCAATATTTTGAAGCTTCAAGAAGGATAAACATAAAACTAAATAAAACAACTATAAATTCATTCCAAAACAACAGAACTAGCTAGAACCTTCAGAGATTGATCAATCTTTGTCCAGGCAACATTAACGTAACAAAAGAAAACTTACGAGGGAAATAGTCAGGACAGCTACATATATTAGGATGATGACAGGGTTGTATCAAAACAGATGTCAGTTTAAAAAGCCTCACTTATATAAAAAAAAACTTGAGTTAATACTGTGAAATCAGGTCATTTGAGTTATGGATTTATTTTTTGACATAAAGCACTTACCTGCCTTACATAAGCTCTGTTTATGGTATACAGTGTGTAGACCTACCTGCCTTACCAAAGCTCTGTTTATGGTATACAGTGTGCAGACCTACCTGCCTTACGAAAGCTCTGTTTATGGTATATAGTGTGTAGACTTAGCTACCTTACGAAAGCTCTGATTATGGTATAGTGTGTAGACCTACCTTCCTTACGAAAGCTCTGTTTATGGTATAAAGTGTGTAGACCTACCTGCCTTACGAAAGCTCTGCTTATGGTATATAGTGTATAGACCTACCTTCCTTACGAAAGCTCTGATTATAGTATAGTGTGTAGACTTACCTTCCTTACGAAAGCTCTGTTTATGGTATATAGTGTATAGACCTACCTTCCTTACGAAAGCTCTGATTATAGTATAGTGTGTAGACTTCCCTTCCTTACGAAAGCTCTGTTTATGGTATATAGTGTGTAGACCTACCTGCCTTACGAAATCTCTGTTTATGGTATAGTGTGTAGACTTAGCTACCTTCCTTACGAAAGCTGTTGATGGTATAGTATGTAGACCTACCTGCCGTACGAAAGCTCTGTTTATGGTATATAGTGTGTAGACCTACCTTCCTTACGAAAGCTCTGTTTATGGTATATAGTGTATAGACCTACCTGCCTTACGAAAGCTCTGAGTATGGTATACTGTGTAGACCTACCTGAAGTTTTATCTTGGAAGTAAGCAAGCAGACACCGTGCAACAGCCTGGTGGCAGATCACCAAAATATTCTCCTGTCGCTCCAGTTCCTGAAAGTGTTACAACAGTTCTAATGGTATCCAGCTATGTGGACTGGGCTTGAAGATCACATAGTCTCTCATAGTCAAAAAAACATTTTTGTACATAAGCCTTGTATTAGGAAAGGTCAAAGGATATGGTCCTTTCCATTTAGATAGCATTTATTGTGAAAGATCTAATTATATCAGACTTAGAACAGAGTAATAACTATTAAAGCACATTCAACATAAGAAGTTCAGAGTAATCTAGACTAAGGTTGTACCATGTTTTGAATGACAGAAATCTAAACCTGAGGAAAGTGTTTCTCTACAAGTAAATGAGTATTTTTGCACAAACTGTTGATTCGAGCTGGTTATCCACCTGGGGTAAAACAGAAAAATCTTTCCTTGACCAGAAGTGTGGATATCTATCTAACAGACGAGAAAGTAAAAGCCTACCCTCAGGTAGAGATTTGTGTCTTTATTACACATTTACCATAGATATTGTTAACATTTTTCCAACCAGAAAATAGAAATCTGTAAAATGTATCATTAATATAAGAGAATTATTGTCTTGATACAGGTTCATGTTCTGCAACTTGTTTTTACATTAAGATCTTGCAACACCTTTAATACAGTCAGCTAACAACACATTTGGACTCTATTTCTGTCATCTGAATCCTGTATATTAGAAAGTTGAGAAATAAGACCAGGGTCTGACCAGGACCACATATACCTTGGTCCTTATACATACGTACCATTATCACAGGCTCCAGTCTAGCCACCAGGTCTTGGTAGGACTGTAAGTAGAAACAGAACATGTGGTCAACATATCATTACTATTACAGGTATGTTGATTTATCCTTTTTTCTACCATATTTCACCGAGATGTCTCCATTTTGATCCACTCAAGATTCTCTATTACCCCCCTCTTTTATTATAGTAACACGGACAGTCAATGCTGTTTCTCCCAGTAACAATGACAGCCCAGGGGGTGTCTGCTATATAGTAACACGAACAGTCAATGGAATTTCTCCCAGTAACAATGACAGCCCAGGCGGTGTCTGCTATATAGTAACACGGACAGTCAATGCTGTTTCTCCATTAAGAGTTTGTTAAACAGACAGTAGCTCTGTCTCTTAATGACAGCCCAGGGGGTGTCTGTTATATATAGTAACAAGGACAGTCAATGCTGTTTCTCCCAGTAACAATGACAGCCCAGGCGGTGTCTGCTATATAGTAACACAGACAGTCAATGCTGTTTCTCACAGTAACAATGACAGCCCAGGGGGTGTCTGCTATATAGTAACACAGACAGTCATTGCTGTTTCTCCCAGTAACAATGACAGCCCAGGGGGTGTCTGCTATATAGTAACACGAACAGTCAATGCTGTTTCTCCCAGTAACAATGAGCGACATTAGTGTCTTCTGAAACTGGTGTTTAACTGACTTTAGCACGACCGAAAGTCACAGCTATGTCTCCTTGCACTCCTAACTTCAAAACCTGTCAAATTCTCTTAAACTCATGAAGATGGAGGCTGGTTGTCCTGGTAACTATACCTCTCCACTGGGATATCGGTAATGGAATTTGTCCTGGTCCCGGTTGGCAAACTCCTCTGGATATTTCTCCTGGATTTCTTCATATGTCATTCCTTCACAGATACCCTGATAACAAGGGAGACAAATAGGTACAAACTGATACATAATGTTACATTCTGACACACTATTTAGTATAATAGATTCAAATGTCCACACCATAAATAGCCTGAATAGTTACCAAAATGTTGACACTAGTTCCGGAAGCTTTGGCTTTCGACAGTTACTGATTTTTGAAGCCTACCTAATGTTAACCACTTATACTTTAAGCAAACATATTAAAGTGGAGATAACTCTTGGTAGCAAAGCATCAATTTCAACTTTTCAAAGAGAATGTTACAAGGAGATACATTTGGAATGCACTGGGCAAATGTAATAAATGTTTAAAATAGGGAGGCTGATTCATAATACTGATGCCTCATTGTTTGCCGTTCAGGCTTTTTGCATATATGTACCTTTTTCTAGTTTTGAGACAAAATTTATCTGGATTTGTTAAAGGGGCTGGTCCGGGAAAAAATTACAAAATAAATGGGTCTAAATGCGTTCTCTGGCTTTCCAAAAGTTATGCCACGGCAATATGACTTTTGCATGCATCTTTTTCTTTCGCCGCGATGTTTACATTTAGGATTTCTTTTATATAATTATAATTTTTACTCTTAGGGAGTAAATTTCAGCAAAATTTGAATCGGTATGTTTCATAAGATGGTATTTTAAACATCTGTATGCCATTTTAGCAAATATGACATTTTTTCCCCGACCAGCCCCTTTAAAGTAGAATCAATTGGAAGGCAAGCTTGTGAGTAAAAACACTTCTGAACTTCAGTAGACAATCTCTAATATTGAGAGTAAATTCCATTGTGTTTTACTTACAGCGTCTATTTCATTGAGGGCTTTCCAGTGCTCTATGGGAGCTGTGAGGCATTTCCCTGTCTGCTTAGTACGCTTCAATTCACTGGTCCACACTTTCAGATCGGGGATCTTTTCCTCCTCAACATATTTTGCCAGAGCTTCGGCATACTGAGGTTAACAGAAAACATAATGTGTATTGCAATGATCATAAATACATCTAATTTCAAAACATAAACTAAAGGCTATTCCAGATATGCAAGAGGAGATGGGAACAGCCGATCCATTCCTATTTACAAGGCAAAATATTGCAAGTAATCCAAATGAAAATGAACAAAGGGCCATAACTCTGTATCAATTGGGGCACAAGACCCAATCTCAGCACACAACACTTGACCACCTCAAAGAGGTATACACAATCAAAATTTACCCTTTGTGGGTGACAGAGCATAAGAGAAATGCCCCAGACAAAGTGCAATTTTATTATACCACTGTTGACCATCCAAAGGGTACTTGTATATAAAATTATATGGCATTTGCCTGGGAGATTCGCCCCAGGCAATGTCATAGGCTGACTAAGGCACAGATTAATCCCTGAAGGAGGGTGTAATAAATATGTGTAATTTACCTAAATACTGTGGCTATTTAACAGGAGGTCACTGTCCCCTCCTGTCTGACCACTAAAGACAAGTGATATATAAATGTAACCTCATCATTGCGGTCAGACAGGTCACTGTCCCCTCCTGTCTGACCACTTAAGACAAGTGATATATAAATGTCGCAACTCACCTTGTCACCTCGGTCAGACAGGTCACTGTCCCCTCCTGTCTGACCACTAAAGACAAGTGATATATAAATGTTTGTAACTCACCTCGTCACTGCGGTCAGACAGGTCACTGCCCCCTCCTGTCTGACCACTTAAGACAAGTGATATATAAATGTTTGTAACTCCCCTCGTCACCTCGGTCAGACAGGGCACTGTCCCCCCCTGTCTGGCCACTTAAGACAAGTGATATATAAATGTCGCAACTCACCTTGTCACCTCGGGCAGACAGGTCACTGTCCCCTCCCGTCTGACCACTTAAGACAAGTGATATATGAATGTTTGTAACTCACCTCGTCACCTCGGTCAGACAGGGCACTGTCCCCCCCTGTCTGGCCACTTAAGACAAGTGATATATAAATGTCGCAACTCCCCTTGTCACCTCGGTCAGACAGGTCCCTGTCCCCTCCTGTCTGACCACTAAAGACAAGTGATATATAAATGTCGCAACTCCCCTTGTCACCTCGGTCAGACAGGTCCCTGTCCCCTCCTGTCTGACCACTAAAGACAAGTGATATATAAATGTTTGGAACTCACCTCGTCACCTCGGTCAGACAGGTCCCTGTCCCCTCCTGTCTGACCACTTAAGACAAGGGAGATACATTTGGAATGCACTGGGCAAATGTAATAAATGTTGAAAATAGGGAGGCTGATTCATAATACTGATGCCTCATTGTTTGCCGTTCAGGCTTTTTGCATATATGTACCTTTTTCTAGTTTTGAGACAAAATTTATCTGGATTTGTTAAAGGGGCTGGTCCGGGAAAAAATTGCAAAATAAATGGGTCTAAATGCGTTCTCTGGCTTTCCAAAAGTTATGCCACGGCAATATGACTTTTGCATGCATCTTTTTCTTTCGCCGCGATGTTTACATTTAGGATTTCTTTTATATAATTATAATTTTTACTCTTAGGGAGTAAATTTCAGCAAAATTCGAATCGGTATGTTTCATAAGATGGTATTTTAAACATCTGTATACCATTTTAGCAAATATGACATTTTTTCCCCGACCAGCCCCTTTAAAGTAGAATCAATTGGAAGGCAAGCTTGTGAGTAAAAACACTTCTGAACTTCAGTAGACAATCTCTAATATTGAGAGTAAATTCCATTGTGTTTTACTTACAGCGTCTATTTCATTGAGGGCTTTCCAGTGCTCTATGGGAGCTGTGAGGCATTTCCCTGTCTGCTTAGTACGCTTCAATTCACTGGTCCACACTTTCAGATCGGGGATCTTTTCCTCCTCAACATATTTTGCCAGAGCTTCGGCATACTGAGGTTAACAGAAAACATAATGTGTATTGCAATGATCATAAATACATCTAATTTCAAAACATAAACTAAAGGCTATTCCAGATATGCAAGAGGAGATGGGAACAGCCGATCCATTCCTATTTACAAGGCAAAATATTGCAAGTAATCCAAATGAAAATGAACAAAGGGCCATAACTCTGTATCAATTGGGGCACAAGACCCAATCTCAGCACACAACACTTGACCACCTCAAAGAGGTATACACAATCAAAATTTACCCTTTGTGGGTGACAGAGCATAAGAGAAATGCCCCAGACAAAGTGCAATTTTATTATACCACTGTTGACCATCCAAAGGGTACTTGTATATAAAATTATATGGCATTTGCCTGGGAGATTCGCCCCAGGCAATGTCATAGGCTGACTAAGGCACAGATTAATCCCTGAAGGAGGGTGTAATAAATATGTGTAATTTACCTAAATACTGTGGCTATTTAACAGGAGGTCACTGTCCCCTCCTGTCTGACCACTAAAGACAAGTGATATATAAATGTAACCTCATCATTGCGGTCAGACAGGTCACTGTCCCCTCCTGTCTGACCACTTAAGACAAGTGATATATAAATGTCGCAACTCACCTCGTCTCCTCGGTCAGACAGGTCACTGTCCCCTCCTGTCCGACCACTTAAGACAAGTGATATATAAATGTCGCAACTCACCTTGTCACCTCGGTCAGACAGGTCACTGTCCCCTCCTGTCTGCCCACTTAAGACAAGTGATATATAAATGTTTTTAACTCTCCTCGTCACCTCGGTCAGACAGGTCACTGACCCCTCCTGTCTGACCACTAAAGACAAGTGATATATAAATGTAACCTCATCATTGCGGTCAGACAGGTCACTGTCCCCTCCTGTCCGACCACTTAAGACAAGTGATATATAAATGTTTATAACTCACCTCGTCACCTCGGTCAGACAGGTCACTGACCCCTCCTGTCTGACCACTAAAGACAAGTGATATATAAATGTAACCTCATCATTGCGGTCAGACAGGTCCCTGTCCCCTCCTGTCTGACCACTAAAGACAAGTGATATATAAATGTAACCTCATCATTGCGGTCAGACAGGTCACTGTCCCCTCCTGTCCGACCACTTAAGACAAGTGATATATAAATGTCGCAACTCACCTCGTCACCTCGGTCAGACAGGTCACTGTCCCCTCCTGTCTGATCACTTAAGACAAATTTATATAAATGTTTGTAACTCACCTCGTCACCACGGTCAGACAGATCACTGTCCCCTCCTATCCTTCCACTCAGGTTCATCATACTCTCACCATGCTGGAAATTGAAAAACAAACTTTTCCGTTGACTAGTTTCGTGAGATAGTTACACAAACTCAAATTGGGAATTTTACCATTGAAATGACTATGAATCCTTAGTTTACTGAAAAAAATACATATACATGTGGCATGCATCAAAAACAAAATACAAAATATTTCTTTGTTAGAATATTTTTCGATTTGATGCTTGTCAATGACGAAAACAAGAAAGAATCAGCCTGAAATTAATTTTTTTTTTTTTGAAAAAAACAGTTCATATATTCATTGATGAGGAGAGTCAATCACAACCTCATAATTCAGGATTAACACTCTCCCAAATTTAATTGCTGATTCAGCGTAATTGTAAAACTAAAGAATTTGTGAAAATTTAATGATTAACATCGCATACCGTTACTTACCCGTGTCAAATATATGGTTCTGGGAAGCACATGAATATTCATAAGGTAATATACCACTCTACTCTGTAGATGTCCTGTAATTACAAAAAAATACCAAATATTGTCATCACATATCATTTACCCTCAGAACTTCCTAACAACTGAAACAATCTAGTCCTTGTTTCATGAACATTCTGGGTTTTTTTAATCCAAGTCTTTCCATTGTTAAGGAGTTTAGGAATAAATGTACAGTATAAGGAAATTATCCGAAACTAAAGCAATGTTTTCCAATAGAAAAATTTAAGTTAGAAAATTTTCTTACATAAAGCAATGTTAGTGAAACTGGGATTATTTTATATATATATATACATTTAATACATTTAATACATTTGTCTCCCTAGTTGAGAAGCTTTAATTTTGATAAATGGTTTTCATATGGTTTTTTAGAATAAGAACATATGTTCTTTGACATGACAAGACAATGAAAAGTTAAGTAATCAGATAAGATCAAATCAAATTTTATCATCATACATATCAATGTAAAATTACATAACAGCCAAATTATTTTTGAATATTTCTTTCCTCTGAACTTAACTAGAGTTATATCAAAAACGCTTCTCCTCTGCCTTGTTGATGTCAATGGTACGTACCTGCTAGTTTGTTGACCTGGAATCGCTCGCCCTGATTGAAGATCTGGATAAACGAGAGATCCTTGTCATGTTCGTGACAGAGAGGTTCGTATGTTTCGCTGTAGTGTTTGATTCTCTGCAAAAAGTCTGCAATGGCCTCTGTCTGGTCCATACCATTGTAGTCGGGACTACACACCTTCACTTCCTGTCAGTGGATTACAAGTTACGTAAATATACAAACAGGTTTGATGTAGAATTTCGTAACATTTCAGGATAATATCCATGACTTTCTAAATGACAAGGGCCATAATTCAAACACCTAAGAACCTTCATCAAAGAGCCAGGTAATACCATCAAAGTTTTAGCTATTAAACTTCGGAACAAGACGTTAAAATACATCACCAGTTTCAAAGTAAGGCACATTTGATGTTTTTGTAAGCCTCAGCTTCTCACTCCCCCGCCCCCCTCCACCTGTAGTTAAAATAAATCAAATCATAATTCTCTTCCTTTGATACCAACAGTGCGCATGTCTGAATCAAATTTAACTCATCATTTTTATTTTCTTGAAAAGTTGAACATGTAAGAATTAAAGCTAACAGATAAAAATACATTCAGACAAGAGGCCCAATGGGCCTGAATCGCTCACCTGGTATTAATCTCACACTTGTAATCTTAAAAGTGGACTAAAATGCAGCTACAGGAAGAATATCAGTGTTTGATTCATAAGAGCCTATTAAAAGATTTAAACATATGACGCCTGTGACCTTGAATGTTGAACAAGGACATTAGGTTGAACAGAGTTGAAAGTCTTCCAACCCATCATGCTTTTGGCAAAATATCATAACCCTGGACCTATTGGTTATACAGAACAAGTCATTTAAAGATTTAAACATATATTGACCACTGTGACCTTGAATATGGGCGAAGGTCATTCATTTTGACAAAATTGGTAGCCCTTCATCCCAGCCTGTTAATGACAAAATATCATCGGCCCCTGTGACCTTGAATATATGTAAAGGTCATTCATTTGAATAAACTTGGTTGCCCTTTATCCCAGCATGCTACTGGCCAAATATCATCATCCTAAGACTTTCGGTAATTGAAAAGAAGTTGTTTGAAGGTTTTAAACATATTTGACCCCTGTGACCTCGAAAATAATTAAAGGTCATTCATTTGAACAAACTTGGTAGCCCTTAATCACAGCATGCTACTGGCCAAATATCATCATCCTAAGACTTTCGGTAATTGAAAAGAAGTTGTTTGAAGGTTTTAAACATATTTGACCCCTGTGACCTCGAAAATAATTAAAAGTCATTCATTTGAACAAACTTGGTAGCCCTTTATCCTGGCATGTTACTGGCCAAATATCATTATCCTAGGCTTCTTAGTTATTCAGAAGAAGTTGTTTAAAGTTTTTAACATATTTGACCCCTGTGACCCCTGTGACCTTGTCATTCATTTGAACAAACTTGGTAGCCCTTAATCACAGCATGCTACTGGCCAACTATCATCATCCTAAGACTTTCGGTAATTGAAAAGAAGTTGTTTGAAGGCTTTAAACATATTTGACCCCTGTGACCTCGAAAATAATTAAAGGTCATTCATTTGAACAAACTTGGTAGCCCTTCATCCTGGCATGTTACTGGCCAAATATCATTATCCTAAGCCTCTTGGTTATTCAGAAGAAGGGGTTTAAAGGTTTTAAACATATTTGACCCATTTGACCTTGAATATAAGTCAAGGCCATTCATTTGAATAAACTTGGTAAACCTTCTTCCCAGCATGCTACTGGCCAAATATCATTATACTAAGCCTCTTGGTTATTCAGAAGAAGTTGTTTAAAGTTTTTAACATATTTGACCCCTGTGACCTTGAATATAAGTCAAGGTCATTCTTTTGAACAAAATAGGTCGCCCTTTATCCCAGCATGCTACTGGCCAAATATCATTATCCTAAGCCTTTTGGTTATTCAGAAGAAGTTGTTTAAAGATTTGTTAAGACAATTGACCCCTGTGACCTTCAAAATGGACGAAGGTCATTTATTTGAACAAACTTGGTAGCCCTTCATTCTAGCATGCTACTGGCCAAATATCATCATCCTAAGACTTTCGGTTATTGAAAAGAAATTGTTTGAAGGTTTTAAACATATTTGACCCATTTGACCTTGAATATAAGTCAAGGCCATTCATTTGAATAAACTTGGTAAACCTTCTTCCCAGCATGCTACTGGCCAACTATCATCATCCTAAGACTTTCGGTTATTGAAAAGAAGTTGTTTGAAGGTTTTAAACATATTTGACCCATTTGACCTTGAATATAAGTCAAGGCCATTCATTTGAATAAACTTGGTAAACCTTCTTCCCAGCATGCTACTGGCCAACTATCATCATCCTAAGACTTTCGGTTATTGAAAAGAAGTTGTTTGAAGGTTTTAAACATATTTGACCCCTGTGACCTCGAAAATAATTAAAGGTCATTTATTTGAACAAACTTGGTAGCCCTTTATCCTGGCATGTTACTGGCCAAATATCATTATCCTAAGCCTTTTGGTTATTCAGAAGAAGTTGTTTAAAGGTTTTGAACATATTTGACCCATGTGACCTTGAATATAAGGCAAGGTCATTCATTCAAACAAATTTGGTGGCCTTTTATCACAGCATGCTACTGGCCAAATATCATTATACTAAGCCTCTTGGTTATTCAGAAAAAGTTGTTTAAAGGTTTTAAACATATTTGACCCATGTGACCTTGAATATAAGTCAAGGTCATTCATTCAAACAAATTTGGTAGCCTTTTATCACAGCATGCTACTGGCCAAATAGCATCATCATAGGCCTTTTGGTTATTGAGAAGAAGTTGTTTAAAGGTTTTTAACATATTTGACCCCTGTGACCCCTGTGACCTTGTCATTCATTTGAACAAACTTGGTAGCCCTTCATTCTAGCATGTTACTGGCCAAATATCATTAGCCTAGGCCTCTTAGTTATTCAGAAGAAGCTGTATAAAGATTTTTTAAGACAATTGACCCCTGTGACCTTGAAAATGGACGAAGGTCATTTATTTGAACAAACTTGGTAGCCCTTCATCCCAGCATGTTACTATAAATAGCCAAAAATCATCACTCTGGGCATTTTGGTTATTCAGAAGAAGTTGTTTAAAGTTTTTAACATATTTGACCCCTGTGACCTTGAAAGTAGGTGAAGGTCATTTATTTGAACAAACTTGGTAGCCCTTCATTCTAGTTTGCTTCTGGCCAAATATCATCACCCTAGGCCTTTTGGTTATTAAGAAGAAGGTGTTTAAAGTAAAATATTGACGCCGGACGCCGGACGCCGGACGCCGGACGGACCGACGACGGACGCTGCACCATGGCATAAGCTCACTTGGCCCTTCGGGCCAGGTGAGATAAAAATCTTACAGTAATAGCCATTCCTAAATTTCTCAAAATGGATCACAAAATCGTAATAAATTTGTTTTCTACATTCATCCCATGTATATACAGAGCTAAAGGTCTAAGATAAATATTTGGCAGGTATACTTACAACGATATTGGCTTCAATGATCTCCGGGTCGTCACATATAGATTCTACAAAGAACAGTTTGAACTTGTTTTCCCTGTGTATCATGTCCACGAGCAGCTTCCGCCGGTGTCGTGTTGTGTTGGTCGCATCCAGGACCTAGCAACAGAAATTAGGTTTCAGGTTATAGATCACATTATTAGGTCAAAAAACTTTTACCTGATCTCTATAACAGAAAAAACAAAGGACAGTATCTGATCTGATTTGTGTAATGTTAAAAACATGCGGAGAACTATTTAATCAGTAAAACCACTACATCAGTGATGCTATGATCTTTCAGCAGCGTGGAACATGGTTTCGTCAACAAGTTCCTTGTGGGTCCCCTAGCCAAAATCTGACACATTTCAGAGGCTGAAATGGGTTCGGTGTATACGGACCATATGCTTCCAGGTAAACATTTTGTCTACTGGGGCAAGAGGAAATTTCTGTTTTGACAAATATTCAGAACAATCATTATCACATAGCAGGGAGGCTCTGTTGGCAAACAAACTAAAGGTTTTATCGGAAAATTGAACTTTTAAAACTTGGCAGTTTAACTTTACAAATTAAGATTTTGGCAATCCATTATATAGCAGGATCATGCTGTTATTTTTGAATGCCCTTCTATTACACACCTACAGTTGCACGTTTGTATGCATATTCTTATGATTACTTCCCAAAATAACAATGGTGGATAAATAGTAGGCGGGGTTCCAATCACAACACAGCTCAGGCGTTACCAGTTAGTGGGTTTTATTGGCCGACTAGTTTCGACTCTTAAAGCGAGTCTTCAACAGGACCAAATGGTGGATAAAACTACATCAAGGATGGAATAATGATGACTCATAATCATGAAATAAAATAAAATTGTTACAAAAATATAATGGGTAATAAATTCATTTGATCAGCGGGTCACCTATAATTGATCTGATGTATTCCAGTCAAAAAGAAGATCTGTTTGAGGTATGATGTACAACATTCAGTGTAGTGTTTTATTATTGTTATATAATTACATCAAGCCCCTGTGCATATTGATCTGTGACGTAATATCACTTACATGTATTGAGCATGCGCACTAGTGAATAAACGATATGTGAAGCGGCCATTACTGAGTTGTTAGTTGTGTTCAACACGAACGGTTGAATCCGAGGACAATCCTACATTCAGTATAAACCACAAATGTATATAATGAGGTCTGACATCATATAGACAGGAAAAGCACACATAACTGTGTCATTATAGAAGTACTACTGGTAAAAATGTATGCAATAAATAGTTATTCCATTGCGGTATGTCCTTTTGTTTGTTGCTGTTTTAACTTGGCTCGGAGCCTGAACCAGCTGTGAGTGTAATTCAAAGAAGTCCTTATGTGTAATTAAGAGTTATTGTAATCCAGCATTCTCATAATCTCTAAAAATAAGATTCTACTGTCTATTCCAAAATCGTCACCCAATTCAATATACACACATACCGCCACTTCTCCTCCATTCTTTAAAAACTTTGTAGCATCATCCATCGCCATCAAAGCACATTTTCTGTAAAATAATAAAGTGTACTCACAAACTTAAAAACATTTAAATATAATTTTCAAGTTTAAAAACACCTTAAAACTGTCCTAATTTTACCCTCACTACAACACAAGGTATATCTGTCTTTGGTGGGTTTTTTTCGTATTTCTGTTACAATAACATACCTGAAAGTGGCCAGTGAAATGATTAAAGGCTTTGTACTGGGGATGGGATCAGATCTTAATCTTGTACTGTAAATGGGCTCAGCTACTACAGTCTAGAGAAATTAATATTCATATCTGCCACAGTTTGGGGGTAAAAAACACTGAATTGTATATTGTTACTCAACATTACATCCAGACAGTAAACACCCTATTTTAACTAATATCATAAAGTAATCCAATATCTAACTGTCAGTAAAACACCACACAACTAAAATTATACAGTAACTTAAATATGTTATCAAGTTATAGAACATCTAAAAACTAATATTATACTTGGACAATTTTTTCACTGATTTTCAAAGTAAAGTGTTTTAAGAAGTCCTTTTCATTCAATTTCTTAAAACTAAATCTTTGGGAAAAGTTTTTAAAATCTAGAAATACATTCCAGGTAATTTAAGGTATAATCATCAATAGTATAGCGAACTATTATATGACGTCACAACATGTACTTCAAATAAACAGTCTGAAGAATCTCCTAGAAGAGATGAAAGTACTAAAGACTTGTTGTTGAGAATTTTTCTTTTTATAATACATATATAGATATATATATTTAAAACGTGACATGTTTGTGTTAATCTGTCCCCTGTTGTTCCCTAACAACATGGCTTGTTGTCAACTCGCTTCTGTGATAAAATTGGTGTCTGTATGTAATAGCGTTCACTATATTACTTTCTAAATCAATGTAGACATGCAATATAACATACCACCACATGTACATTCCACAGATCATTATTCATTAATCACTGAAATGATTTCAGATAGAGCCTTTCTGACAGTCTGCATATATATTGTGCATCTATACAATGCAGAGAAGATTGATATGTTGTACATATAATGTACACCCTGCAGACCGGGGATTTAGAAAAGATTACACCTGCTATTACCTACTGCATGATTCTTCAGGAGCGAATAATGTGGGAACAGAATTTGGGATTTGCTTTTGTGCCAACTGCTTAGGGACAAAAATTGGCCAAAATTAATCTGTTGCACACATTGCAACATCAAGGATCTTTATATTTTATCTCCTTTCTAACATTTAATTTTGTTTTCTAGCACATCACTTGGCAATACCTTGCTTTTAGCCCTGGTGTTGAGCATTTGCCTCAGCAAAAAATATAACGACCTTGTTCTGTCCCCTGATCACCAAGCTTGCTGCTTTTTGCTTAACATACAGCTTTACATGGCTAGCAGTGAGGACTGGTTCACCTGTTGTGAGCATAATGTGACCAGGTGAAACACTGTGCTGGGGGTATCAGCATGGTATTTCAGTGTGGTAGCACTCAAAAAGTCAGCATCTGAACCCTACTATCACAAGGATGCAAATACATCAACATACCCTATATATCTCAAGCACACATACACACAAGCATACATACAGTACACACACACAAAGACATGTCCTTAAATTTGATCTTAGCTGTTAATAGAAGGCTTAATCCAACAAACTTAGCAAGTTTTGTACAAAAACATTTCCATAAACTTGCATAGATACATAACAATGTTTTTTTTTATTAACCATGAAATTAATACAGCTCTCTAAAGAGGGGTTGACTGATGTTCAATGAAACATCAGGTATTTATTGATTACTGTCCATCCATGTGTATCTATTACTGAGACAGCAGAATCAATAAAAAAAACCATTTACTTGATAATCACCTGCCAGGGTTTCTGACATGCATGACTTGGTTCAGTAGTGTTGAAAAACATATACAGATCAATGACTTCTGTAGGCTAACATACACATAACCCACTGATTCCAGATAGCACATCTTGTTTACAAGTAGTACCAGTAAATTATAAGGATTCATTCAAAAAGTCTTTAAAATGATTAATGAACTGTTTGTATTCAAAATAAAATAGGTGAAATGTATTATTTTTAACTCATCATATAGTATGCAGTGTTGAATTAGGACCCCCTTAAGGAGCTGTTAGAATTGGGGTCCCCTTAAGGAGCTGTTAGAATTGGGGTCCGAGAAAGGGAAGTTAGATTTGTATAGTACTCAGTGACCTAGCTACTTTCATATTTTTCGATTCAATAAATTCAACATTAATAATGATGAATTATTTGTTAAATTTCTTTCAAGGGAATACAAAAGAATTATAAATAAGCAAGGCATCATGAAACAATACATTCCCCTGGTATGAATAAAGGTTGATTCAAGATGGTTAACTTGACCTTTGTACTCTAAAACACAAACTCATTTTACTAGACAAAATGTATGAAATTAGATCAAAATCTGGACAGAAATTTAGTCTTCAGAGCGATGACAAAGATTTTGTATGAATACCATATTAATGGTGACCTCAAAATTGACCTTGACATCCTGTCTATATATCAAAGGTCCCAGACGGATCTTGGTGCCCGCCAGTGTAACATCTTGAGTAGTTCTATGTAAATTTGATCTTTCATCTTCTTTTCTCTCATCTGTTGGACTGATATATATAGCTAGTCATGTCTAGGGTATAAATGCATCATGCAGTAACTATTGATCAACACTTAATCTTGCTGTTTTTAACAGCCGTCTTGGTCTTGTGATTGGTTCCAAACATGAACCTGTATAACTACAGGTCAAATGGAACCAGTTTGTAAAATTTCAAACAGCTCTCTAAAGGTGTTTTTGAGAAACAGGAATATAACAAACTGCCTAAATCAAAGATTGCTGCCTGCAGGTTGCTATCAGGTTGTTCTTATAAGTCTCAAACTGAACCATGCACATCCAAGGACCAAGGGGGAATCCAAGTATGAAATCTTGAGAAAGTTCTGTCTTGTACTCATAACAGTGACAGCAAAAATTATGCTGATTAATAATGCACTGATATTTTTCACATTTGACCAATAAATTAAGTTTGAACAAAATCTGTGTCAGAAATGACAACAAATACCATAGGAAATTTTGATATATATGTATTTTTCAGGGACATCTAAAGAAATGTAGCACATGTTTACTTCATTGAAATTGTATGTCTCAGGACTTCGCCCAGCTACATCAGTATCAGATATATATATAGAGCACCTCTATATGCAGACAATGTATCTGTCGTATACTCACTGTCTTATTTCTAGGGCCTCTTTGTTGTCCGGTCGGAAGAAATCATGACTTCTGTATTTATCTGTAGCAGCCCTTCTGTACTCGCCCACATTGAACACTGAAAACAAATACAAACATTAGAAAACATAGGTAAGACATGAATGTTCCCTTGTCCCTAAAGTTGGTAAACTGATGACAATAAATCTGTTGAAAATAAATATTAATGGTTGACCTAAATATAGCAACAGTGATCTTGGCCTTGACCCCGGTACCCTCAAATACAAACTCATCTCAGGTTACAAGACTCATATTTGACCTAAGAATATACTTTGATGAAAATCTGTTAAAAATGAAGTCGGTAGAGCTGTGACAATGCATTGCAATGAGATGAGACAGGCAAGAGAGGAGAAGACAGACTAAAGGCACCCCATACACATTCTTATGGTGCAGCAAAAAGCTGACTCAGGTCTTAATCTTAGACAGAGTTGTTGCCTTCACAGCATAGATGTGCATGAAGGAAATTTAAGGGTACCAACGGATATATATTAACTAGTATAGCAGAATACCAATACTCACCCCCTTCCCCAATCATAACGTTAACAAAAATGTGCGTTTAATTTTAAATGAGCTGTTTAAAGCTACGTGTTTGTTTTTGCAGTGTAAGCAGCAAATATATAATAAAATAACCTGGAATTCTATTATTGATTCACATTCATCTGAATAGAAAATCTGCAACTTGGAATTACACACAAATCAAGTGAAAGTGAGGCATGATTTTTCTAAATTGTGTTGAACCTTAAGTTAAACAGATATTATTGCACATGCCTGCAGGTAGGTGCAGCGTGTGCAGACAGATATCGGTCAGTCTGGGATATATGGCCTATGGACAGATATCGGTCAGTCTGGGATATATGGCATATGGACAGATATCGGTCAGTCTGGGATATATGGCCTGTGGACAGATATCGGTCAGTCTGGGATATATGGCCTATGGACGGATATCGGTCAGTCTGGGATATATGGCCTCTGGACAGATATCGGTCAGTCTGTGATATATGTCCTATTGACAGATATCGGTCAGTCTGGGATATATGGCCTCTGGACAGATATCGGTCAGTCTGTGATATATGTCCTATTGACAGATATCGGTCAGTCTGGGATATATGGCATATGGACAGATATCGGTCAGTCTGGGATATATGGCATATGGACAGATATCGGTCAGTCTGGGATATATGGCCTATGGACAGCTAGCAGTATTGCACATGCAAAACAACCCATATCACTTGCAAACTGTGTGAAAAATCAAATATTGCCCAAGCAAACTATGTGACAAAATCAAATATCGTCCCACATGTGTCTCAGTAATGAAAGAAGCTGATTTATGACAGTCAGCCAAACACCGGATGAGACGCCTTTTACATCCCACAGCTGCAGTTATACCTCTTGATATTTCCACTCAGTGACCTCGGAGAACGTGCCAGCTGAGCATTGTACACACCTCTGACAAGTGACAAGCACTGTATCTATCATCCTCAGTGGAGTGTGCTGGGGGTTATCTACTTATACCACTGAAATTAATAGTACAATCCCTCCTTACGGTCTAAACAACAGTTCATAGATGAGCTTATTTACTTATATCAGGAGATCACATATTATACAATGTGTACTCTTAAGACCAGCAAGACCATAGGTGACAAAAAGTCTGATCATAATTGCGAAAACATCACATTTTGTATCATGTATTTGTGATCCTAAAATTGCAATTAACTGTTTTATGGGGAAAATTATATATCTCAATCTGACAGTTATAACAGTGTGACTTGAAATTAATCTATTTGAATTAGATAAATGTTAGCACACTGTCAGTCGTGAGGTAACCTCTGTATAGTACATGGTTATGTTATTGTAGAGTTATAAAATGGAGTGAAATAATTTGTATAATGTTTGAAAAGGAATAAATAGAAGAGGTCACATCAGAAAGATCATAGATACCCTGATATCTTTTTCCACCATTACAGCCCCTCCCTCCCTTCCTCCCTCCCTCACAGCCACTTTCCTCTCACTGCCTCATCCCCCATTAACAGCACCTCCTTTGTCACATTCCCCACTGATTTACATGTCCCTCACATTAGACGACTGAAACTCCCCAACAGCACTTTCTGAATCACATCTCACCTCCCTTTACCTATCCCTTTTCCCCAATGCTGTAACAGCTTCCTTCCCTTACACCTACTCTATAACCCCCCCCCCCCTCCCTCTTTGAATTCTCCATGCCAGCACAGAACAATATACACATATTTGTTCCATACCTATCTCATCATGTGATCAGATATATCACAGAGATGTAGATGTCATTAAAGTAGAATTCTGATTCTGACAGAAGTGTACCAACAAGTGCCAAAAGACTTGATTGTACTGAACTCTACTCAGCTCCACAACATCTCCAACAGCGACATTTATATAGATAGCTACGCAGCACTTTAGGTATAAACACACAATACATGTACACAAAGTAGCAGAGGAACAATATCATTATATTTAGGCAAGCACACAACCCCTTATAACCCTCCTCCACCCCACCCTCCCCCTTCCTATCCTCTATTCGTTTTTTTGGAGAGAAAAAACATGTTCTGACCTCAAACTCCCCACCCTAACATAAATATTAGCCTCTCACCAAAAATATGCAACCAGTATCCACCATAATGAATTCCATATAATTGATATAACACTAATGGTAAAATACCAGTATCTATGGATTTTGAGCAGAAAGTCAATATCTTTGACTGGTTTCCTAGTTAAAAAGAGGAGAGCTATATCTAAGAAACCCACAAACTCCTGTCTTTTAATGCCCTCCCGATTGTTTATCGAAAGTGTCTCTGGACTTAAAGGTCGTTCGCTTTTACCTCTGGTGCGGATCCCAATCCAGTTGAGATAGCGTGTGAGTTTTTTCGACATGTAGGTCTTGCCTCGAGCTGGAAGTCCGACCATTGCAATGACGATCGGTGCTTTGACCACATGGGGACATGATGCTGAAAGGACACAAAATTGTGATACTTAATTCATGTTAATACATTAGATAAAATCTACAACAACAATATAGTGCTTTACATACAAGAAATAAAATAAGTTGCAATGATAGAAGTGGGACTCTGTAGCCTTCCTACACAAGGACAGCGGAGACACAACCAAGGGATCCAAAACCTAACAGCCCCTATTTTATTCCCCCGGCTCACCAGACATCAAGTTACATGCCGGGCGAATGAAATATACACCGAGGGACACATAAAAACGAACCCGTGAAGTAAAAGGGGACTCAACCATAAGCAACACACAAATGATTAATTTGTGTAGGTATCCTAATCAGATTTCAGAAAGGAATCAATGCTTTTCTTGATCACAGCTTCCCAAGGTTCAGACAATTCATATGCTCCTTACTTTACTATATATCAGAAGGGTACGACCAAAAATTAGAATTTATGTTTTTCTGCTTTCCTGAATTACTTGGGTTTTTTTGTAGCAACAATGCAGCTTTTATTGGCATTTTCAAGAAAGAACTAGTAAAGCCAGATTTCTCTCTTCATGTAAAATTAGAAAAACTGAATATCTACTTCTGACCAAACCCTTCCTATTTTTCTGGTATATTAATTAGCAGAAACACAGCTATATGTTCCAGGCCTAATGCAATAACTTTTTCTGTCTGTAAGATAGACAGACGGACAAAAACATATCCAGACAGACAAAAACATAGCCAGACGGACAAAAACATAGCCAGACGGAAGACAATGCACCCTCTTCAGGAACCATTGAGGATTTCTGATTCACTATATTAATGTAACAGGTTTTTAAAATGTCAAAGAGCTAGGCAACAAAAATATAATTGCTACAATATGTTGTACTTCCACTAACAGCTCCAAATTGGTTCTCCTTAATGGCATTTTCAGATCATTGATAGCTGATACATCTGTTACTGGTAAGTAACCTAGATCCACTGAAGGGAATGAAATGTTAGACAACATCTATTTAAATACACAGTAACTGTTGTTATATAGCCCAGTAATGGTTCATTTGCTGTTTCCATTCTCATCTGACAGTATTTAATAAACATTGATGGATTTCAAACACCACTGAGGGAATTAGTTATAGTTCAGTGTGGACATCTACAGTGTTTAGGAAAGTAATTTGTAACTTTAATTTGTTTATGTCTGCTTAATACCAAGACAAGGTGTGTGTCTGTTAATGTTCCATTTAGATGATCCAACACCAAAACAACAACACCTTCACAACCTTAAGTCAGCTTATCACAAGGTCTAGCAACCACAAGGTCAAGCAACCAAAAGGTCAAGCAACAACAAGGTCTAGCAACCACAAGGTCAAGCAACCACGAGGTTAAGCAACCACAAGGTCAAGCAACCAAAAGGTCAAGCAACCACAAGGTCAATCAATCACAATGTCAAGCAACCACAAGGTCAAGCAACCACAAGGTCAATCAACCACAAGGTCAATCAACCACAAGGTCAAGCAACCACAAGGTCAATCAACCAAAAGGTCAAGCAACCACAAGGCCAGTAAATCACAAGGTCAAGCAACCACAAGGTCAATCAACCAAAAGGTCAAGCAACCACAAGGACAACCAACCAAAAGGTCAAGCAACCACAAGGTCAATCAACCACAAGGTCGGTCAATCACAAGGTCAAGCAACCACAAGGACAACCAACCACAAAGTCAACCAACCACAAGGTCAATCAATCACTAGGTCAATCAAACACAAAGTCAATCAACCACAAGGTCAACTAACTACAAAGTCAACTAACTACAAGATCAACCAACCACAAGGTCAATCAATCACAAGGTCAATCAACTACAAGGTCAATCAACAACAAGGTCAATCAATCACTAGGTCAATCAACAACAAGGTCAATCAACCACATGATCAATCAACCACAAGGTCAACCAACCACAAAGTCAACCAAGCAAAATGTCAATCAACCACAAGGTCATAATCTACCAAGATCTTCTGAGGCCAACAAACTAAGGTTGACCAGCAACATTCACTTCACCAAGGTCAAAGAACCAAGGTTTGACCTTACCACTTTGGTGGATTGATCTTGGTGGATTGACCATTGTGACTGGTTGACCTTAATTGATTGTTGCTGGTCCTACCACAAGGTCCATCTACCAACCACAAGGTCAACACACAAACAACAATGAACCAACTACGGTCAATCAAGTTATCAAGTCCTGAAGTCAATCTACCAAGGTAAACCAGCCACAAGGTCAACACACAAACAACAATGAACCAACTACGGTCAATCAAGTTATCAAATCCTGAAGTCAATCTACCAAGGTCAACCAGCCACAAGGTCAATCAAACAAAGTCCACCAACCACAAGGTCTACAGACAAGGTTGACAATCAATCAGACCACCATGGTCACCAACAATAATCTCTAACTAAAGTCATCCAATCACAAGGTATACAGACAAGGTTCACAATCAATCAGACCGCCATGGTCACCAACAATAATCTCTAACTAAAGTCATCCAATCACATGGACAATTACTCCAGCTTTAACCAACTTGATCAAGAAATGACGCATATCTCATACTCAGTACCATACAAACAAACCCACTCAACTTATCACAAAACATTAAACTCAGCCTCACAAAACAAACCCAACCATCCTGGCATAAAACACCCAACTCAGCAACACACAAAACAAACCCAACCATCCTGGCGTAAAACACCCAGCTCAGCAACACACAAAACAAACCCAACAATCCTGGCGTAAAACACCCAACTCAGCCTCACAAAAACAAAGAATTTGCGTAATCTTGATCTGATTTCAGGAAGGCAGCAAAAAGTTCCTCTCTATCGAGTTAGAGATGAGGGTACATGTCGAAATGCTTGCCAAGATTCAGACATGTAATTTGCATGCATGCTTGTTACATTTTCGTGGCAGAATTTCTGTGCACAGTAAACGTGAGTATGTGGAATTTCTATGCTTTACACCAGAATCGTTTTATACTCATACAAAACTTCTAAAAAATATTTTCAATATCTGTTTGTTTCCAGATAGCAAATACAAGTTTTCTGGATATAACCAGTTTAAACAAGAATTCAAACCATTTACAAAACCTTGTATACATGTACTTTACCATAAAAAAATCTGGGCTTTAGGTAGTGTACTGACATGATTACTTAGTTTCTTTATCTAATCACCCAAGGGTAATGTGAAATCACAATGAACAGCACTATGGCACTACAAATTCAAAACAACGGCACATCTCGGGGTGTTTTCTTTTTATAATTTTTATGTTCTAAAAATGTGCAAAATGTGTAAGCTTTTGTTGAGTAGGATAAATAAACTATCACACCAGTTCCAAATTACATCTGAATTTTATAAAACTCTCTGAAGTTCACTTCATAATAATGTTTGCTTGAAAAGTCACATTTGATGGGAACTCTTATATAGGCCTACAGTGTACATGTATGCATACAACATTTTCCTGAAGAGTCCAGGAGGGATAAAAGGCTAAAAGAAAAGGGATCTAGACAGTCAAAGATTTTTTTATATTTCCTATACATTTGTACATGTTTACATGTATTTATATTTCATATTTCAAGCTGCATTATAAAACATTCAATAATTCTTTGAACTTGGTTCGTTCATCTTTAAATTCAAGCTTGACTTAAACCTTTTGATATACTTGTACTTTATTGAATTCAGATTCCCATTAAATTTTAATATATATATATATATGTACACCTACAGGCCTAGGCTTGCTTAAAATGCTTTAATTACGAGATTCCTACACGTATGTTTGTCTTAGACACAGACAGTTATCAAAAGATATGCGTGCATTTGATCATGAAATCAAAAAGACAATATATACATAGAATTTCATTGGGGCAGTTAATGTAACATGTAACACGCAAGGATGACTGGTTATAACTATTATATAATTCTATTGGCAGAACAGGAGGAATAGGTTGAGGATAAGGAGCACACAATCACCCGATGTCCAATTTATGATGAAATTCGTGACATTTTATATTATAAAGCTACAGACATTGTTAATGATTTTATGAATTTTAGTTTTGAGGAGAAGCTACAATTTATTTTATCAAATGAGAACTGTGTTAAGATGAAGCAGATAATCCTGACTCTATACTTATTGCGTGACTTGATCAAATAATTTTAGGTCATACAATCCTGAGAATTTTTTTCACTGGGAACGAGGCTTCAGGCCAAATATAAATTATGTGTACATGTATGTGTGAGTCTAATTTTAATATGATATATAGTAAAAGTGACTTCACCAACCCCAGTCTAACAAAATCCTGTAATATACCTACATTTACATATGTATAGCCTAAAGGGCCAGTTTCTCTATCCTAAAACCAGACATTATCTACCAACTGCCTTTTCCAACCAAATACTGTTTTTTGTTAATGTCAGTTAAGACAGGTTTTAACTCATTCACCCCTGAAGACACATTTGAACTCTTCCAATTCAAAGGTTGGAATAGTTCATTATGAAACTTCAGGGGTGAATGAGTTAACCTTAGCCAGAAGACCTGGTCTTTAAGGGCAATTTCTAGGTATCCATACCTACCAAGCTATTTTTGATTCACTAACATTAAAGTCTATACTTGTGTCTCAGGTAGCCTGTTTCTACAGTATGTAAAAAGTTTGTGAAATTCAATAATTGTCATTAATTACCATTGATCCTCACAAATTTTTCTTTTGACCCTAATTTTTTGTCTTGCGATTTTTTTAAAAGCAAACTTGTTTCAGATCTTGTCCTTCTATACAAACAATGTCACTTACCTGGTAAGTGTTTTACAGAAGCGCTACCCTGTGAATTCTTTAAGCAAAGCAAGGTACATGTAACACAATTTTACTTCACGCATAAATACTCCCCTGTAGCGCTCCCTCCCACATAGCCACAGTGAGTTGTAGCCCTATATCCCCAAGCTCTACCCTGTGAATTCTTTAAGCAAAGCAAGGTACATGTAACACAATTTTACTTCACGCATAAATACTTCCCTGTAGCGCTCCCTCCCACATAGCCACAGTGAGTTGTAGCCCTATATCCCCAAGCTCAGAAAATGTTCAAAATTTGTTAAACATTGTTGACAATCAAGTACTATTAGTAGCTGGTAAAACAAGTATGGAATTGTAAAAAAAAAAAAAACTTCACATATTAAAATATATACAACTAAAATACACTTAATACATGCATCACAGTTTAAAAGTACAATAAATAAGAAATATTAAACAATGTACTTTAAATGGTTTTACAAATATTACAACCTGTCAACTAAAAATTCATCTAATAATAATTTTATATATATATATACTAAGTAAGTCCCTATCAATTTACCTGTGCCCCATATATGCTCGTGTTGAAGGATATCGAGACTGTTGCAAGAAGAACACATTGAACCTTTAACAATCACTGGTGGTATTCTGCAATCGACTGCCTTACGAGGTTGTATATGGGGAAGTCGTTATTTACACACACTTGTATGTACATCTGATTTCACGTGCAGGATCTTCACTGGTACAGGATACTACGGAACCTACACAGTCCTGGTATCATTTCAATACATACTTGAGAAATCCCGGATATTGGATGTGTGTAGGTTATACATATATATCCTGTGTTCACAAACCATGGCCAAAATGACCCGCATACATAGTATGGATGGCTGCACCCTTTCCCTTGCTTGTTACCTATACACAAATCGCGGTGTGTGTAACCTACATCCTTGTCAACAACATCAGCTGATAGCTCAGTCAGAGAACAGGCCCGGCTATAAAAACACCAGCTTTTTGTTCTGAACGACTGGAGCCAATTCTATTTATATAACACCTAGAACAGCCTCTGCATATATATATTCCTATTTTCACTATAATTTAATCACATTTAAACAATCAAAATATCTTTCTCATGGTAGAAAACAACAATGCATTATGCATGATTTCTATAGTACAATGGTTCCCTGGATAATGTTCTACTGATAAATCTACATGCAGAGATTGCAAGCACCTGATGCTAGAAACCCTTGTTGTTGTGAACACTTATAACTCCTACTTCCTGCAAGAATGTGTTGTTACAAGCAAGAAAAGTCAGAAATGTACATTAACTTGGCAAATGCTATACAGACACCATCACTATATACCCTATAATACTGTAAGTTCTGTGTAAGGCCTTGTACTTGTGATCTAAATGACCTTGAACTTCTCATGCAGTATATGTAGTCAGATGTTTTCTTGCATGTACATTCTTAATCACACACACCATTATATATATATGCACCTATGAGCTCCAAATGGTTGCCCCAACCCTGAAATGTTTCTAGCAACCATAGATCAATCTTCAATTTGTATGCAAACTGAAATGCCAACAAAATTAACATAGTATTTGTACCTGGTAACATCTTCTGAATTGAAAAGGACAATTAATGGAGAAATGTCAAGAAATAGCTAAGTTTGAGTAAACAAAATTCTTAATTACATGATATTATGTTAACATTTTATTTTTTTCTAAACTGTAACTTTCAAAGAAATTTGAATTTAAAAACTGTCAGTTTGATGTTTCGATACTTGGAACTGGATATTATATAATAGCTCATGAACACTACCAGGTCGTTTAAAAAGCGACAACATTTTGTTGAAAATGTGTACCCGGCTGCCATTTATAAACAACACTAGTAGTTGAGCAAGTTTACTATCTGAAAATGCCTTCTATTACTAGGATATTGCATGTACAACATGATAAAGGCTATTAATATAAACAAACCACAGACACAGATCGTATTCCCCTATATATATATTGTGTGTCAGGGTAGTCATTCAGCTGCAATTACATTTATTTTTTATTTTCCCACATTCTGGCAGTATATATATATGTTTTTAGCAAAGTCAATTTATCACCTTTTAAATCCGCACACAGTTGCAAAAACATTATCCAAAACTTTGAGGTGTTAGAAGTTTCAAGAGTGTTTTGTTACTTGATCAACTTCACAATAGGCACAATGGATAACAAAAAGTTATGTAAGTAAGAAATCAACATTTTATATCAGTACACATTATCTTTAAACATGTCATGTTCTATTGCTCCCTGAGTCGAGGTTTTAAATTAACTGCAGCAAAGCTTCTTCATTAATATTTTGAAATATTGCCATCATTTATGCCTAGCGATTGCGGTGGCAGACAAAGATCCTGCACCCTTCGTCCTAGTCATCAGTTAGGTGCATTCAGTTATATCGCACGTGACCAGTCAAATAGTTGTAGGGTAGCAAACACCAGATTATCACATGATAATGACCAGTCAACAGTAGTATGGTAACAATTTTTTGTTACATTCAGTAATTTTAGTAGAAAAACAGTAAAAACTACTTAATATACAATAATACAGAGAGTCAGTAAACAATGCTTTCTTATGACAGGTACACAATGGATACCCTTCATTTTAAGGGTATGTCACCCACTACTGAAGTAACTCGCCCGAACTAAACCGAAGCAAAAAATTAACAACAGCAAGAAAATCGGCAGAGCTCTGGCGAGAAAGCACTTGAAAAATCAAAATTGACCGCAGCAATACCGATTAAGTACCAATGTAAGAGCCGATGTGCTACCAAATACCACTTTTCTGTCACCTTAGTGTTCCCGATGCACTGCAGATGTTATACCGAGGCGCAGCCGTTGTTATACCGATGTGCCACCGTTGACCGGAGCTATAGCAGAGTGATATTGTTGTGCATCACTAAGAGCGGTAGTATATCGTTAGTACATCGGCGGCGCATCAGTACTACTTCGGTGGTATTCGTTAGTACTACAGTATCACATCAGTACCAGCACAGTACACATTGAGGCCACCAGAGAGCTGCCGATCCATTACGGGGCGCTACTGGTGCTCTACCGATATCAACAATTGTTCAAAAACTTCTGCCGTCACCTGCCATTGCTAAATTTTTCGCCGATGTTCTGTCATGACGATGTACTACCATTGTGCTGCCGTACCAGTACCGATCCCTGAAAATCGCCAAATACCTAGCTCCCGCGACCATAAATCGGCTAGGTGTGACAGGACCTTCAAGCACACATCAAACAACCTGCACATTTAAATTTAGGCGCACATTAACTCATTCACCCCTGAAGACACATTTGAACGCTTCCAATTCAAAGATGGGTATAGTTCATTATGAAATTTCAGGGGTGAATGAGTTAAACAACCTGTAGTTCAAAGGAATTGAATACTGCAGTGTTTAATTTTATTTATCTGAGAGTCATGAGTCGAATACTCCCACTATTTTAAGATTTTACTAATTGAACTTTTAAAATTCATGAACTTTACATCAAATGACTCAGATAAAGCACTGATCATGATATTGTGTTCATTATGCTTACACTAAAGGGAAATATTTAAATTTATAATTGCACCTCATAAATTGGTATTTTATTGACGACCTACAAAATTTATTGAACATTACTAAAGGCATCTAATAATTTCCTCTGAAAACAGCTGAAAAGATGCCATTTAAAAGGGATATTTTCCTCTTCGGTGTGCTTTTAATTCTGAGCATGCATAATCTCCCCCATGAAAATTTAAAACAGTTGGCAAGTATGTAAAGGCTGTGTGTACCTATAGACATACCGTACCAAATCATATACAACAAAACTTCTCAAATTCAACTACTTGCAAAAATACAAACAAAGTTCTCAGAGTTGTCTCCCTTGAGCCATAACATATTGTGCTGTATGTAACATGATCATTATGTACATTACAGCCACTTTCCTTACAGGATTTTATCTTCAACTCTTCCTTATTTCACCATTTTTTTTTCAATACATATATCCATTCATTGTTTACGGTCCAAATTTAATTTTTAATTTCCAAAACATGATGAGATGCACAAATACAAGAGACCCATAGGGCCTGTATCGCTCATCTGGATTATCTAAGCAATCATGGTAGAATATTCTCCAAATGAGATCCATGGGAATATGCCAGACCCCAAGGCCAATCCTTGTAACATATATATCTGTATTCGATTGTTCATGCCCAGCAATTTTATTTATGGTTATGGGGTGGGGATCTCAACTGTTTCCAATCTGTGACTCAGAAACTAGGTCCCTATGGTTATGGCCAGACCCCAGGTCAATTCTAATATCATGACTGCATTTGTCTCTTTTTGCCCAGCATTTGTATATATAGTTTTGGGGTGGGGATCTTAACCGTTTCAAAGTTATGACCCAGGGGTTAAGTCTCCAGGGGTGGGGCAGTCCCCAAGGCCATCCTGGAAGCATATGTGCATTCATCTCTTTATACTCAGCAATTGTCTATATGGTTATAGGTCGGGGATCTCAACTGTTTCCAAGCTGTGACCAAGAAACTAGGTCCCTAGGGGTTCGGTCAGACCCAAGGGTCTATTCTAATATCATGACTGCATTCGTCTCTTTTTGCCCAGCATTTGTATATATAGTTTTGGGGTGGGGATCTCAAACGTTTCAAAGTTATGGCCCAGGGGTTAAGTCTGCAAGGGTGGGGCAAACCCTGTGGTCAATTCTAATATCATGACTGCATTCGTCTCTTTATGCCCAGCATTTGTATATATAGTTTTGGGGTGGGGCTCTCACCCGTTTTTAAGTTACGGCCCAAGGACTATGTTTCCAAGGGTGAGGCCAGACCCTAGGGCCATCCCGGAAGCAAATGTGCATTCTTCTCTTTATACTCAGCAATTGTATATGTGGTTATATGGTGGGTATCCCAACCATTTCCAGGCAATAAAGTTTTTTTGGCCCCACCCCTTAGCCTGGGGGGTCAGCCCCAACATTTGTACAATTTTGAATCCCTGCCTTCTATGAATGCTTCTGACCAAATATGATCGATATCCAGTGCATAGTTCTACTGAAGAAGGAGTTTGTAGAAATATAGCCAAATTACCCCTTTTTGGCCCCGCCCCTCAGCCCCCTGGGGGGTCAGCCCAACCATTTGTACAATTTTGAATCTCCACAACCTAGGGATGCTTCCAGTCTAATATGGTTGATATCCATCACTTAGCTCCAGAGAAGAAGTCGCTTAAAGCAGTTTAACCAACTTGCCCCCTTTTTGCCCCGCCCCTCAGCCCCCTGGGGGGTCAGCCCAACCATTTGTACACTTTTGAATCTCCACAACCTTTGGATGCTTCCAGTCTAATATGGTTGATATCCATCACTTAGCTTCAGAGAAGAAGTCGCTTAAAGCAGTTTAACCAAATTGCCCCCTTTTTGCCCCGCCCCACAGCCCCCTGTGGGGTCAGCCCCACCATTCGTACAATTTTGAATCCCCACCACCTAGGGATGCTTCCAGTCAAATTTAGTTGAATTCCAATCAGTGGTTAAGAAGAAGAAGACGTTTAAAGAAATTGTTGACGGACGGACGACGGACGGACGGACGGACGACGGACGCCACAGTATGGCATAAGCTCACCTTGGTCCTTTGGCAGAAGAATCATGAGATGTTCCATAACAGGTAACTGTACATACAGCAGATCTCACTACACAAAATGCTACATGTACAGGAGGAGAAAGCCACTTCTTGTTTACACAAACAGGACTTTATAACAGGAATTTCTACATTTGTGACAGATCACCTGCATTATATCATGCATGTTTTAGTCCATTACACAAGTCACAGCTGACAGATAACTGTATTTCCATTTCCAATTCCAGGTAAAGACAAATTGATCTTCAAGATAATATAGCAATTTTTGTATGTTGTCACAAATGTAACACTTGTGACATTATGCATGATTAACATATGTT